GCAACTGCCCTCTTCAACTTATTTTTGGTTAAAAACCAATGGGGTTTATCGTGAAACTACAGGGATGCAGGTTATGAGTTAGAATAAGTTCGAAGTACATACGGTAATGTAGATAAATTTCTTCTGTACTAGAACTTAGCTGTTCACAGTTATTTTTGTTGGTTTCGTTTGTTTTTCCGATTGCAACAAGTCACGGTTTCAGAACGATCCTGCCGGCTATCGAATGTCTCGAGGACTCCTATGTGCTGAGGTGGTTGCGTGCAAAGGACCTACGGTTCGACGAAACCGCTGACGCACTCAAAAAACATGTGGTGTTTCGAAAAGCGTGGGAACTTGATGCCATTTCCTCCTGGGAAGCACCTGAGGTTAGCATCATCCATCTTCCTCATCAGACCTGTGCTGCTTGTGTTCTGTGCAACAGCAGAGTATTTATTGATGAATACTCGTGTATTGATGCTCGAACGAATCGCTCTATGAAATTGATGTTTAACCACTGGACTAAAGGCAGGTAATTCATTTCTTTAAATCGTCGATCACGTGTTCGACCTGCCCCCTTTGGCTCAATCAAACCGTTTATTTCGTTAATCACCGAGAAACGACCGAACTTTGCTCTCTTCCCTTTGTTTTCGACCTATTATAACGAACAAGTACAAAATTACCGGTGAAACAACTAACCAACGTAGGAAGAAGTACATAGTACAACTGTTAGGTCATCTAAGATTGTTATGTTATTATGTTAGATAGGTCTCGTAGTAGTCGAAGTGGTCACGAGTCCCCTTTCAAGGTAGTATGTCCTCAACCGGATGATGGGATCTTCTCTCTTTCTCTCCCTCTCTCTCTCCCTCTGTTCTTTTCTGAAGCTTGGAATTGGGGCTGGCTTCATTTCAGCTTCGTGGAGCCAAGAGCTTTGTGAAGATGACAATTGTAGATTAGTCCTCATTTTTGCCCATTCGTCCAGCTAGTAAAAGTTTTAAGCGTGAAGTAAGATGTTGTGCTTTGATGAGATTGAGTTCGGTTCCTTCTTCTTTCGAGAATAGGCATCTTTCTTGGAACTCAGGGAAATATTTTCATCGTCGGTTTCGTCCGTCGGTTCTGTGTGAAGGTCATCGTGGCTGAGTAACCTGTCAACAATTGCAGTTCACGAAGGGGTCGTCAGACGGTTACAATTCCCGTTCTGTTCAGTTCCGCAATTTCGAAATAATCTCAGCGTTTATAGGGTGGCGACTTTCCGGCGACTCACCGTTCTTCAAATAGCGTTTTCAATTAGTTATCGATCTCTGCCAAACTCTCACGGGTTAACGGTCGCGATATTTTCCTCCAGTAGTAAACCATTTTAATTTTTTTTAAAAAGCTTAACCAATTTTAGTAAAAAATATCTGCTGCGAAATATGCCTTTCTGTAATAAAAAACAGTTTTCATGTAAACCTTAAGACTACATGTATTCTTTCTTTAATAGGCGTACACGAGGTTGATAATTATGTTTATTTCCGGCTAACGTTTCGACGTCTTCATTTTCATCAGAGCCGACGATCCGATTCGATGGTCCACGCTCGTTCTTCGTCTTCGTGTCGAGTTGTGTCTTCCTCAGCAAATCATCTCTCGAATGGTCGAACACTCAGTCGGAGTCGGTGATACCCTTTTATTCAGGATGCTTATGGGTGATAGTGCTGATTGTCCGGTGATATTAACTCGTTTTTTCTGGACAATCAATCCTGTAGAAGCCGGTATCATTATCAGCTAGCAAAGAGCAATAATGATACTTCAAAACCGACTTTCTTTTAGCCTCGATATTATTAATCAACATGTATTCTTTATTTTGATAAACTTACACGAGTTTGATAAACGGTTTTATTCGGCTAACGTTTGGACGTCTTCGTCTTCATCAGAGCCGACGATCCGAGTCGACAGTCCACGGTTCTTCTTCGGCTACATCTCGAAATCTTAAGGCTACAGTTAACGGCTTGAGGTGATATGTTAAAGCTAAACATGAAAAGTGTAGTAGTAAATGAAGTAAAAGAGCCGCTTGTACGACTCTTGCGAGGTCGTGAAATCTTTTTATAAGCAAATATCTTCGGCAAAAAACCTTTCATCACGGAGGCACCGTTACAAGTATACATGTAAATAGAGTAATAGATGCTCTAGGAGAAAAGCGACCTAAGTGAAAATCTGCTTGCCGCTTAGGTCAGTGCTCTCCCTAAGCGATATGATCACTGCGAGCTTCGTTCCCTTTGATGGAGCTGGGAAGGAATATGTCCTGTTCGCTTCTATGTATTTAGAACAGGTCAAACGAGTCACATATGCGATGCCACGAACAACAACATCGGCAGCTTTGCCCGTTATGATTGTCCTCTATGTTTCACGAAAGTGAAACGAACCTGTGGCTTGGCTTACAGGAGCATGTCTTCGTCAGTTTTCTTCATAGAACGGTCTTCTCCGGCATATTGATTTAAGGAAGTAGAGCAGTAAGAAGTCGTAAGGAGAAACGCTAAGGCTTATAAACTATAACACGCTAGGTTCTTTGCAAGGCGATTTCATATGATTTTCTTCGAGGTAGGGTTGTACTAAATAGCTTTCATGTCAAAACTAGAGATGACTTATAACCCTACGTCCTTAAAGTGAAGTAAATTTGTCGCAGTTTTTAAACAAAGGATGAGAAACAAATAAGGACAATATAGAGCACGAGGATGAATGAATGAGCTATTATATGAAGCTGCTTAGCAAACTTTGTAAGTCAACACATGATGCGCAGTCGTTAGATGTGCTTTGAAAACACACACAAACAAGGTCATCGGTTCTATTTCGAAGCCGGAGAAATTAAACCATCCATCACTGTTTGATTGACATGTTGGTATCGCACTTCTTTCCAAGGATAAAGACGTTGACTTGAAGCATGAGGAAGCTCCCAAAATTTATCGTGTAGAGCAGATATCCGCCGAGTCACCTTATCGATGCTTGGAAACGGAGCATCCGTAAAGGATTGATCAACGATGAACGCTTCTATCCTTTAACACGTGAAGTAGATGATCATCATCAATGTTTTGGTAGCTCTAGAACTGGTAAGGCTTCTTGGACTGCTTTAAATGGTTCGACTGTTCAGTCCGTTTGTGCCGGGCCAACACAACGATTGAACGGCCTGAGTGGTGCTAACATGAGCAGGTATTGTCGTTGTGCTAGTTGTGCTTCGCAGTGCTCGTGAGTTCAATTCCTTTCTAAGAAAAGGAGAGGCGAATGTGTCTCGCAAGTGATCATTTCTCTACTACACGCACATTGCGACTGTTCACATCGTGAAACAAAACCACATGAATTGTTTCGAACTAAAATCGTTCATGTACTCTATTGAGCGCGATTGTAATAACTAGAATCACTAGAAATTCAGTAGCTGAGAGTTAACGTATCGATCGTCGTTAGGTTTAACTTTCGAGAAAAAATGTTCGCTGACATAAATGATGGTTACCAGTCACTTTCCTAACTTCTTTGACGTTAACTGACTCATGTTGATCGAGGTGTTCTGGTTTCGAAACTCTATGTGGTGCAGTTTACTGCGCCTTGAAGACGAAAAGGATTGATTGCGTCGCAGTGCTATGAGTGGCGCGTATCGACATAGAATTCAGTCGTCGAAGACCGTTTGTCCTAATGACATCTATAAATTTACTAGAGACGAATAAAGTGTATCAACAATGTTAAGGTGAAGATTCTGTCAAAATTCTGTAACTAGCACCTCTCAGCGTCTCCTGATTGCATAGAGAGGTTGGTTCCTTACAAGGCCACCTCTTCGAACGAGAACTATGAGTAAAAGTGTGTCACAACAAAGTCTGGCGAGCTATCTGAAGCGCCGTTTTTTTTCCATCGATTACAGGAAAAATTATGCTTCGCACAAAAAAGTGCGATACCCATCGATCGACTGGCGAAAATCTTTTAATGGAGATGTTTATCTGTGGAAGTGCTTGGTGATCGATCTTGGGGTCACCATAGTAAAAAACGACTGTGAAGCGGTGAATTTAGCCATTACTGACCAGGAAAAGGGGAAGGGAGAGATTATGTAGCAGAAAGTAGGATCAGATCATTTCTTTTGGAATTTAGTGTTTCTCTTTCTTCTCTCCGTTTTCTTCAACATAATAAGATAAGTTATTCATTCCCTTTCCTGCTAGATGTGTCCATTACACGGTCGTTGCTCAATAAGCTAAGGGCAGATGTACTTGAACAGCTATGGGCTAGTCGACGCCTCGGCAAAGGGGCAACTTGAAATACTATTGTCGAGTGTATGAACGATATCAATTCAATGAATGATGGGGTTTCAAAGGTCTCCTTTTCATAGGTCTAAATCGAGCTGCTAATTTCTGAGATCCATTCAGTGTCTCGAGAAGTACTGTGGCTACGGTTTCCTTTCTGACAAAGATGGACGGCCGATTCTTATGTCGCTACTCGGCAATATGGACGTTGAAGGTGAGCAATCGATATGATTTAAGACGCTTAAATACTTCATATTATTGAAATCTGACATAGAAAGAGATCTCTTGTTAAACTATTCCACGTTTAATTCCCACACCACAGTGTTTGAGTATATCGTTAGCCGGTAACCCAGTGCATTTTTTTGAATGCATAAGTAACTGAGAATAATTTAATCCAATCTGAACTGGCATATCTCAACTCATTATGAACTTCTATAAGATGCAAATTGTCTTGTTGTTCTATGTTGAAGACCTGATTCTCTCTCGGTCATCAGATGTGGTTTTTTGCCTTTTGTCAAAATGCATGTCTCTTGCAGCCCAGCTATGGAACAAGCGGGATTTCGTCCAGTTTGGCACGCTGTTGTTTCTAAATGGCTAATTAATGTTTGCAGTTGCTGCATTCGTGTTATCGTGTTAGAAATTTTCGAATTTTTCATTGTGTTACAATTTTATCTGAAGAAAGCCACTGAAGCAAAGATGATAGTTTAGAGGATTCGTATACCGCGATAAGACAGTCTTTTGAGCACTCATTTCGTTTGTAGGAACGTTGTAACAAATTTGCTTGCAAATTCTGCGCTGAAATTCCCGAACAAACGAATCCACTCTGAACCCCCATGCAACAAGGGAGGACCAGATTTTTCTTTTCTTCAGTTACCATGTTACACTGTCTGGACACCACTTGGGCTTACTCCAGCTCCGACCCAAAATCGTTTAACCTTATCCCAGCTCTGAATAGTTTCGCTATTAGTACGGTCATCCGGGACTGGAGCTTCCTTCGTTCAGCCGTAGTTTGTTTCTGATTTTCGACACAGTTTTATGTATATAAGCTCAAAACTCTTAATAACTGTTTAACTAATAAGTAGTTTTAGCTCCTAGCGTGGTCTCATGAGAGCTTGACACTCTCACACAGAATCTGATGTTCCAGCTAAATAACATTGTATGGGAGGGGGTGATGACTTGGCCTGGGAACTTCATATATCACTTGCGTCGGGAACGTCACTATGATGTCGCAGTTGTTCGCCAACGGCCGATTCTGTGAGGTGCTCGCTCCCGAAGCCTACACTTATGCACTCGTCCTGCGAACACTTTCTTCTGACAAATTCAAATACAACAGTTTGAGGGCGTCCCTTGTTCAGTTGATTGTCAAAGTCATTCCGCATTGCGTCCAACTCATGAGCGTGCCGTATTTGACATTTGCTGACATACGCCGCTTGCCTCGGTTTTTATTCGAGTTGGTAAAATATTACACTGTGGCAAGGGTTTGAAGAATGAATGAATTCAGTAATTAAAGACCAATGCCCACAAGTAATCCAAGCGACAAGCAGAGTACAAAACCACTTTGTTTACTAAAATTCACTTGAACCTACGGCATTCAGTCTGGGATAGCTCCTCTTGGAGTGCCCATAGGTGTGCGCTTGGTCCCGATGCCTTTGATTAGTGCTTGCTGAATTCGGTCGTTGATTTTCCAGGGATGTTGAAATCTGTCGCTTCGCTAGACTACATCAAGTTCTCTCTTGCCGCAATTGAGAAAGGACTGCAACTGTGTGCTCAAAAAGCAAAACAGGTGAATAATAAATGTTTTCGCTTGGTTTTCGTAACCTTTCCACCTCCACCTGTATTTACTGGCCTGACCTCTTGTAATCTTCTGATCAAATTATCAACTTATCTTCGACGCCATGTGGTGGTTCCGTGCCTTTCTTTCTAATGCCATCTGTTGGTCGTATACCTCATATTCAACGTAGCTGCCCGAAAAGCTTCTTTCAGTAACTTTTCTTTTATTCGTAATTCCAAATCAGTATTCTGGAAGTCGTCTAGAATATTTGGTGAATTTTTGCTATCGCTACTTGAAATTCGTTTACACGAGAGCAAATATCATCACGATTAACCTCAACCGACCTTGAGTGGACGTCAATATTCGCTTTTTTCTTATATCGCTCGCATTCTCGTTAACCATCGAGCTAACCACTAATGTTTCCACTACTTCTTGTTTAGTTCTCATCTGCTGGGAAGAAACGACTAACATCACTTGTTTCGTATGTCGGCCTTTCTGTTTCTGTTTGTAGCGGCTAGAATACCAAAGGCAGCGCCAGCCCTCCTGGCGTGAGCTCGCTGAAAGAAGGATTTTGCCCAGTAAATCTATCCGTGGCACATAGAATATAACCATATGCATAGGAAGGTTGTAAGTCAGTTTGACGGAGAACAGAAGTCCATTTTCTGAATCCGTCAGCGTTCCATGACGTTTTTCACAAGGAATTCATGGTTTTATTTGTTTAACGTCAATTCCGGCAGTTAGCACTCCCTCTCTCTTCTTCTCCAGATTGACTATGGTCCTCCACATATTTTTACTAACGCATCCGTACGTGACTGCAATTTTGTGGATTGGACTGTACGCTGTACCAGGAAGCATATAGTAGACGGATCAAGTTCGCATTCTATAAATGCGCCCTCGGTCTACTCAAGAGACTTTTAAAAATTTAACCCTAGGTTTAGTTGAGAAGTCTAATATGTCGCCAAAGCGGTTACACTCATGCATTTAAACTTTGAAGGCACCCTTTCACAAAAATTTTACGAAGATTTATTTTCCACGGAACTTTCATTCCTTGGCCAAGACTTTTGTTCCTCATAGTTATCTGTTTCCTTCACTTCTGGAGAACTGTCGTTCCATCTGTTCAGACAGGGCGACCGTTTGAGCAAATGATGCTCGTATTCGACCTGGATCACATCGGTTCCGCGCACTTCTCATGCAAGCAGTTCGCCAGCTCGTTCACGACCCTCGTCACTCTCTTCCAGGAGCACTATCCACTCGTGTTGAGGAAAATCCTCATTATCAGGTGTGTGACGGATGCCTCATATTTCCGCGTTTTGCGGTTTTATATTGTCCGTACAAATATACAAAGTAAAAAGAAATAGAAAAGAAGTTTTCCTATGCCTTAATTTTTTTCGTCTTTATCTGAGCTCTAGTGTATTCGGTGTTTTTTAGGTTCTTTGCAGTATAGCATAACATCTATCGCTTAGTTTTTCAATATTATTCCTGTAAGGAAAGCGAGAAAAAAAGAAGAGCTTCTTCAGAGCACCGGAAATGGCTCGAATCGCTTACGCTTCTATCACAGCCATTCTCAGCGACCCGATCACAAGACTTATTGAGATGCCTTCTGAAGCACGTTTTTATTCACCTTTCACTTGGTCCTTTTTCGTTGTTGAATTTTTATTTTATTTCAGTATGATAACTTCCAGGCCGACTGGAAATGGGCCTTAGCACAGTATGTGAATTTGGACGCATGGCCAATCCACTGGGGAGGAAATCTATCCGAGAATGGTGATCCGAAATGTCCAGCGACTATCCGGTACTAGTTTATTGTCATTTGCTACTTAGTTTTCATAAACTGTTCACGAAATCCTCTAAATAAAGACACTAAGTAGAAAATAAAGTTAAAAAAATAAAAAAAAAATAAAGTTTGGCATTGCTCAATTTCGCTGGGTTGCGCGGCCATGTTGTCGTCACAGTTGTAAAGGAGAAAGTGGACGGCATCTAAATAACGACTAACGAAGGTCAGCGGACGAACAAATGAAGGTGGTTGACGTTCTCAGCTCATCGACGAGTCTCTTAACAATTGATCGACGACTAATAGACGAGGAGTCTGCAGGGTTGTAGAAACGGGTCAGATCGGTCTCGATGCGTCCATACTGGGGCCTTAGCGCTCCATGCATCACCACATCCATGCCTAATAAAACCTCGATTCCTCTCTTTCTCTCCCTTCCCTTTTCGCTTTTTCTCTCTCTCTCTGTCTCTGTCTCCGTCTGCGTTTATTAATTTCTGACGAATGCATCCCTCATTCGACTTCATCAGGCATCATTAGAGATGATTGAATGCATATCTGGTCTATACAGTGACTTACAGTGGGCTACCGCTGTATCAAATCAGTGTTGCTATCTTCCCAGACAGGTTTGGTAGCAATTTGAACATGTCAGATAGATGAAAAGCTTGGTGAACCCGGTGGACGGAACCGAAGCAAAAACCACGTGTGCATATTGTAGGGCATCTCTAACCACAGTTCTACATGCACCCTTCCATGCTTAATAGTTAATACAAAATCGGAAATTGAAGATCTCGATTATGATTGTCTTAAAACGACTCCAGTCGTTGATGTCAACTGATCCCGCTGAGATGTTGCACCGAGCTCTATTAGAAGTTATTAAAATTGCTATCATTCAGATCTATCTTTCCGGCCTTTTCCATCAGGAAGCCCAGCTAAGAGTAAACCAGTACCAGGATCGGTCACTGTCCTGGTACCAAACTAGTCGCATGGTGGCAAATCTCCCTCTGCTCCACAAGGGCGGCGAATGTCTGTGGTGGTGACGACCAGGGGCAGACGACTTTGGCCAAGCTGACCTCAGGACTCTTGGGAACCACAATGAGTAAACCAGGAAAATTCCGAAAAAACGGAAAATGTGTTGGAACCCGCATAACCATTGAGGGCGGGCCATCCTATTATTCAAGTATCTAAGTATCTTTCAGATATGGTATGGGTCCAGTTCCGTCCGATTATTACGTCGATCCGAAGAAGGCGATGCCGGATTACGATCAGTTGACGACGGTATACGCAGGAGATAAGCACTTAATTTCAATTCGTATCAAGGAGAAGAGCAAAATATGGTACACTTCACAATATTTCAAGTACTCGTAAACCGTATGGTATCTTAAACTCAGGTTTTTCTGCGCTCAATAGAAAGTAGTTCGAATTATTTCGTGCAGTTAATTATGAAAATGTTAGTGGGTTTTCAGTAGAAATGCTATTACTAATGTCAGTACGAATGATGGAAATGATGAGGAAATAAAGAATATACGAAAAAGAAAGAAATGGACAAATGACGCCATTGGGCGGAATTTGTTAGTTAAAAAATTATGGAAACTCTAAAGTATGCATGAAATGATCGAGAATTTTCAGCTGGCAATATATGACGGATGATGACGATATCGGCTTTGCTATCCATTTTGACCCGTCCTTTCAGGTATGTAGTAATTGAGACAAACCCATCTTCACAAAAAATTTTGATTAAAGTGAAATGAGTCGTCAAGTGGATCACCCGTTCCTCGACTTGGAGCAATTAGTATAAAATTGAGCTTAAAATCCGGGTTTTTGCTTCTCCACGGATCTTTTTCTTCTGGACAACTTGTCGTGCTCTCTTCTTACGATAGTGCTATCCACTCGTTGTTTCACTTTAGCTTACAACGTTTTTTCGGCGTTCTATCAGTGATTATTTTTTCTGTAGTCCATTATGGTGACTGACTGCCATAGAATGTCGATTTGCTTGGATCTCTCCTCACAGTACAGCAAAAGCTGAGGAAACCCTGAGTTTAGGTGGCGTTGGGTCGAGCCCATTTTACGTTTCATTCGTTCATGCCTCTTCCCGTTTCTCTGTTCTCTTGTGCATATTGTTACAACTCGCATAATCCTTGCAAAATGTGTTACTCTTACCGCGGCAAAATGAAAAGTTTTAGAGGAATCAACCATTGTTGCACTGTTGTCTAAACGTTTGATCAAAGCAAGTATTCATGGGGCTGCGGTCTCCAGTTCGCTAGAATTCTAGCAGAAATATAGCTTCAATGATGCTGAGATATTTGCAAAGCTCTAGACCGCAGATGTCTGCGGTGGAGAACGAACGCGCTACTACACTTTCCGAGGGCTAACGCGTTCACCAGCACACCATGCGGGTCCTTCGTTTCGCCTGTTTCTCATCTAGTTCTAGCTAAAAATTCTGAAAAATTCTAGCAGATTTTGTCTGTTCCAACAGCCGTGTCGGCTGTTGAACTATTCCCTCAAATCAGAACTTTGACAAGAAGAGTTGTTGAGCATGATAATCCTTTAGAAGCGATCTGAAGTATTGGCATAGGTATTGTAGAGAGTCTTAAGTAGGGAAATGAGGCCTTTCCTGACATAGTAATCGTTGACAATCCATATTGCTAAGTGTGTACTCCACGTTGTGTTGTTTTGTCACTTTTTCGTAAGTTCTTTCCTATAGCAACTGTTATCTTATGCTTTACGAAATATATTCTTTGTTTCTCCTGAAATAACTCATCTTCAGGACAGAAAGGTAGTCTTTTTTAGATAGCAGTAATTCGTTTGATGAGTAATAATAGATAAAAATGGCTTGACTTGCCCCCTTTTCATCTATTGAGAAGAACTCTTCCAAAAAAAGCTTGAAATAAATTTGTGACGTGCATAGGTCAGGAAAATTTCTCGTTTTTCTACAACTTCACTTACGTCACCTTTTCTTCTGTTTGCCGTACAGAGTGACTCATGATGGTGCTAGTTAGGGCTTCAATCGTTCCTGCGGCATGCCATAGTTGTCACTGCTGATTCAATTAACACAAAGATTATCATATTGTTCGTTTTGTTTTTCTTGTAAAAGTATGACCATTAGCTGGTCTTCGTTTTGTGCACTTGACATATAGTGAAAACCAGTTACTAGTGGGTCATATCCACCAGTTTTCATTAAGATGTATTACGTGTCTAAACAGAAGTGACTCTGATTTTTGATTGTTGACTTTGGTAGCATCTTCCACCAAGATCTCTCTCTAACTTGATTCATAACTTCGGAATTCTACTTTCATTCGGGATACTTCTATCGTCACGTTGGCAATAGTGCGTTTGGTAACCCTAACCGAAGTTTCATTCTGATTACGTAGCGTGTTGGCGGGTGGAAAAAGTGAACTCGGAAGAGCCGGCATAACCAGTTGACGATATAAAATCGGTGTTACTACCAAAACGATGTTGATATAACTGCCCCATTAACTTTCACTCCAGTGGAAACCCATACTGGTTTTCGCGTGACGTCTGAATTATTAGAAAATTCAGGTGACGTCGCCTACTGGAACTACTTTCTTTACAGTGACGATGTCTTTTAAAATGTTGGAAATCTGTTCGTGAAATTACTGTACAATTTGCACCAGATTTGATTGGATGGACTGCTCTGTTCTTCATTGGATATATCACTGCTTTTTCGCACAATAACACGGTCTTGCTGGTTTAGTACTAACCGAGCCAGTGTGTTATGAAAATTCGCAGAAGTTCTTAAGATGTTCACGTCTGATCCTGTCAGGATAGCGCGTTGTAAAAGTCTTCACCGTAAGGTACCAACCATTAGAAAGATATACACATTCAGTATTATATAACATGATGAGAGATACATTTGCCTATTTCGAATGTGTGCAGAATCCTGAATGGTCTCCATTGCCATTCCCTCTGCAGTGAACTGTTCCATTCGAATGTCGAAGAGCCATGGTCTTGATTATGCCGTAATCCAAGCCCTAACAGGCGCTGCGAATGTTCTTTTCAACGTTTCAAGCTTTACCGAATACTGGTGCTCTTCTGCTCTCAAGACCATCGTTTATCACTTCGCTGTGGCATTTTGCCAGTTGGGATATAAGTTGGTGATTTTCTTTGATTTAAGGTAGTTTTGGGACCTCGTTTTTTGAATTATTTAGCTCTCTCTCTCTCTGCAAAAAACAAATAGTGGAATACAAAGGCGATGGTCCGATCCCGTATAAAACATCGGTTGGTCGTCTAATTACTTTGGGCCAGTCCATTTCTTAATGGACCTTTCAACTAGGAGGCCTCAGCATGAAACCTTAAGAAAACGGCTTTTGAAATAATGAGATACCATGGCTGGTATCATGCCGGCCTGTGCTTTTTGAGGTAAGCTTTTTTAGATGTTTTCTGGGATACTGAAGTCGTCGATTTTGATTTTGAGTAGCGCATGGTCTTCCTCGTAAACGGCATCGGTCGACGTCATGTGAACTGCTAACTGTAAAGTTCCTTGTAAACGGTTTTACTATCGGATTACATAATTCAGACATAGAAGAAGTAATAATCCATCTACTGAATCCACATACGTCTAAGAGGAAGTGCAATGTGGAATATGGTCTACGTTTAACCCCTTAGCTATCAAACATGGCCGAGTCATGAAACTTCTTGACTGTGTTGTACACTGTATTTCCGCTCTCTATGCCACCTGGCACCTTTCGATATTATGACAAGAAAACTTCACAGCGTACTGAAACACGATTCATAAGATTTATGTGCTCTTAAGATTACCTCTAGTGTTTCGAAGCATTCGAACATAAGTGACCGTAAACCCGTTCATAAAGTGTCTTTTTTCACGGTAAAAGCGAATTACAGTGCTTTATACCTTCTTCGGTAACTGATTTCCTTGGCAAGAACGTCCACTGGTTTTTATCTCAAAAAACTGAAGGACTCTCATTTACCAAGTCTTTGTTCTAACGGCGTACCCACTCAGGTTTTTTTTTGGAAACTGGTCACTTTTGGTGTTATCTTTAGGACTCTTTCGCGCTAACCTGTGATTCATTCCTTTTTGATGTTGCTTCCTTTCCTTTCCTATCTTTTTCTACTTTGTACACATGAAATGATAGCTGCACAATGTTCTCTGATCTATTCAAATTCGTCTAAACAGTGTTTCAGGCGAACAACTTGACAGAAATGGAAGTTGTCTATCCGTACATCCGCCTCGAATGCACAAATGTTCCGATTTCTGGGCACTATGTGGCTGAAAAAGCGGGAAACTGTTAGTTTTCTCTCTAACGCATGATAATAAAAAGTAAAAAGGATAAAGCTGTCGGCGTTGATCAATCCCTCAGAGATGCACCTTGCATTCGACTTCATCATTTGGAGGTGATTGAATGCATACCTGGCCTTTACAATGACTCGCGGTGGCCTACCGATGTGTCGAGCTAGTGCTGCTATCCTCTCAGACAGGTTTGGTATCAATTTGCCGACCCCGGAGGGATGGAAAGCTTGGTGGGCTATGGGCGCGGGCATCGATTCCACGTATGTGTTGCAGAGCGCCTTCGACTACTGCGCCACAGGCGCGCGCCTTTCATAAGCATAGTAATGTAGTCACGTTTTTTTCCCAACTACAATTCCATTCTTACTTGTAAATATGCAACTATTTATCGAATTACAAACAACATTAGCTTTTAGATATAATCGAGTTCGACAACTACTACTCGTGGTTTTCAGCCAAGCAGCTTCGTTATAACATTGAAATTGAAGAAATGTAGCTTAGTTAATTTAACAGTTGTAAAGCACTGTTTGCGTTTAGTTGTACATAAAAGCATAAAGATTGTGTCGTCTTGAATGGTGTCCACCAGCTGTTGATTTCATAGCGACAAAGTTAATTCTATGGTTTTTCAAGGAAGGTGTAAGTACTGAAGAAAGGTATTCATATCATACCAGAACATAAACAAAAGGCTGCAATTATGTGTATACAGGAGATATAAGTGAAATCGGCACAAGAGATGGGTTGATCTTCCGAACTCATCTATGTACCTGCACATGGTGGCCGTTGGTCCGTGTCTGACCCATCGCCCACGGTCGCATCAAAGTGGCTGACTAACCAGGTTGGAAAAACCTTGGAGGGATGGATGCATGAGGAACCCACATCACGGCTTTCTAACTCCAATATGCACGTCCACACATTCTAAGTTGGCTTAAAGAATGCCTTTTCGCTCATCCACAACGACGGCTGCCAATCCTCACCTTAGACCTAGTTTTGTAACTACAAAATCTTCTAGTTTTCGCTCAGCTTATTCAGCCACCATCGGTATAGTCGGCGCCAAGCAGTTCAAAAGAATGGGACGGAAGCATGAATTGCAGTCCTGAAATGGTGTATTTTCTCACTTTTCCTTTTTTTTCATGACCAAACGATATGTAGATTCCAGCACGTCTTAGGCTCGATTCGTCTACACGCACCCACTATCCACGAAGGTTTTCGAGCTTTTTGCTTGTGAGCCCGGATAATGCTTGAGGATTTCTGTTTCTTATCAATATCTATCACTAGACGTTCTAATCAATCCCAGCAGGAATTTCTGAGGTGCCGTGGTGGATCGTCTCCAGGTCTTTCCAATGAAAACAACCATAAGCCTTTACAGGTTGCAATAACCTCTCCAGAGTAGTCCTATGCCGATTTGCTGACCCCAGAAGAATAAGGGGTTTGGTTGACTCGGTGAGGAGTCGATCCAGGGGACCTTGCGCATATTGCCGTCTCTACTACTGGAGCGCCAGCGTCTCAAAGTAGTGTATTACGTTAAACATATCGCAATTAAATATTCGAAGCTAAGTTCATGCTCTAATTGGGTCGACGTTTTGAATTTGGATGAAAGTTGTCAAATAAGATGGCTCATTCTATCAGTTCTGAACATACCGTCTTTAAATGATGCGGAGATATTTGCAAAACTCCGAACCGCAGGTGTCTGCGGTGGGGAATGAACGGGGTACTACCCTTTCCGGGGACTAACACGTTCACCACCACACCAGGTGGGTCCTTCGTTTCACCTGTCTCTCGGTTAGTTCTATCGATTACTGCCATCAGCAAAAAAAATACCGCCTTTATTTGAAATGCTATTCATTTTGTTCTTGAGGGAAAACGGCAGCATTTAGTGGAATGCGCAAGAATCTGAGAAGAAATAGCCCTTCTATTTCGTTGCTATTTAAACCTGCCCACCGGCGCGACACGAACTGAGTTTAGTGAGCACTTCTTCCCAAGCCTGTGGTGGCTTCAGTCTTTGCCCGAGTAGTGAGGAGCACAAGTGCTGCGCTCAGATAACGGTTGTCGACTGATAGTGAGAAGTCACTCTACTGTCACAACCTATTGCTAATCACACGTGATCTGTGGATTGATGCCGTTTAGTTGGATTCATTTCAGTTTGTTACTACTCATCTAGCCGGTAGATGCCCGACTCTTCCAGCGAAGGTGTGTTGCTCTTCCTTTCTACGTTGTTGTATAGATCTCTGCAAATATGGCACAGGGCTTTTCTCTTCTACCATGATTTTCCGATTTTTTTCGAAGTACGCGAAATAAGATTCTTTCTTGGAAGCTCATAATGTGAACTGCAAATTAATTGAAGGAGCCACAGAATTCGTTCAGCAGAAAACGATGGTGCATCAACCTCGCTTGTTTATAAGACATAGTTATTAAGTGCATTCCTCAGTTTTTATTTCAAAACCGACTTTCCTTTAACCTTGGTATTACTAATCAACGTGTATTCTTTCTTTGATAAGCTTACACGAGGTTGATAAACGATTTTTATTCAGCTAATGTTTTGACGTCTTTGCCTTCATCAGAGCCGATGATCCGAGTCGATACTCCACCATTCTTCTTCGTCTCGATGGTGAGAGGTGCTCCGCTCAGGAAGACACAACTCGATACGAAGGCGAAGACGCAGATGATCTGAGTCGATATTCCACCGTTCTTGTTCGTCTCAATGTGGCATCTTCGCCTTCGTATGAAGTTGTGTCTACCTCAGCGGACCATCTTTCACTATCGAGACGAAGAAGAATGGTGGAGTATCGACACGGATCATCAGCTCTGATGAAAATGAAGACGTTGAAACGTTAGCCGAGCAAAAAACAAATTGACAACCTCAGTTTTATTTGAAAATTTTAATTTTATATGAAAGTTAGACCCTTAGAAAGGAGGTGCACGCGTTTATAGCGACAAAGGTAAACCTCTTCACTAAGAAAATCAAGTTATCAACTTTTCACGCTGATATTGAAAAAATATCGGCAGTTATCAAGAAAACCAGAATCGCGTACAGTATGTTAAGGATATGAAAAAATATTTTTGGCCACTAATCAGTCCGTAGAGCGTGTGTGGCCAGTGGTCGGAGGCGCCCTGCAACCAAAACGTGGAGTCGATCCCTGCGCCCATGGCCAGAAGGGCTTCCATCCCTCTGGGGTTGGCAAATTAGTACCAGACTTGTCTGGGAGGGTAGCAGCACTGGCTCGACACGTTGGTAGGTCACCCCGTGTCGTCGTAAATGCCAGATATGCATTCAACCAGCTCCAAACGATGCTTAGTAAAGTCGAATGCACGGCGCATCCCTCAGGGATTGATCAACGCCGAGAGTTTTGTCCTTTACTCTTTATCCTTTAATGAGAGGCGAACAAAACACCGTAATATATTTGATATCCCACAAAACTTCACCAAATGCTGAGAATAATATGCTTGGATGATTTACGCACAAGGTGTCGATATGCTCTAGAAAGATGTAAGGGTACGAAAAGAATATAGATGAAATGAATCATATGAGAAATCAGAAATTTCTGTGAAAACACATACAGAAACCTATGGTTAGGGAACGAAAATATGAAGTAAAGGACGAGATCAGTTTCACGACAGTGATCGATAAAACTAGCTGAGAGACAGGCAAGTCGAAGGACCCGGATGGTGTGGTGGTGAAGTGCGCCGCTCCCCTGTGAGGACAACAGCGCGTGTTCGTTCCCCACTGCATACACCTGCGGTCCGGAATTTTGTAAATATCTCAGCATTTCATACGAGTTATATTTCGCAACATACCCTTCCATTAAAAAGAAAAAGGCAGTAAATAAAAGGGTTAAGAATCTGATTTTAGTTTGTCATCTACAAAGTGAAAAAAAACCGACTCCTTTAACAAGAATGATGATTCGAGCATTCATCTTTGCTCGATTCATTTCCTTTTATGCTTTTTCTTCTATTTCTTCCATTCATAGACGTCATGAGTCGATTTGTTTCCTTGGAAGCGTAGACTTCCAACCGATAGATCAGTTTACACTACATAGAATTTTGTGACCTTGCACTCAATGGTAATCCTACTGCAGCGAAGTGATCGTTAAGGCAAAATTTGCACATCTGCACAGTTTCTGCCAAAATGTATCATTTTCACGTTTTCCGTCGACCTTCTTTCCCTCATCATAAATTCAATTCTCCTTTACCCTGTAGATTCGGTTTTTTTTAACTTGGGGCTTCCCAGTGGCGTGCCGTTTTCTAGAAGCACCCAAGCAAAGAGCTTTGTGTTTCACTCATTTTTGAAAAAGGAGATAGCATTCGCTTCAATTATTTTTTGGGATCTTTTCAGAGAACAAAGCACTCGAGCCCTACTGGTTTGTATTATTCGAACTCGTCTACATTGTGATTTTCGTTATTATTTCACTTGTAATCCACCTACTACGCCTGCTCAAGGTTAGTCGCTCAACTGTTACAGGTTTTCTTCGACGAAATACTGCCTAACTTCGTGCAACTGCTAAGGAGATATTCAAAACCTCATGTCCTACCATTCAGCCGCCTAGAGGAATTCCCACGCGGGTTCAAACCCATATCACTAATGATCAGGATTCATTACTCCAGATTTAGTGTCTCTCTCTCTTTCCTTCTTCCACATTTCCAGTGGTTTATGAATACGTGCAACTCCTTACTGTTTTCTCGGGTTTTTAAACCCATACCCTTATTTGTTCTTTCTGTTAATTCCTTTTTTACTCGAGCTATTTTGCTTCTGTTAACGGTTTTCCTTAAAAAAGCTTTTTCTATGGCGTAATATTTTCCACTATTCAAAAATTGCAACTTTATGACAATGGGGGAAACGTATAGCATGGCTGGGTGGTTTTGGGGGTGGAGATTGTTCTTGACTACCGGCCACAGTGCCCAGTCACGCACTTCATGACAAAACTGATTCATACCCCGGCAGTGAACAAACATTGTTTGGATACTCCTAGTATTATTCCGTCTCATTTATTTGATATTGGTTTTCTAAGACGGACAATGACGCGGTCACGATACATCATAAAATTCATAAAGAAGTCATAGCTCAACAAGAACGAATGTTTATGGCTCAAAAGAAGGTAAATAACTTTTCCTGATTGGTTGACTTGACTGACTCTTTGACATGAGAGTACATCAACCATATGGAGTCAAATTTTTCAGGAAAACTTCTTGCGTATAAACCCATCGTAGTTACTCGCCAATTGCTTGTTCTATTAGAAACGGCGCTTTCATTTCCAGTGAATTAGTTAAAGTCTAACTTTCAAATAAAGATTTTCAAAACATGGGTTATGTTCTGGAAGAGACTAACAGACTACCGGCGAGTAGTTCCGTTCCTCAAAGCTCATCTCTTTTTATGAGTTCATTAGGTTTTAAAGCTCTTTTTTCACCGTTGGTCTTCAGGCCTGACGGGTAATTTCAACTTGTCGCGAATACTTTTTTGTTACATTACTTTTGCAGCATAGCAATTTTATATCACATTTAACAAACAAAACATTCAAATAACAGACAAAACGGGTCTAGAAAATTTTGCACAAAGCTTGACGAGGAACTCGGATTTCAGAACGGATTAGAGAATGAAAGTGCGCTTTCGTTGAGGAAGGGGCACCTAATAAGATGTGAGTCATAACTGGGTGTTTAGAGTCAAGTGGTCGACGAAAAGCTTGCCACTCAGCTGAGTGGATTCCAGCACATATTGCAACCAGTTTGCAGGATCTCACAGCTTCTTTTGCGTAATTCCAGAAAGTTCAGAGATAGCCCTCCTTTTACCGTAGGCGTACGGAATTGCGCTATTGGTTGTAATATCACACGAATAATTGCATAGGCGAGAAAAAATTTTAACAACACTACTAATAATTATACATTAATATTACTGACAATAATATTTAAACAGCAAGTAAAATGTGCAGATATTCTGTCAAGAGATTCAAAATGTAGAAAACACTATATGAAATGCGTACAACGGGACGATGAGGAGACCACGAAAACCGGGAGTGGAACAGTTTGAAGATGTAGCAGGACAAGAAGGGGCTACCGGGACTGGAGACTTTGGGAGCGTGAGGACCATCGTTGAAGAAGAAAGGCAAGTAAAGAATGCGAAGAAAAATACTGAAAGAATGAGTGCATGCAAAAATGCCGTGTACATACAGGTATTAACAGATAAATGCACATACACACATATTACAAGCACATAACACACACACGCACACACGAACACACCCATGAGCTAGTCGGATGAGGATATGGTTTGTGAAGTGGTGCTGTTTTCCCTGGACGAAAGCGAACCGCTTAAATGATCCTTCAGATGTTGCTCGAGCTCTATGGGTGAGGCACAAACCTTAAAGAAATTAGCATGATCTTGAATTACTAAGCTCATGAAGCATTAGATTTGACTCTGTTCTCTACAAGCAATAAGTGCTTCTACAGTGTAACACCGACACTTGTCAAAAAAATATGATACTGCTCTGAAGTCATCAGCCTGAAGTTGTAGAATTGTTGAGCATGACGTAGATTCACTACAAATTACGATCATTATTATTGTTAAAGAAGTGTGGTTTTAGATGGGCAATCTTGGCCAGATTTAATTTAAACAAACGTTATTCTTGCTCTTGGAGCTGTTTCTATGAATGAGAAAATGGTTGCGATTTATTACTGATCCACAGGAATGTCACTATTACAGCCTCGTCGTAGCCATAGTACTGGTAGTCACGGTACGCTATCACCGAACTGTCTAACCGTAGAAAACTTGCGTGAGGAATGCTTTCAACTGTTGAGCCACGAAAATGGTTCTAGCTTCTTATAAGTTTGCTGATTATTCTCTTAATTTTCGAATGTGCAGCCTTATTCATCTCTATTTTATCTCTTTCGGCACCTAAAGTTGGACTACAAATTACGAGCGATGATAATGTACACGCAAGGTTATCAACCTACCTTTTGACAGACAGAGCACACCGTTCGCCAAAGCATCATCATCAGTTCCATATTGGCTACACCGGTTGGTGCGAACAACCCGAGAGGATGAGGCACAGGAAGACCACTGCCCGGTAGAGAGCCTGGACGAGGACCACTTTCCTCTGCAGTCACTCCTGCGTCGAATATTCGACGACCTATCAAAACTAAATTCAATACATAAGTAGTGAAGAAAACAACATGTACGCCGTATTTACCCCTTCTGTTTGGACTTTGTTGCCACATATGAGTACCCATGTGAACTTTCAGATTTCCTCGTGTCGTAAACGCACGGCCACACATTTCACATTTGAACGGCTTATCTCCTAAACTTGATTCGCAAGAGTTGTACTGTATTTTGTTATAATTCTACGCCTGAGAATTTCTTAGTCGCTTAACAGAACTGGGTATCGTCAATAGAAGAAGAAGAAATGTAGAAGGAGGATACGTAAGAACGTTTTATGCTTGGTCAAAAGTGTTTGTTATCTTTCATGTCATAAAATAGTAAGGATTTTTCCGAATTGCTAGACCAAGAACGGGATTATAAGCTTTTAATAAAGATAGTTTGCCTAACTTTTATTCCACGCAGTAGCCATTTCTTACCTGTATGCGTCCTCATATGAATTTGTAGAGCCGAGCTGGAACTGAAGTGCTTAAAGCAGACAGCGCATTGATGTTTAGATAAAACTGGAACCTGAAAGTCATCCAAGTTGTCCTATGCCCATTTCATCTGATAACTTCTTATGTGTTGAAATGAATAATATCTGGCTTCGAATATAAATTTAATATTGAAGGAAGGGAAAATGGAAAAAGAAGTTTCTCCATTCTTATTAGACATCCACTTCTTTTTCCTCACAAAGGATTTCTCAATGATCTTTAACCTTACTGGTTCTCGCAATCTTCCAATCTACCATTACATGTATAAGTATACATGAGGAGGCAGGTAGTTCAGTGATAGTGACGTCGCTCATCACGAGGATGGTATCGGTTCCACTTCGCCGCGGTCTTACCAAGCGTATCATCGTTCTAGTGTTGGGAAATCGGTAACAGTCTTGTGAGGGCTCTGCTCGCTCTTTGCAATCCATGTGAGAACGCTCTAGCCCGGATATTCCAAGATACCAGGGAGGATTGACTCGATCGGCATTCAGCGGCGTCCATAAAGAAGACGACAATCCTCAAGGAACAGCGGCACCCACACGCAGAAAGTTTGAAGACCTTCGTGGATGAAAGATGCCAGAAAATGAAGCGATGTAAGAAAAACTGCCAGGAACAACACAGCAGATATGGGGGTGGGTCATATTTTGAAAAAAATGAGAAAAAACTATTGCATACATTCAATTTTTTAATGTTTTCTTACTAGTTCTGTTTTAATGTAATATTAGTTGTTTCCTTATACCTGACGAGGAGGAGGTGGCTCCGTTTCTGCCCACATCTTCTGCATCGCTTCCAGAGGGTTATCTACCGGTCGCGTTGGGGTATTGATCGCCACGACCTAGAATTAATTTTATTTTGAAATCAATCACTAACAATAAGAATAACATCATAATAGTGATAACAATATAGGTAAAAATAACTATGGGATACCGGATTATCAACTGTATCGACTGTGGAAGAATCATGAGTTTGTTGCAGCTTACGGTCATCAGCATCCGACTCAACTGATCTGCACATCGATGATCCATCGGTGCTGAAATTAAAAACTTCTAAGGGTTTGCTATCAAATTTATTGATTCACTACTTCTTAAAGCTTTATGTCTAAGTTTTTCTCTTCCAGATCTTAACACTGCGTGAAGAAGCATGATTTTTAACGGCGCTAAAACGGAGCGCATATAATGCAGGGAATGCGGGGGATACGGTGCAGTACAATACAAACCTTGTTGTTCGACCGAGCTAACCAAACCCACCATCCCTTTGAGGTTTGGGAGGTGGAAACACTAGATAAATAAGCAAGCCGTAGCAAGACATTGTGTGGAGGAGATACTCTTCAAATCACATTTAGGACCACGAATGGAACCCAATGCATGGCGCATCTCTGACGAGTTGGTTCAATATTTTCACGTAGATACATTTCTTTTTGATTACATAACACCTTCACGGTCCTTTGTAGTCAGTCGATGGCTTGCCGAACAGAGATTTTATATCGGAGGCTGTTTCATTGATAGGTATTCTCAGCTATACTTGCAAAAGCCATTTCGGACGGTGGGATGGAGTTGATTGATATAAAAAACATGGAATAGGCAGAGAATTACCTAAGCTACCATACGAAGCTATGCGAAAAGCTAACAACGTCATGGTTAGGTAACGGACGAATTTTTCACACACAAGAGGTGTCCAGCAACATGGGACCACACACGGAAGAACATAGTGAGTACGTAGAAGTTAGAGAGACATGGAAAAACGTAAGGGAATTGATGAAGTAGGACGATAATCTCAAGAAGGCAGTGCATCATGCCTCTTTCGAGGGTTCACGGACAGTACATTTTGATTTCAACATGCGTACCGATTGTACTCCAGCCACACGAGCCCGGCCTTCAGAAATGTAGCGCTCTTGAAAGGGTTAACCATTAGCGTACTTTTTCTAACACCCTTAGCATCATTGCTTTCGGACCGTGTACTGTAGTAACTGATGTCGTGTATAAGTATGTTAGGAAATAATGCTTTTTTATTTTATATAACCCGTCTTCACGCCTACGGTGGGGATCCCAGCACTTCTCACATTCGATTCGTTTCCTTGCATCCATCATCCACGAAGATCTTTCAACTTTTACGTGTGGCTACGGTTGGTGCTTGAGGATTTTCATTTAATATTGAATGTCGTAGAATACTGGTCCAGTAATTTTCTCTGGAGCCCTGAGATAATCGGGTTGCAGCGTTCCCAATTGGATTGCAGAGTGATTTTTCCCAGACAAGTCCGATTCCGAGATTTTCCGACCCTCAGCGGATGAGCGGCTTTGTTGACCCGGTGCGAACTAGTACTATGCTCATGATGACGGACATCACTTCCACTGTGCTATCAGCCCGCTGTTGGAAAATAAATCAAGCGAAAATTTTAAAGCACTACTGTTTACCTTATTTTTGCACCATTTTTCGTTCATTCTGTTTCACTACCCTGATCTCCATAATAGCCATCCTTTGTATTACGTTCTTAACTATGCTGCATAATTTTTTTAGCCACAAGCAAATCTATTTGCTTGTTTGAAATTCATCGTGCTGAAGTTTCTTCGCTTGTATGAAGGGTACAGGAATGTGTTTGAAACCTTAGAAAGAGCAGAAATATGATAATGTAAAGGTTGCGTACAGAAATTTCTTATGCGGCCTATTTTCACATATTGTTGGGGATCCAGCATTTCTGTCCTCATTTTGGTTGCCTGACCACCGTCATCCACGAAGCTCCTCGGTTATGCAAGTGGATTCAGCCATTAATTGATGATTTCGTCTTCTTCATGAATATCGTTCAAAGCTGGTCGAGTTGATCATCCCTGGATTGCTGCCGTAACTCTATCACAGCGTTTCCAGCTCTTCACCACAGGTGGTTGGCTGCCTTTGCGAAACTGACAAATTTGATATAAAGATGACGACACTAAGAAGTTCCTGGTTCACCGGGGAACGAATCGAACCAGCAACAATTATTCTAGTGCGCAGAACCTCTAAATACTACCCTTCCCGGGTCCCATGTGACTACTACTGCGAAAAACACTTTAGAGAATAATTGTCGATTTCTTCCTAGCGGTTTACCGCCTCATATTGGTTGAGAGGTTTTCCTGGATGTCGGCCTACGATGTTTAGCGAGAAGATTCATCTCACAGCATAGCCTCCCAAGTTGAGAAAGGAGCAGGGCAGACGTTTCCATTTGGAAACCCACCCAAGAGTAGACCAATACCAGGATCCACCACCATCCTGGTACCAAACTGGTCGTATGGGATGCTTGGGCCCGCCCAACCAGTGAGGACGGGCCATCCAAGTATTAAGACTGGTCACTTTACTGACCCCATTTTTAATTCACCCATTTAGCTTCCTTTCTTGTTATTTTAATTGGACGGGTACCATAGTCGTAGTCGATGCCGATGCCGATAATCATGAGCTCGGCACTAATTCGATCCCCCTCCAGGCCCACGAAACCTCTCATCCTTCCTGGGTTTAAAAAATGCTACCTAGCTTGTCCGGGAAAGAGACTACTCTCTGCAACCCAAATGGGGACGCTCCAGGCTGGCTATACCAGGACTCCAGGTAGAATCGACCCCATCAGCATTCTACGACATTCAAGACGAAATGCAAAACCTTAAGCAGCAGCAAAAGCCACAGAGTGGAAGATCTTCTTGGATGACGTATGAAAGGGAACGAATCGAATGTGAAAAATGCTGGGATCCGCACAGTAGACGTGAAGACGAGTCGCATAAAATAAAATAAAAAATCAGTGATTTTGCCAAGTTTTCGTAAAAAGAGAATGAATAAAATTTTCCGGCCACGAGATTACTGTGCTGGAAGAATATTGAGTAGTGTTGTTAAACACATGTTCCTTCGTTTATTGATGTACTACTACCGATCTCTCAATAAGACTGCCAATCATCTGTTTAGTTACTCAATTTTTCTTAAACGACTAATGTTAAATGCTAAATGGCAATAACCTAATAACTACCATAGCTTATATTTTGTTGCTCCAGGACTACTGAAGGAAACTCACTGGTCGTGATTTTGTTCAGTGGATGCGGACGCTTCGCTGCTACCAGATGGTGAAATTGACGACATTTCAACTTTCGGCAGTTCGAGAGTGGTAATAGCGGTAAGTTTTAGGGCTTCACCTGTCCTTAAACGAATTCATTCTCAGAATCTTCCATGAGATTAATAAACTGAGATCCATGATGAACTATGATAACACCTAATACAAAGAACTTATTACTTATGACAACGTGTTTTCTATAGAGCGCCTAACAACAAATGAATGCTTAATAGTGGTGCCGGAACAAAATCAGTGAAAGCCCACTGCATACTGCTGGTCCCATAAAAGATAAAAAGATAAAACTCTCGGCGTTGATCAATTCTTGATGGATGCGCCATGTACTCGACTTCATTAAGCATCGCTTATAGGTGATTGAATGCATATCTGACCTTTATAATGACTCTCGGTGGCCTATCGATGTGTCGAGCCAGTGCTGCTATCTACCCTCCCAGACAAGTCTGGTTCCAATTTACCGACCCCAGAGGGATGGAAGGCTTGGTGGACTAGGGCACGGGAATCGATCCCATGTGTATTGTAGGGCGCCTCCGACCACTGCGCCATACGCGCCCGCTTGTCCTATATTTCTTAAAAGAACTCAATTATTAATTAAGAGTATGTGACGCTAGCGATGAGTTCCCGGATAGAAATATTAGCTATACTGTAGAAGACCATTTTAATTCACTCGTTATGTCGATTGAGACGAATAAAGGTAACGAGTCGAAAAGTTGTGAAGACCCCGTATCATTTGTTATTCAAGTAGTTTCATTTCGCCAAGCAGCATGGGATTATTGCATTTGGCTTGATGTGCGAACGAAAGACGGAATTCTTTTGCCATATAATTGAACTTCATAGAATCCTGAGCTCTGAACTGACCTAGGTTCCTCCTTTATTTCAGTCTCCAACTCGGCCTCCTTGTTTTGATCTACTTGACATCCCAAAAGGTGGTTGAGATTAAATGGTATTCGACCGTCATTGTGCACTGTTGAATTGAAGAATGGAAAGAGTGGAGGAAAAGGAGGTGGAAATGGTCTGAAAATAAGAACATGGTGGTGCGTCGGTTTCTTGTTCAGCAATCGCGAGGTTGTTAAACAGCATACATTTACTTCCATAGAAAAACACGATCCAATACAACAGTAGCTGACGTTTCGGCAGTGTCGCCTTCTACAGAGCATGGAAGGGTACACTAATACGCAACTTACTAGGTCAAACGCTTCAATAACACTTAGAAAAAGACGAAAAAACTCTATGGCAACTGCATGATCAACAGCTTCTCGAAAAACTCACCGCTTTTTACGAGACTTCCATTGAGGAAGTTTAGAAGAGCTGATTATAGGCGCTTATGGTTGGTAACCTCACATGAAAAATTGGTGTGAACATACGGGGTCAGGTCGCCTATGACCTCTGGTCATTCATCCCTCCTTGGTTGGATCAGTTCCTGATGTGGGGTGGTGCAGTCACCAACCATATGCGACTATAATCAGCTGTTCTAATCTTCCTCATTGGCAGTCACGTAAAAAGCGGTGAGTTTTTCGAGAGGTTGCTGATCATATAATTGCCATAGAGTTTTTCGTCTTTTTCTAAGTGTTATTGAAGCGTTTGACCTAGTAAGTTGCGTATTAGTGTACCTTTTCAGGCTTTGAAGAAGGCGACACTGCTGAAACGTCAGCTACTGTTGTATTGGATCGTGTTTTTCTATGCAAATAAGTGTATACTGTATAACAACCACGTGATTGCTGAACAAGAAAACGACGCATTCATATTCCAATGCCGTGGTTAATAGAAAGTCGATCCTGGGAATATGATGGTGCTTTACCACCTTTTAAGGTTAGCACATTTAAACGGCTTTAGGAAATGCATTTTCACTACTAATTTCTCCTAGTTTTGAAACGAGCTCGTGTCTTCAGAAGTCACAAAACGCGCTATTTACTGACCCTGGACGTGATGGCAGCATAAGTTTTGGGCTGGAGGGAGACGGTGAGGACGGCAGATGCCTGGCCGTCAGTGCGTGTGTGTGTTCTGAGATGTGACTTTGCAGTTGCATAGCAGTCATGAATCTGAAAAGAAAGTGCTTTAGAAAAGCTCAGTGCTTCAGTTCTAGGTTACACAATTAACGTTATTTTAAGTGTATATGTGAAACTCAGAAACTCTAAATTGCTTCTCCTTTTATTTGTCTTCTCTATTAGAAATTTTTCCTGTTAGTTGGCCTCGTTCCGGCTGTGAATTGTTCCTGAGTGTTGGACTACTATGCACAGCGGAGATTCGTCGCTCCGAAGAAGCAATCAGAAATTTAAATATTCGAGATTAGATAAAAATAAACTTATGCCAAGAATGACGGCCGTCGTAGAGGAAACTTCCTACAGACGTCGCATAGTTCGACTATGCACATCTACTGGTAGAGGTGAACTAGAGAAGTCTGAAGCGAGTTTTTCGAAAATCCACAGTAACGGTTTGGCAAGCCACTAATTTACCATTAGGATAGCAGTTGAGCCAGGTTAATTCTTCGTGAAAGCGAATCAGTGAAAGGATGAAGTAGTTAAGTGCTTCAGAATTACTGCATGTTTATAAAATTTGAAAATGACGCTTCACTAAACAAATAGTTTAACATCAAAGGTTAAAGCTCTCGACGTTGATCAATCCCTGATAGACGCCCAGTGCATTGGACTTCATTAAGCTTCGTTTGTGGTGACTGAATACATGTCTGGCCTTTAGAATGGCTCGTGGTGGTGTACCTATATATCAAGACAGTACTGCTATTCTCCCAGACAAGTCTGGTAACAATTTGCCAATCACGTAGGGACGAACGGCTTGGTAAGCCTGGGGCGTAGGATCAAACCCATGTCTATTGTTGGACGCCTCTAACCGCTACGCTACACGTGCTCCTAGTTTAACATTATTAATATAAACGAAGACGTGTGTGTGGCACAACAGTTGGAGGCGCCACCGCGACACACGCGTGGAATCGATCTCCGCGCCCATGACCCACCAAGCCTTCCATCTCCACGGAGTCGGCAAATTGGTATCAGACTTGTCTGGGAGGATAGCTACACTAGTTCGATACATCGGTAGGCCACCGCGAGTCATTGTAAAGGCCAGATATGCATTCAATCTCCTCCAATGATACCTAGTGAAGTCGAGTGCATGGCGCATTCATCAGGGATTAATCAATGCCGAGAGCTTTATCCTTTATTATTTGTCGAAATCAGAACTCTTCTCTATAAAATTTCTTCTATCAACGGAAAAAACTCTTCTGCATATCACACCTATCCCTATCAGATCGTCGAATTAGTTGTAATCACATTATGGCAATTTTCGCATATCACTTATTTATTTCGTCATTATTTTTCTTCCCCCCGTTGAAAAGGATTTCTAGGAATCAGAACTAGAGATTTCGTATGCATTCCTACTTCATACCTTTTCTGACAAATCGGACATTGTTGCGCTTGCTGCAATCCCGGAGGGAATCCACCTACTCCTCCCAAAGGCGAGCATATCGGACCACCCATCGGCCCACCCAAGCCGATTGGCACGCCCCTGAAGGAGTGCTTGGCCCGGTGCACACCCATGTGAGTCTTCAAATTTCCCTTCGTCGTGAATGCCCGTTGACATATTTTGCATTTGAATGGACGTTCACCTGCAATTCGTGATTATGATCGCTTATGTCTTAGTACTAAAGTTCCAAGAAATAATTAGTCTACTCTGCTAGGTTTTCTTCAGTGGAAATGACAGAATAAAACCCACATAAGCAGCCCGATTCAAATGACTTAGAGTACTTGTGGTCATATCTACCTACATGGAGAACAATGGAGACAGATTTCATTAACTTAAACACACCCGTATGAGTACGATAATGCATTTGGAGTGCACTTTTACAAGACAACACCCTTCGGCAAAGGATACACTGATTGGGGTCGGTCGTTGGCATCGCCTTGTCGCCCACTAGTGCACGAATTTTCTCCGCCTCGTCGCTGGTAGAAATCTGAAACAAATACGTTCAAAACAATCTCTAAGCAATTTTAACTTATTATTTACTGCCTACTCTTTTTAACGGCAGGGTATACATTGTGAAATATAACTTCAATGCTGCTGAGATATTTGCAAAACTCCGGACCGCGGGTGTGTATGCGGTGGGGAACGAACGCGCTATTGTCCTTTTCGGGGAGTGGCGCGCTCACCACCATACCACGCGAGTCCTTCGTTTCGCCTGTCTCTCAGCTAGTTCTCTCAGCCTCCAGATCAATCCTGCTGACGGGTGATTGCTGATGGCAAAAGATCGATAGAACTAACTGAGAGACAGGCGAAACGAAGGACCTGCGTGGTGTTGTGGTGAACGCGCTACTCCCCGAAAAGAACAACAGCGCGTTCGTTCCCCATCGCATGCACCTGCGGTCTGGAGTTTTGCAAATATCTCAGCATCGTTGAAGTTATAATCTCTAAACACTCTTGATGTGGTAGAGTTTTATGCCAACTTGGCCCGCGTTTGTATCTACGTTTTAAGATACCCATAATGTTATAGAATGCTACGAGGAAAGTGGATGACACACCAAAGCTCACACCTTTCTTAAAAATGAATAAGATCACTTCTGTCTTCTATACAGTTGCTCGTTGCTCGAAAAATAATTCTTATTAATCTTTGGAGAGTGTGACAACCTTGTCTCCAGTTTTTTGATTTTTATTCAGCACATTTTTGTTTACCCTTTATGTTTCGATGATACTCGCTCAGAGGTTTCGTAATCGTAAGGAAGAATTTCTATTTCTCACCTCCATCAGAGCCTCCCAGTCATCTTCAGTGCTACCGATATCGGGTCGTGGAGCAAAAATATCGGGGTGCTGCTCGAAAGGTGATCGCATAAAAACTGAATAGCTTCAAATATTCGTAGGACTGTGATCAAATGCACAATTAGACATGTTCTTTACGTGAACCGGTAGCCTTGGAGCAAATAATACAAGTTAAAATGTTTCTGCCACGATAAATGAGATATCGAACTTACACGGCGGCGGTGGAGGTGCGTTGTGAATCGCGAAGTGAGGAGTTATCGAAACCGGAAAAAGATTCGGCGACGTCGAATTGAGAAATCCAGGGTGTTTTTGTGGAAAAAATTGTCCAAATATAGCCGGTGGTGGTGGAGGAGTACGAGTTTTTTCTACTAGAGTGAACGATGGTCCGGCAATAGCAGGAACAGAACCGCGGTCCGCATCTGGACTTGAACAGAAGACACGGCTGCAACCAGCAGACGACGGTCGCGGTAGCACCGACGAGCAGTCGTGCTCACGAATCTAGAAAACCATTTACTTCTTAAAATTGCTCGATGAGAAACAATTAAAGTCATTAACAACTTTATCACTTCCATGCATAGTAGTGTTAAAATAGAATTAAAAAAATATCTTGTCGTCTTGGTCAGGTACAAATAGATCCATACTTGATCGCGATCTCCAAAGCGAATGCCACATTTGTTGCATCGAAGAAGCTTCTCGCTTGAATGCCTTTCCATTATGTGCCAGAGTAGCGCCCCTCTGGACGAAAATATCTGAACCACGAAACTTCAGTGGCATCACACTTTAAGTCATTTAGAATTATCTAAATTTGAAACCATCAAAACAAGAAGGGAAAGGACGCAGTGCACGAGATGTGTTAAAAAAGAAAAGTAAACTGGTAGCAGTAACCTCTGGAGGAACTTTAGCACTAAAGGAAAAGGTGAAAGAGGAACACTTCAAAAGCTATTATGTTGACTGATCTCTTGCCTCTTCACATGGAAGAGCTAATGAGTCCTCGGGCAAATTCATGAATAACGGTTACACAAGTTGCCATAAGCGTGTCAATATTAGATAAGTAACGGTAAATGAAAATAGCTTAACACACCATTAAAGTAACTTCTCAGTGGCAGTTTCTAAAACAAGCCAAAAGAAGCATGCAGGATTGGGATTCACATTGAAGCTGCATTCAACCTTCTAAAAATTCAGCCCAACTACAGCGCTCCACAGACCTTCCTGCCCCGAAAAACCGAAGCCTTGTGCATACCCTGCTGACTAGTAGGGAATTTAAACGTGAAAGGAATATTGCTAGGTGCTCGCCCGATAACTACACGAAGAAAATCAAAAATTTGCAGTGCGACAAGTGATTCACTTAGTCAGAATATGCCTGTGTAGTTCCATTCAAAATGAGATTCGTAAATGTTGTGAATGGTATCCAACTGAACGTTCTTGTTCTACAACTGAAGAGTACTCCAAAAGCAGTTTGAGATTTGTTCTAAAAAGGCAGTCATTCCGTCACCACTGGACCCTCTTGGCAACTCACCTATAGCCCAATCTTATCCTTCACAATAGGTCTTAAATATCCACCTGTTTGTGCCCTACCGAAGCTATCAGTGAAATCTCACTCATTTGACTTCGAAAAATCTCTTACATGAATAGTTAACTAATAAAATAACCAAAAATAAGAACAAAATCCTGAGTTTATGGAATGCTACAATGAGGATTTCTTCACCCAACTCAGGTAAACAATAAATAAGCTACCGCCGTTGATCAGTCCCCGAAGGATGCGCAATGCATTCGACGTCGTCAAGCATCCTTAGAGATGACTGAATGAATGAATTTCAGTCTATACAATAAGTTAGGGTTCTCTACCGTTGCAAGGTTTATGCTGCTGTCCTTCCGAACAAACATTGCACTAATTTGCTGATTCCAGACGGATGGAAGGTTTAGTGAGCTCGTAGCTCAGGATGGAACCAGCAACCAAGTGTACATTGCACGCACCTCTAACGAGTTTTCTACACCCATCTCTCAAGTAAACAACATGCATTTAAAACCTATTTAAAAGCCTAAAAGAGTGTTTTTAACACAGGTCCCACCAAATTGGTCAATACAGAGAGAATGTACTCTGCAGAGTAACCGAAAATCCTAAAAGATACTTCACATTAACGCTGACATCTTTTTTCGATCCTATTATGCGTTAATCCAGCAGAAAAGTAACACTGATGCACAAATCTTTTCCATTAGCTGTTGATGTGGTTGATGTTGATGTTCCCCACAACAGTGACTCCCAGTTAGTCCAGCCAGTCGTGTCATCACGCCTTTTGAAGCACCCGCAGTAAACGTAACACACATTTTTGAAACTCACTAGTAGGGTATTTGAACTTGGCAAACTCGTACTGAAGCGCAACTCAAGAACTTGCCAAGCGAAATGGCCTCTACCATTTAGTGGTTAATCTAGCATGGACTAGTAATGAATCTGTTGATAAGTGGAATCAGTAATGCTCATATTAATACAAATCTTCGAGCATTAGGAAAAATGAATAAACGAGATTCATCCCTGACTATACTCTAGAGACGATCACTCAACAATAGCCATTCGCGGGACTGCAAAGTTAGAATTGCGCAGAGAACGAAGTGGAAAATTCTGCAGTGCATCAGGATACATACTGTGATATCTGTAACACTTGTTTTAAAAAACCAACAGTGTAAAGCACAGACTTACGTTCCAAGAAATCCATAGGTCAGGCACACATTATTAGTCACTATAAAAATAAAAAGGATAAAGTTATCGGCATTGATCAACCCCTGAGGGATGCGCCATGCATTCGGCTTCACTAAGCATCGTTTGGAGGTGATTGAATGCTTATTTGGCCTTTGCAATGACTCGCGGTGGTCTATCGATGTATCGAGCCGGTGTTACTATACTCCCAGACAAGTTTGGTACCAATTTGCCGGCCCCGGAGAGATGGAAGGCTTGGTGGCCCATGGGCGCGGGGATCGATTCCTCGTGTGTGATGCATGGCACCTCCGACTGCTGCGCCACACGCGTCCTTAGTCACCTTATGATTTCAGTTAATCGATATCTGTCCCATGAGTCTTAATCCATAGGTAGGATAAAGTGGAATCTGTACCGGGATCGAAATGGTTGCCATTATGCAAGAATGCTGTTACGTGAAGTAGCAAGTTCTCATGCGATGTGCTGTCAACTATAAATTTTAGCCTCATCCACGTAAGGAATCTTTAGGCTAAATATTCTCCCAAAGATAGGAACATGTCATAGAATCTAAACCTTCTTAGGTAGAAACACCGTCTTTGTGCGCTGAATTGACAGTTCCTCCGCATGAATATAGTCATCGTTAGTTGGTGTGCTTACGCTGCTGTTGTTTCTACGCATTTATTACGAAATTACTCAACCTATTCCAAGTGGATGGTGATTGACCACAACTTCCATCGACTTAATACCATGTAACGTCAAAAATCCCTAGTCCTTCTTATTTATATAATATAGCTAGTTTACAGCACAAAGCTCACGATCCAGTATTTTCATTAAGGAACGGTAAAACTGCACCTTCTACATGATGTGTTAGAGTTTCTTTTCCCTTATACGTGTTCTTCACCCTGTCATGATTTTCCGTTTTCCACATCGATTTTTAAGGGAGCTATCCTTCATTCTTATGTAATTCATTTAGTGCCGATGGAGTGTTTTGAACTGTCGCCTAACAAATAGTTCTATTCCCCAAAAACGAGGAATGATTTATGGAATTCGAAGTTGCGCTGTGAAGAAGCCAAATGTTGCACGTGGCAGCAACAAGGAGTGGAATATAATCCGACTTCGCATAATGACCACTTCTTGATATCGCAACAGAATGTGAATTTGGAACAGTAATGGATTAGGTAAACACATCTTCGATTACAGTTTTTTCGACAGCTATATCTACATTCACCCCACTTCGTAGCATCTCAAGGAGCTGGATACAGGGCCGCAGCTGTTCTGCTTCAGGTAGCCTGGCCGTACATTTCACAGATGAAGGGCGCTACCAATACAATCCTTAAATAACCCAAAAGTCTCAACAACTTGCCGCCCGTCTCCATCATCACAATATCCTAGGTTTTCTTACCTAAGTTCTCAGAGTGCAAGGTTGCGAGCCAATGAAAACCCAACAAGCAACGAACATATTTCATCGAAAAAATTCTCGTCCGTTAGCTAGTGGTGTGAATTGTAGACTTATTAAGTGGTAACGCCGACGAATAACATTACCAGTAATCCTCACATAATTGCTGTTCACGGTTTTTCCCCGAAAGATTAATTAGGGGCTCGTGTAGCGCAATGGCTAGAGGTGCCCCGCAACACACATAGACCGACTTCGCCCCAGGCTCACAAGCCTTCATCCTTCCGATGGCGACAAATTGGTACCGGACCTGCCTAGGAGGGTAGCAGCACTGACTCAATGCACTGACAGACCACTTCGAGCCACTGTGTAAGCCAAATATGCCCTCAATCACCTCTAACGATGCTTAATGAAGTCGAGTGCATGCGCGTTCCTCAGGGATTGATCAACGCAGAGAGCAATATTCTATATCCTATATACTATAAAAATAATTCCACCTTGCAAGCAAAAAGACCACTTTTTTAAAAAGCCACAAATGTTATAAAATACAGTCAGATAGAATCTTGACGTCTTTTTGTTCTAGCGATGTCCATCATCGCCGTCGGGTCCTCGTCGTCCTTTGTTAGTAGCGCGATTTCCTTCGATTTATCTGTGCGCTGTCCCATGACGCGAATTGCTTTATTGCTTTTCTATTGAACGGCTGCTAACGACACCCATAACTCGCGAGGAGAGCTCACACAAAAACCTTCTAAGGTCACAAAAAGGTAAGAACGCAACATCGAACGAATTGGCAACAGACACCATTTGGGTTTGGAACAATGGAACGAAAAAGGAAAAAACCAATCCAATTCTCCCAGTAAGTACCAAGCAGTTAATGTTGGCTTAGCAATCGTTTCGTACCAACTGAGCTAGAGAATAATAAACGATGAAGCATTTAGTGCTGGTCGATCTTTTTGATTACGCAATGAATTCGATCCCATCAAGCATAAAAGATGGTTTAATGCATGCTTTCCCTACAAAATGACTTGCAGTAGCTCACTGATTAGCAATTCTTTCCTTGCAGACAAGTCCAGCAGGAAATTTTTAACTCCAGAAGGATGGTAATCTTCGTTTTCCGGAGTCTGGAATTGAACCGGCAACTTTATATGCATCGTATCGCACTTAACCACTGCACTACATGCGTTTAAAAAACTCTTGCTATAAATAAGAACGCAAGATACAATTTATACCAAACTAATTCACAAAATCATAAAAAGAATGTCTTCGCAAAATAAAAACTTTGAATAGAATTCAATGGATTGCTTGCTGATTATCCTTAAATATCCAGATGGATGTCAAATGCGAGTTCTTCATTGACATCTGACAACTGATTCAAAAACGTAAAAAAAGCAAAGAAAACTTTGCAAGATTTGTGTTCCAAGGGTTGTACTAAACATAGTCACACAGAATCAAAGCTAAAAGAGCATGAAATATGGGCAGCTCCGTGCTCACTAGCCAGCCAGGACTGCATGGAAAGTTCAACAGGAGGAAAGTGTGGAATCACGGAAGGAATTCACATAAAGAATGCTGACGTAAAAAACAAAATGAGGAAGAATATAAACGAAGTCATTAATGTCCATTTGCACCGACCTCATATAAGGGGCCCCGAGACGGTTAGGCCACGGTAGGACTTTAATTAGGCTTAGTGGTGAGCACTAAAATAACATGCAAGCTCGGGGACGAGCTCCACTCTTTGGAATAACGGATTGGCTCATAACTACTGCATGAACGTTGTCATAGGCACACGTAGGTGAGTGTAGTTGCACGTACAAGAATTTTGTCATGGATGTTGAGTTGGTCAAAACTGCAATCTCTGTAACTACGAAGTGCAGGTGTTACAAACTGGCCAAAAGTGACATAAAATGTGCGCCAGAAGAAGCCCCACATCTGCTTATGTATAACTCGATAAAACAACCTTGATCACACCCATCCACTCTACAAGGCCAGATGTGCTATTCGTTTGTATACTTTAAAAACTACCAAAATTAAAACGCTTCATACAAGAAGTGAGATGCTCTTCGTCTTCTTCTACGAAGCAGAGCCCACTAGAGATAGAGATTACAACAAACTATTAGTGAGGATAGATTTCCTCGATGATTAACGGCACTACAGGTGATATTCATCATCTTTTTATGAGGGAGGCTTGTTCTACTACGGCGAGGGTGAATTCTCGTGAAAAAACGCACCTGGTCACAATCCGAAGCGGAGCAATCAAAAGTAGGCTTGTGTAAAGGCATTGACGTCTCCATTGTAGCAGTAGATGCTTCCGAAGGAGCCGAGCGAGAAGCTTCACGGTGTGCAGCTAGTTGGGCGCAAAGGGACAAGATCTGCAAAGATTCGCTCAGGGAACGGAGGATGTTTGAGTTCATCAAGTTCGTTTTTCATCTTTGATTGATCGCATATTTCCATGAGAGCAGAAAAATTTCGAATTGAAGTACAAAATGGGTGACCATTCTTCTGGGCATCGTATTGTAATATGAATAGAAGCTCGAAGTAAATACTATCTATGACAACTGACGAATGTAGAAATGCATCCATCAAGGTGCCTCTTCCCGCGCCTTTTCACCATCAAATGGCAACATTTCATTCCTTGGAACCCGAAACTGTGAAATGGTAACTAGATACGGTGGAAACACCAGCAACAGTTATGCCAAATTAAATGCGGGAAAGTAATGCAAGATTCCGAGATGTTCTTTTTTACCACGTGTGCAGGATATTTAAGGGCGCGTGTGGCGCAGTGGTTGGACGCGCCCTCCAATACACACGTGGAATCGATCCCCGCGCCAATGGCTCACCAAGCCTTCCATCCGCCCGGGATCGGCAAATTGGTATCACACTTGTCCGGGAAGAGAGGAGTACCAGCTCCATTCATCAGTAGTCCAGTGGGAGTCATTGCAAAGGTCAGATATGCATTCAATCACCTCCAAACGATGCTTAGTGAAATCGAATGCATGGCGCATCCCTCAGGGATTGATCTACGCCGAGAGCTTTATCCCTTATTTTTTTATGCAGGATATTTCATAGGGGTATTAGGAATACGTTGCCGGTATCGCTGGCCTTGCTGTAGAATAGCTTAGGCTTAACAATAGCCCATGTGTTCTTTGAAGATCGACTTTTTCCTATTGAGAAGAAAAAACAAAAGGACGGTGTTCATTCGCAAAACGTTCCAAATTTTAGTGGCACAAACGACATATTGAGAGATTCGACTAACATCATTGAAAATTACCATACGAATGTGGTGTCAAACTCCTTTTAATTTTTATGGAAGAAAAACCAAGCCGAAAAAGTGGTGCGGCGTTAGTTGTCTTAGGTTTGCCACAAGTGGGAATGGGTTCGCTTCCCAATGTAATCTCCTTAAATGTACGGTTTTCCTTGAAGGAAACGAATAATTATTATTAATATTGTAATAGAAGAAGCATTTACGTTCTGTGAAGAGGTTAGACTGGCAAGGGAATCGAAGAGCTTTGAGCGTTGGTCTTCAAATAGAGTGTGATCGAATTTTTTAGTGGAGAGGTCGATCGGATAGGCGTCAACCGTCTGTCCGTCATCGATGTCGTCCATTTCGGTTGGGAGAACAGCTCCTGAACAACATAATTTGTAGAAGAGTCGTAAAAGAAGGCAATCATAGTCCGAAAATGTTGGACACGACGCGGAAGCGGGCTGAGTTCACTGCGCTCTCACTGTTTGCTTATCATATCTGAGGACGGCCCGATGAAAAAAAGGGAAGAAAATTCTACCGCTCCCAAAACGATTTCGACGAATCCTATGCTCGGATCGAATGATACGTCAAAAATCGATGTGCTATGACATTCATCTCTTCCAGTACTGTTATTCCCAATACGCAGCTTGAAAAGGCGATTGAATTATGTTGAGTTTCCGGACGAGTTGTCTTTTAGGTGACACCCTCCGATTTCTAGTTATTAATGACTTCATTTGTGCACCTATATTTTCACAATTGCGGTTCGATTTATTAAGTCCTTAACAGCTGAAGGTTTCGGTACTTATAATACACAAATTTTGTTCCTACGATTTCCATCTGAGCTCTGTACGAATTTTCCTAGCTATAAAAGCTAAAAAGGATAAAGCTCTCGGCATCAATCAATATAACGTTTTTGCTAGAACTTTAAACCAATTTGACATGGGAGCGACAAAGAACTTATCATCTTAGTCCGCCTACAAGAAGAAAGGACAAAGTTTTCGGCGGCCTTGATCAATCCATGAGGGATGAGCCATGCATTCGACTTACTTCACTATGTATCGTTGGAGGTAGCTGAATGCATAACTGGCCTTTACAATGACTCACGCTAGCCTACCGATGTATCGACCCAGTGCTACTATCCTCCGAGACAAGTCTGGTACCAATTTGCCGATCCCGGAGGGATGGAAGGCTTGGTGGGCCATGAGCGCGGGTATCGATTCCACGTGTGTGTCACGGTGGCGCCTCCAGCAACTGCGCCACACGCGCCCTTTCCTAGCTATAGAACTCAAAAACGAATCTAGCATTGTACTGCAGAATGAAAATAATCACAAGGCAACCACCATTCTGCTGTGTTCTAAAAGATAGTGCAAATTCCGCTCGCACGTGATTTACACTATTAAGACACAAGTTCACCAGTTGGGTACACTGCATTGCTTAATTCCATAGGATCCGCATGGTGAAACGGAGCCCATTGCTTTTTGTGCTACTTCACTCGAAAGAAATGGGCTCATAAGTGACGCTGTCAAAAAAGTTAACCATCTCACAGTTCAAAAGACCGACTTTCTATAAACTTCGGCATAAATAATTAATACATTTATTTATACGTTCTTATGAACTGATCTTCCTGGGATGATGCAATGCTGAGGCGCTGCTATAAGTTGTTGTTGTTGCTGTCGTTGTTATTGTTGCTACTGTTTTGTCGTTGTCGTCGTCGTTGTTGTTGTTGGTCGATGGCTGATGTTTCGGCGATTTCGCCTCCCTCAGAGCCGTGCTGTTATGAGTGGACTCAACCTCTCATCGGCTCAACAAGCCCAGTTCATAAGAACATGTAAATAAATATTTCACAATTGTTGATGAAATGTACAAGAACTCTGGATGGTTGGGCTTCACTATTCACAAACTAAAAGTCTTTAAAGCTCATCGTGCTACCAGAGTATCAAGCGCTATAAAAGCAGTCTGTTAACTCACATTTTTCATAAGCCCTAACTCAATGCAGTCAGTTAGCGCCCGATCGGTTGACTCAAGCGCACGGACGGGGCCAGCGTCGTCCCACATTGTATTTGCTGAACTACTCGTGCTTTTCTTCATTAATTTCCACTCGTGTGGTGTTAGGGCTATGTCGTGTTTCCTCTCAAAGCTTTCATTTGCGATTGGTCATCGCGTTGTTAAACACACACACACATACATACACACGCACATTTCACCGTTCCAGCTACCGTAATGGTCTCTGCATAATGGGAAACGGTACTCGGACATCGTTCACCTCGTCAGCCAGACGGATAAATACATGAGTGCGCAGGACTCAGAAAATGTACAGAGTTCACTGACGAGTCATACAGAATTTTTGCACTGAATTCACAGCACTACGAGGTGCAAGACGTTGCCAGAGGAGAAACAATAACGTTGCTCATAGACGGGAATTACTTTGTATTGAGAAGAGTAGCTATCGTATAAGTAAAATAACTTCTTCTTTATAACCTAACAGCAGCACAAAGCATCGAATTGCAGCTGAGAAGAGTCGTTGACTCACCGCGGGCAACTCCGTAAACATTTCAACACAGACCGAGTAAATGGGACGACAGCAGTGACTACGAGACGAGCTATATTTTTTTGGTTCTTTCAACGTTATTTCAAAGCACAGTGGATTCAAAAGTCAACATACATACATCATCATGGTAGAGAAGAGACTAGCTATATATATATATATATATATATATATATATATATAATATATATAATATATATAATATATATATATAAGAGATAATATAAACTACAGTTTGTTAATTATGAAGCTATGCAACTCGTGAGCGGATATGGGGAGTTAAACGGGGATCAGAAGCCACCGTGTACTCACCCTGAGACGCTGGCACATTCGGAGTACTCCTCGCTGTAACGACGGATGGACTGGCGCAATGCCTTTGTGCATAATTATTTACATGCATGGTGTGTATACCGACTGAGTCCTACACGTCGAAACGTCCCAAAGCTTGCAGTCAAGTGACTGGGAGGCACACATGAGAGAGTTTGGAGTCCTTTTCGAGAAATAAGCCCAATATACGCCTCGGAAACCCCGAATACTCGTTCGTCATGAGAAGCAATTGAGCACAGCGAACCACCATCCCGGGGTAACGCAACATTGAGACGGCCTCAAAAACGCTCATTCTTCGGAATTTTATGGGTTCGGCAACCAGTTGCCTCAACTAATAATTCGCCAACATCGCAACACAAAATATAATACGGCGGCCGCTTCGCCCAAACACCATTAAGGGGAGACAGTGCCTCAACGGGGTAGGTAGCGGGAGACTCGATGGCACGAGAGAGTTGCTGGACTACGGAGATTGCAGCGCAATCTCTGCAGGTAATAAAAAGTTATGATCGTCGGCGGGAATAGCTCTCTAGAAAGCAGTTGCTTCTCATAAACCAGCTAACGAATTAATCATAAGGAGAATCAGCGGTGATGGAAGACGCAGAGCCGCTGAGAGAGGGTGCAACAGGCGGCAGAAAGATGAGGCCTCGTGGACAAGGCGATTAATCACGAAATGAGGCAAAGCTGCCAGCAAATAAAGTTTATAAATCGATAGCAACCAGTAGTCAATCGATTAGTATTTTCAGAGGGGTCTCAAGACGATTGGACTGTAACTGTTCACTGTAATCGTCATGTTTTCCAAGACGTATGCTGGAAATGATACTACACTGACAAATTATGAAACGAATGGCGTAGGGCTCCTTGAAGAGAAACGACAGGGATTAGCATTGCCTGTGCAGGTGTTCTGTTCCCTTGAAGCGGCGAGCGGTAATTTGTGGCTGGAAGAGATTTCGTTAGGTTTAATGTAGCCTGAGAAAATTGTGCAATTACGAATGTATTGATAGCAGCCAGAAAATGGAAGTGCCGCAAAAAAAAACCATGCGCCTGTAATAGACTCTGTCCCAAAAGTAGCCCATCGCACTGTTAATCATTCAAGTTGATAGCTAATTGATAACGAGAAAACTTTTCAAGAAGTTTTAGCCAAATCGATATTAACGCTCCAAATATTCTAATATAACGCTAACTTTCGCACGAGAACCATGTGGCGGATGTATGAGCACCATAGCCAGCTCGGTACCGTAACCAGTTTTTACTCATAAGGAGGCAGACGGCGGCGGTCACATTTGCCTCGCGATATTGGTTATTATCGTAAGCAGCAACCAATCACACGCGGCTGCGATTATGAGCCGAATGCATAATTCCCGCCTCCTTAGCAGGGCTACTATGAAAATAACCCTTTTGCATTGCGAAAAGCAAAAAGAAAACTGCCACGAAAACAAGGAAGCATTGTTCTCGAGAAAAAACAACAAGAGCTTAGTGTTCTTCATGATCTTGTGAAGAAATGGGATAACAGAACTCTCATGCCAAGATTTTTATAAGCTTCGCAAACTGAGAACGCTAGGAACAAAATGGAAGCCAGGAGGATCTCTACCAGTAGAACAGACTTACTAACTATCAGATGTGCTAGAGAAAGGAGTTGGTTGTCAAAGAATTATGATGAGTAGTGTGTGCACACAGGCAATTATCGTTGAGAATGAGGAGAGCCCGTGTTCCGGTGTTCCGTGGACAAATCGCGGATTGCCCTGCAGATAGCCTCTAATGACTGTGGAGGCTGTTGGCATAATCACATTGCCAATGAGAGCCAGCACTTCGATGTCGAATAGGTATCCCTGAGAAGCTCCATTCTGTTGCAAGAGCTCTTTAACGTAAGCTCTATGCGATATTTTTTAAATTGAAGAGAAATTGGACATTCTTAACTACGATTAGCGCAATAGGCCCCATCATGTAAACACCTCAAATGTGAAGATAGCACTCAAAAAAAGTTGTGCAGCGCTGATGACGAAGGGCGAGACGCCCTGTTCGTGACATATTAATTACGATACATAACGAATGATCGAATGATACTTGTCATATCGAATTATCACAGGAAGCCAACCATCAGTTGACTTGAGGTGGCGTTTGGACGCGAAACGGTATGGATCGAGAAGCGATCACGATCGATTCTGGCTACAAAGCGCTTCATCTCATTTCAAGGAGAGCTTGTACTCACGTTCCCTCCACACACGTCTCTCCTATGCTAATGGCACCATTTTTTAAAGAGAATTCTCGCCGTAACTCTCTCTTAGCGAAAACAATGATGCATAGCAGCAAAGAGAATGTTGATTTTTTCCTTCGTGGAACGATTTGTGCCAATTGAATCCTACAGAGACCACAGAGGAATTACACCGCTATGGAAGAAGGATCACCTGGTCTGCTGAAGACTAAATCAAACAAGAACCATTAGTTGTTACACCGACTTTTTGCGGAAAAGTTTGGAGTATTAAAAAAAGGATTACCGCATCCTCCACATGTTTATGCTCTAATATTTCCGCCTTTCCTCCACATTAGCACTTCTATCAATCGCAGTGATGGCAATCACGAATGCTTACTCTTACATTAGCTTGACCCTTCAAGTTTTACAGCAAGCCACTAGGTTTTGCCCTCCGTAAACATGAAAATTTAGTGGAAACACGGTGAGTAGCAGCATTCTAGTAAGCACATTACTCGACTACTGCGACGACACTAGTGCACTTGCATACTGTTTCATTTCTACTCTTTCCTTATACGTGTTCTATCAAGGCAGTGGTGATTGGCCCCATTTACATCTCGTAGCATCGCACTAAATTCGAACTTCGCCGAGGTCATTCAATGAGGGCTTTTTGAGAAGTAGCAAAGGCTCGTCAATTCGAAACATGAGAAACTCGGTGAAAAAGTGGCGATGTGTCATTGCGATTTCGCAGCGTGTCCGCTGAAACATGCCATTTTCGGGGCGCTCGACCCCGCTCTGATAGACATCTTCGAATTTATAACTGGCCACGACAGTTGCCGCCGCTGGTTCTTTAGATGCGCATCAACTCATAACACGAGCGTCAAGAGCAGTAAACAGGGAGAGACGGGGAGTGTGAGGAGCGGACGCGCAGAGATAATTCGTTTGAACTCCGGTCTCTCACACTGACTGTGCTCGACGGCACTGGTGGCAGTACAGACGGAAGCACATACGGGCTCCCAGGAAGTGCTGCAGTTCCTCGTCTTCCTCGCCGCACTACATTGTTTAGCGAGAGCAACATGACATGGTTTCAACCTCTCGATCACATTAATCTAGCACCACCCGTCTGCGCTTCCCAAAGTCGACATGTCTTCTCACTGAGGAGTAGGCTGAAGCTAGGCTGAATGCATTCTACATGATTGGATAATTCGCCCACGGAGGCGTGGCGTGGCGATAATATGCGCATGACGAGTGGGAGATGGAGATGGATACGGTAATATTATCCGCTGCCGCAGTGTGTCCATTTAGAGCAGAAGAGGAGAGTAAACGCGAGTAATTCGAAGCGTAAAGTTGCTAACTAGCCCTCAAGGTCGCAAGGCCTTTGTCTACTTCAAGTAATGTACATTATGACGAGGCGTAACACCCGAAAACGACATGTCGCTAATTTGAGCGATGAAAATGGTCAGGAATGGACGCAAGAGCAAGAGGTTGTAGCTAACCCTTGGGCAGATCCTGATGACGCTGTGGTTTTGCCTGCTTACGACGGGACACCAGACCGATGGTTGAAGCCATCATCACACATTGACTGAAACACAAAACAGAGATCACTATAGGTAGGAAAAGGAGGAAAGAACGATCAGTCGAAAACACTGAAGTAAATTGGAGAGCAAAAAAAAAACGAGAAGTGCACAGATGATGAGCGAAGAAGAATGAAGGAGCAAAACAGAAAAGAATTGAAAGAGAGAAAAAGCATAAGTGGATTTATCAAAACAAAGGAATTAATCTTGGTAATCCATAACAGTGACTTCGGTGGAAAACGTTTGAAAATAGATGAGCGTGGCAACGAAAAAAGTGGATAGCCGTGCAAACTTATCAAGGAGGAAAGAAGAAAACACTTTCAAGAAGTGGACTTTTGCAAGCAACAAATTGAACGACTTGGCCTCCACATAACTGAAGGATGTAAACCAAAAATGTGACTTGAACAGAAAGGTGGACGAAAACCACCGACCGAAAACGCTGGAGCAGAACGACAAAACAATTCATAGATGCTGGCAATATAAATATAAAATATGTAGCGAAAATATTTTCCTCTTTATTCGGAAATTGAGACAAGTAGAGTACCGATACGAAAGCATGAATCGAGAGCATGTATGAGCATGACTTGGTGGCACAACACTAAAACAGAGACTAAACGAAAACTCAGCATTCTTTCCAAGATAGCGCTGCAAGGATTTAAAAAAGCAATTAAACAAAACACCAAAAAACCTTTACCAAATAAACATGGTACAATCGGTTAGAGAAAGTTTTGTTCGATTTGACCGCTGAGGAGACGTTTCCCGAAGCACAAAATCGTTGCGCAGTCGATCAGATCGTATGTTCCGTGATGGAGCGACTGTCATGCAGCGGTGCGCTTGAGACACACGAACTCATAATCAACGATGCCCAACCCCCCGGACGAGAATCGCCCACAGACGACAACCATCGAACGGGTGCGGAATCGCCCTGAAATGCTGAGAGGGAGACGTCTTCACGATCGCTTATTAAAGTAACGAATTAATTGCAAGCTCGGTTTAGTTGGCATGCTTTTCGCGTGAAAGACGAGGTGTTTCCCATCAATTATTAACAAGCCGAAAAATCTCTGCTGCATTTTCGCAGTTATGAACACTTCATCGGCAGTAAGGAATGGCAAGCCTTTCCTGTGAGAGTACCATTTCCGATTAATCAAAGAGTGCTTTGTATTTTGAGTAAACAAGGGAGGATGCGCTGAACACGGAAGAAAAATACGGAAAAAGTGGTCTTGTCGAGAAGAAAAAAAATCGTAATAGATGGGAGAGACAAAGGCAAATGTGGGAGTTCACTGAGATGAGATCGCTGTGAGCTAGCTTGAATTTACAAAGGGACAATTAACGTCGCTTACGACAACTAGCGCACTGTCTTCGGTGGTTAGCAAGAACTAATCTAGTCTGCGTTTCGGAATTGTATTCCTAGAGTAGTTTGTAGTAGTATAAAAGGTGAGGCGCAAAAGCTGCAGAGCTTTCCCACTTGTGGCCGGGGTCTATGTTTGAGCTTGTCTTTACGCCTTACGCTGTGAGTGAGAGAGAATGAGAGAGCCGCGCATAATCGCAATATTTGTATTGCGCTCTTTTATTCTTTTAGAATTCCACCACGAATCGGCGGCGCTCTCCTTCTCTCCCTCGCTCGTATCAGGACGCGACAAGTCTCCGAACACCCATTAGCGTATCTCGAAAGCTTTAGCATATTCTCATTTCTGACTTCATCCGAGGAGCACTAAACTAACTGGGGAGCAAAATCACAATAAAATGTTTCGTTCCAAGTACTGTGCAATCTTGAAGAACAGGAAAGGCCACGTGGTCTTCGTCGATTGCGAGTGGTTGTTCTGACATTCGTAGGATGCTATTATAACAGAGAGCATACACACATACAAACATATGAGCATAACACAAACATCCAATGTTGCGCATCGAGCTTTACAAAACTCATAAAGCTTGTTAATGGCCGACACATTGACGCAATGTGTAAAGTGTTGAGGAAGTGGCAGAAAGAAGCCGTCGGGTCTTCGTGAATCCGGCTGGATGCCCCTGAATACGAGACACTTCTATGCTCGTGATTGCACTGACTGATTATGGCTCGTGACTGATAAGTCATTTTTTGCAGTAAAAAGTACCTAGAGCTCCATACTTTCATGCCGCAAAAACTCTCATGATTGATAAGCCATCGACGACTAGTATAATAAGACTGTTTTTTCATAAAATATGCCAGATAGCTTTCGCAGAGAAAAACGAGATGAGCATAGTGTTTTAGGGGACACACAGCAAATTCAATCCAACGTTATCAAATTTAGTCTTATTTATGACAACTGGACGAATATAGGGCAGAAAAATGATGAGAGAGGAAAGGCGACGATGACAAGACAAGCATACGGTAGCGTCTCTCAGGGGACTTTCCCACTCATACATATAATGCAGCTTGGATAGGACGTACTCAATCACTCGGATGCCAATTTTATTTGGAGCATAGCCGAACAACGTAATGACCTTATAAAACAAGTCACTTTCACAATGTCTAGTGGGGGTATTAAAGAGTTTTAGCCGGTTGTTTGCTAGTAAACGACATGGAATAAGATATAGCCTAAGATTAAAAGTGGATTTTATAAAGCCACCGTTTAAAGTTGCCTCCGATCCGTAGGATAGTAGAGCGGAATGAAGAAATAAGTGAACAGCACAACTAAGAAAAATGTCGCAACGTTTGCAATGCTTCCTCAATTCCAAAGAGCATTTGTGAATGCGATTTCCGATCCACCCCCATCATGAAGATCCCATTTTCAGGGTCCGCTCGTAAGAGAAATCCTTAAGGTGATGAGAGCGACGCGAATATGAAATGTGTTAAAGTGCTGCTGATTTCTAGTAGGAAAATAGAAGACGATTATGCATGAACAACCAGTACTCGGTTGTACCTTTGATAATCCGATATTTGCCAAAAGTTTGCCAAAGAGCTCGATTTTGGTCACTCGCTTCGTATGAACAGTGTTTCCCAGTAAAGTTCTGAGAAGATTCGAGCTCTCAGCTTTTTGCCAATCATAAATCATTGGACGAATAACAAATAGCTCAAGAGTAGAACAAGGTGGGCAGTTTTCCACACATTTACAACGATTTTTAGATAAACTTTAATCAACGTTTTCCAATGTTTGGAAACCTTAGTATAGCTGAACAAGTGGCTGAATGTTCGCTACACTTTAGGAATACGCAGTTATCTCAAGAACTTCTGTTTTTAGAAGGAATCGTCAAAGTTATCATCACTGTTCAATGTACAGTATCATCGGCACAACAAGCGCTGTCGGAAAACGCACATAAAAACGGAATCACCGGATAATTGCACCGTCACAGGGAGGATGGCCACGCTGCAAACTGGGCTGATTCTTACCGTAAGTATAAACTAACAATAGACTCATGAGAATCGATTAGTCGCCACCGACCCTCTTAGCACAAACTCACGAAGAATCTTCGACGACTACCACAGGGTAGAGACACAGACTAGGCTGACTATTCCGCGTTGCCCTGATAAAAAACAGAACACGTTGGGATGTCGACAAAAATCAAGAAATTATTAAACGTGGGCGTGGTTTTCAATGCAGAATCCGGGCGAAGCCGCCTACTCATACACACTTTTTCCCAATCACTCCGTTGAGGGGCGGAGTGCCGGCTGAATTTTTAATCGCCGCTCGCCCGCGTTACAAAGGGCACCTTATGCACAACGAAGAAATTAGGAGGGATTATGCAGAAATTATTGTCGAAAATCGCGGCACATCAAGGACGCGGTGGTGGCGTTTCGTTTCATGAGGACTGGACAAATGAGGCAATGACAAGGGTGGGGACTCGACGACAAGATTCGGCGATGGATTTTGTACGCAATTGCGACGCTCTCTATGACGATATCACCTTATTTTCATAGACGCTTAAATGGAGCGTATTCGCACACTGCGAGGGTCTTGGCTTGATTTCCAATTCACTGCTAAATTTCTGATTGGACAAAATTGTTTTTCCTTGGAGTCTCGGGATAATCGTGCTAAAGCTGGCCACTAGAGCGAGTTGCCAACCCACGTGAGCCGGAAGAAGATTCTGATATTGGCAAGTAGATTGTTATTTGAACGGCAGCAAATCGTAGCATTAGCTCATTCTCAGCTAGACTTGGGGAAAATGACGAACTATCTGACTTTTCCGAGCATGAGCTTTCTCTTACATTGCAATTAGTCACCAAGAACTATAGCTCCTCAACAGTGACTCGACAAAGGGATGAGTCGAGTGCAGAACTTTAAGAAAAGGCTGCACAATGAATCCTGTTAAGGCCGTAAGCGTTTCACCTTCAAAATCTGAAGTTTTCTTCGCAAAGCGATTAATCGCTCGATATGAACAGACTGTCTCTACGTCACTACCTTAATCGCCCATGATATACTTTTGGTGCACGATGTTGGATTAAATGGAACAAAATTGTTTACTTAAAGCAAAAGTTTAACGAATGACTTTCATACAGAATAGGATAGGATAATTGGAGATGAGGGAAGACTGCCCATTCCTTTTGAATTTAGTGGATTTTTTTTTGTTATGAAGCAGTGTGTTGTTCAAAGAGGTTGAATGAAACGAGGTTAACTTTACTTTGGAACTTGAACGCAATTTTAAGCTCTGTTGCGGAAACAGAACTCTGAGTGTTCTCGCATTTGATCTCAGTTACACATCAGACACTAATGGGGAGCCCATCCGCTGGAGTACATTTCATGAAACGAAATCAGAAGTGGAGTACATTGTCAGGAAGAGATTTACTTGAGTTTAATAGTGTTGCAGTGCTACTGTTTTGCCTTTATAAAGGTATACGAAGATCAATTAGGAAATGAGGGAGTTTCATAAAAGCTTAGAGTTCGGAGTCCGTTACGTGCCATCTTCCGGGAACGGAGAATCTGTACAAGGCGAAAAATGGTGGTTAGAAAGGTGTTATTTTTGCCGCGTTGAATGACTTTGTTATGGCTTTGCAAGCTCCGCATCCCGTTTCCAAACAGAAAACCGTCAATTATCGATTTTACGACATCTAAGTGCTTTACACGGAACGCTCATCAAAATCTGGATTTGATTTGAATCTAAGCAGCTATCGCCAACAGAGGAAGGGACTTGTGAATGGCGATATTTTGAAATGACCGCCGATATTTTCTTTGAGAGGATTCCGTGTGGGCTTCTGAAACCTGTAAATTAAAATTCAAAGGTAAAATTTTCCGAAAACCTGTCGTAACTCCTAATCTAGTGTAAAATTGCCTCACAAAGTTTTGTTTAACCCTTGCAAACTCATAACCTGCACACAGCCCGGAAACTGGGGATCCTGAGAGGCCTCAGCTGAAGCTCAGAGGAAGGTGGCAATGAGGAACTAAGAAAATGACATCCCATTTTTCTTCATAAAACTTGATAACTAGTTAGTTCGCTACTTATGGTTTAACCAATCGTTTGAATGTGACGCTATTTAACTTCACTGGTGAATGCTTCGATCTCTTCCAAATAGTTGAGTGGAAAGGAAATGTACGTTCCATCCACTTTTGATCGTCCCACATCCGAAAACATTCCGTGAAATCCAAGTAAATCGCCACTGAGAAATATCGCCAGAAAAAGCTGCAGCATATAAAAAAGTCTCCAAATATCTGAATTTTCTTAAAACTGAACAGATGATGTGGCTGCGGTCGATCGCCGTCGTCCATTCCGTATTGGTCGAAATAGCCAAAATTAGAAGAGCTGATTAGAGCGTTAATGCTTGATATTACGCTCCGCAGATGTGCAGCGGCTCGTCCGTCCGGCAACGGAAACCCGCCAATCAAAACTATAAATAAAAAGATATCCATGCGCTTTATGAGGACCCATTAAAGCCACGCTGCAATCAATTCTCATCCACCAATCAACCAACGAAAATCTACTACCATGCACTATTCGGCATGAAGTATGGTGAACACTTCGAAGACCGCCAATTGAAGCCAGGACTTGGATCGCATTTAGCAGTTTTTGACTTACAAGTGAAAAAAGCCCGCTTATCTCATGAAACACTTCAGAAGGTAGAGTTAGGGGTGTGCGCCCGGTAGCAGATTCTATTCGTGGGAAGTGACTCGAACTCATAAATGGTTTCGTTAGGATTAACCAGCCACAACATCAATCGAAATCATCGCATTGAAATGAGGCTACATTCGAGAGCGGTTGTTTTTCTCTTTACGAATCCTATGCAGTAGTGACGCCTAGTCATTGATGGATAGGATATTTAGTATAAGATTCGGCACTGATAAGCTATCCGAATTGTTGACGAAAACGAGATCTCCAAATAGTTTTGGTCAGGAAGTTCTGAAAGCGGTAGAGTGTGCAGAGCGACGCGACTCGGGCTTCGACAACTAGGCGTTAGCAGTTATGCAATATGTGAATCGATGTGTCGTCTAGACCCTCCAGCTCTCTGGCCACCACGAATGAAGGAATACGGTACTCGTTCATTTCTTATTAATTCTCGCTCATCACTTGACGCGTCCGCCCCATCGCTCTTCTCTCTGATGAGCAAGGGACAAGCGAACGCCAGCAAAATCGTCGTACTGTTAGGGAAGGAAGACCAGCTCTCACTTATTTCTCTAGGTATGACACGACATGATAAGAAGTACTGGAAGCGATAGAAAGAGGCGAAAAAGATGCTAAACCGATCAAATTTCGGCAATATATGGAAGTAGTTTAGAAAGAATTCGTTTCCAATATCAGAATAATTTGACGACCACCACTAGTTGAGATATCAAGTACATTGCATCTACAAAAATGGTAATAAGTTCATGAAGGTTTTTAGAGCACAGTTAAGACCTTGCCTTGACTACATTTGATAGTTCAAAATATACGCTATGATGGCAGCTAAATGCAGGTTAAATTTGAGTCTGTAAAAAATCCTTACCCCAATACGTCTTTGAAGAAAAAAACGTGGTTGAGAAGTTCGGAAAAGAGTAAATTTCTGGAAGAAATCAGCTCACGTGGTTTAAATACAATATATACACATGCTTTCCATCAAGTGCTATCGCTATTGAATCGAAGCCATCGTTTTCTTGGAGACATGAAATGTAATAGAAATCAATGTGAAGTTCCTTTGGCGGTATTATTTCTAGTGAAACAGCCTCGATAAATGATGAGAAACCGAAGGAGAGGGAGTGATGGAGAGAAAGGCAGGGAGAGGGAGGATGAGGACAGCTCATAGACTGACGGCAATTCTTGTTATGATTGCGGATACGGTAAAAATGGGCGGACCTAATAAGGCGCGCGGACGATGCAATCGAAAACACCCCTCCAGCTCGGTGAACTCCACCGGTAGTACCGCTTCCGCCGTTCAGAATTTGTTCTACGCATGATGAACGAAGAAAAGCTCGGGCATAAATGAAGGAATGAGCGTGGAAAACTAATTACTGGCCGTCAGTGCTTATCGAACTCATCTCATGCAATATGCAGAGTGCTTATAATTTTTCATCGTTTCCTGCTCATCAATCTGCTATGAATCTGAGCGGATGATCAGCTCTCCTCTATCCGGAAATCCTACGCTTCCCTCTGGACTTAACATATGCACAATTATTTCGCGTCGACATGCACGAACGACAATGAACATCGGAGCGATTTATCAAATGGGAATCCATGGCATGTTCGTCTCAGGCCGGTGGGATCATCCACACGGAGTACTCATAACCATTCATAAGATCACTTCTTGCTGGTGTTGGAGAGGTGCGGTCCCAGCTACCACTGGAATCCAATACCTTACTTAACAAGGTGAAATTACGAACTAAGCTTAAGGGATAATAAATTGGAGCCGCACGGGCCCAAATGTGACTGGAATCCACTACCGCCCTTAACAAGGTGCAACAATTACGAGCTATACCTTAGCGATGGTAAGCTAACAGAAGATTCTACTTATATGTGACAAAGAAAGAAATGCTTGTGTAGCACGTTCTTATTCGTTATTTTGCAGAATGATTCTTCCTAATCCACTCGGATGGAGCTTGGTTTTTGACAACAGCCGATAATTTTCCGATCAGATTAGTTGAGAACATGATGATAACTGAAACTTATAGAATAGATCTTAGGCTAATAGAGGCAAAGATGGCTTCTAGCATCACCACCTTTATTTGACTTGGAGGTTAGAAATGGTGGGAAATATAAATCAAATTCAAAAATGGTGATACAAGGTATATATGATGAGTTGAACTCAAGCGCGGCAACCATACTCACTGAAAATGCATTTGGAGATTGTATCATGCTGGAGGTTCTGTGGCCCTTTTATCAAGAGTTGAGCTTAGACGAGAAAAAAAACGAACGAAAAGCAGTTGCTGGGTTTGGTGAAATCCAAATATCATCGTGGAATCTGGAAGAACGCTTCCTGTTTTTAAAACTCTATACATTTTAACTGCCTTTATTTCATTTGATTATGAGGTGGGACACGTTCATATAGAGTTTAAAGGGTAAGTTAGTTATCTTTATAAAGATAACTAACTTACCCTTTAAACTCTATATGAACGTGTCCCACCTCATAATCAAATGAAATAAATGAGTATCAATGAGTTAGAATCAATTGATGTTGACGAGAATAGAAGTGGACTGGTTGGACGTCACATTACCATCATCTATAGCTCTCCACGTCTACAATACTGGAAAGAAAGCATTGTTCGATTGTACTCGGAAATGAATCGGAATCGGCAGAGTCCACCCACCTCGACCGTTATCTCGTCCCCTGAGAGCTTCCAGTTATCGCCAAGTATTGTCCATCGAAAGCGATTCTATGCGTCTAATCTCATTTGGCGCTACAAGCCAGCCAGCATGCAAGTGCTGTTATGTTTGTTTGGTTTGTTGGTAAGGTCTGTCTTGTTGTCGTCGTGCATACTAATGAGCTCAGAGCGTGTCGTTATAATAAGATCCTAATAAGGCCCTAATCGCGGAGTAATGCAACAACGAGCTTAATTGCATCGCATTCATATGGGGGTCAGACAGCTGGCCATAAAATTCTCTTGCGCCCTGTCATCCCAGCGCTGTTCGCCCCTCTCAACCAAAGAAAACCAACGTCGACGGATCGCCTTAATGTGATTTCTCGGCGCATGGACTCTAGTGATGGCACGGTCTCGAAAGCCTAGCACGAGCTTGAGCCTATACTCTCGATCTCTCGATCGATATGATGATGACCAGGGTTTGTGACAATCGAGAGAGAAATTCGAAACATCGGGACTCAGATCATAAATCTCGTTCGTATTACGTCAATAATTCATAGCCGGCAACTGTTGCACCACATCTCCCACCGAGGTGCAGAATCACAGATCGCGAGAGCTCGAGAGTTGGCGCGAAACTTCTGGATAGTTTTGTAACGTTTCGAGAAAAGTCAGCAGGACATGACCTGACCCGGAATTAATAACCAGTCTTAGGTTTTAGTTCCAAATGTATCCTAAAACTTCCAGGCTTCGCTTGAGCCTAACTCGAAAACATCCAAAGCATTTAGGAAAATAGGGAACTAATGTCATACTAAAGCATGATTTCTTGAAATGATGAAGCTATGTAACCTAAATAAAATTAAATTCACGAGAACCTATTCAATTAAGGATTCGAGTTACCGCCTTCAATTGCCAGGCTCCTAAAAAAAAACTTAAATAACTAATCACTTTCTATAAAGTTAGTTGGATCACTGTTTTCTACTTTTCGACGAAGAAATTAGTTGAGATTAAATGGAATCGGTCAAGCTCACAAATTAGGGTGTGACAAAACCAAAAACGCTTCGAGTGACTACAAAAGCGAACTAGAGAAAGGATGTTCCTAGACCTTTTTGCCCCAAACTGTTGTGTTCCTATGATATACTTGATTTTAGACCGAAATTTTCTCTGCACTGAAAATAGGTCCTGGCTCAGTTAAAAATTTAGCCTTAGAAAACGGCCCCTGATGAAATGGATGACTCTGGTTCGAGCTACAAATATTTACTAAAATGATTCGAATTGGCAATAATTTACTTGCTAGTAGCATTTTTTAACCTGTCCAAAGCCTTGCTATATAGTTTTCTCCAAATGATAAAGCCACACGCTCGAGGAGAATATACAGCTGAACAAACACCATTGGAACATCCAGAAACGACCAGAAGTGTCTAATCGGTTAAGGATTGGTAGATCTGTCAATTTTGCTCATGAATTCGAACTGTTTGAGCAGGCAATGCCTCTCGCTGCATTTAGGCCTGAAGCGTGGAATAAAAATCGAGATTCTTTAAACGGAATCGCAGACGAATGTCACTTCTCATCACTCTGACTACCATCGGTGATTACTGCTGTCGCTCTCGGTCTCAGTCAGTCCTTCCGGCTAAAGACGAGCATCGAGCGACAAACGCGATAGCGCGTTCAGAATAATTCAGTACTTTGCCAAGCTCTGACAAAAATATAGCAATTATCGTCGATGACAGTAGCATAGCTAATGTGAGGATTCAAATCGACGAAAAACCTCAGCCACGAATCAGTGCATGGATCGGAGCAACCCTCATCCGAAGAAGATTGCAATTTACTCCATTCATTTAGGCATTCTATCTAACTTGTTCAGTTTCTAAAAAACAGTGTACCTTATAGATTCAAACTCTACCGAGGAATTTTGACAGTGCGGCACATAACTTTCCTTACGGTTACACCGTGGTACTGTTAAAACCAAAAAGTGACAGTGACCTTGTGATATGTTTCATGTGGGTTCACTTCAGACAAAGTCAGCTTTGTTGCTGTCCGGTGAACGAGAACACGACCACAACCCTTTTGTACTAGAGCTTTTCATAACGGTCACATCAAAGAGCATTTACTAGGCGCTCAGCAACACCTAATACATCATGGAATGACACATTTAGAAGGCCGTACGGTGTTTAAACATCGTACAATTAACAATACAACATATTGTGTGGAGTGGTTGAATAGACAACATTTTTAATTTGATAATGAGAGGCATCGATCAAATGGTTTCACACATTTTGGCCTCCGATAAGAAGCAGTGTAGTTTCCCAGTGTGCTCATATTGCAATCAATGATGGAGGCTGATGAGCTAGAAATGGAAATCTCACTTGTTTATGTGTTTAAGGTAGTGGTGTGATTCGGCTGACATGTTGCCGTTCTTCTGTTCGGCGGTACGATTTGAGTAGCGACTTGTGCAGTGATGGATTATCGCAGTTGTTGATCGTAAACCTCAACAGAGTTGTCATCCACGAGGTCAGCGCCATCGCATTCAGCTTCCGCCACTGAAGCTACTACCAAGCACTGCTGATACTCAGGGTACCGTGTTTTCACCAATAGGACTGGAGTACAAAAATCATATATATGAAGAAAAAAGGAGCAGCAGGAAGAAAAATTATGTTTTCTTTTATTCCAAAATAAGAATTTTATTCCTGAATCTTTTGGATGGGAATCTAACTCTAGAGCTTAATAGCTAGCTTAAAACCTCTCAATTAAAGCACCGAAAGACTCTAACCAAGAAGGTGACCATAAGAAATATCTCTTATTGCTCCGCTGACCATTTGAAAACGATACTTAATTTCTCTTATGCTTTCGTTTGTGAAAATTACTTCAAGACAAACAATACGCAAACCTAGGCGTGCGGATGTGGGACAGAATGACGGTGCTTTCAGATGACGTTCTTGAATCGTCGAGCCGTCGGTTTGGCCTCCTTCGTTAGCGACTTTTCCTCTTTAACACAGCTCGTGCTCGTCGCGTCGTTTGAGGCGATGAATGCTCATTATACCGTTATCACGTCCATCTAAGGAGACCTTATTGAGGCTTCGCTTCATTTTAATTTCCGCAATAATGCCTGCCCAGTGCAAAATAAGTCACATCGACACATCCCGACACCCGTCTACGAGGGATTTGCCTACAAATTCTGAACAAGCTATCATTCTTCGACATTCACGTCGAATTCAACACAGCCATCACTTATCGTTGTCGTCACTAGCATATTCAGTACATACTGAAACACTGATATTTCGAGGCTTCGAAGAGCATTTGAAAAGCAAAACGTTTCAGTCCCAATCGAAGTAAACAGCATTCTAACTCGCTCTGTCTGAACACATTTCTTGAATCATTTTGGTTAGATCTGTAAATGAGAAGCCTTCATTATTTAAATATAAGAATGAATATAATCATGCAGTTTCGCCCACAAAGAAAGAAAGAACAGTAAATCAGCGCATAATACTTGACGAAGTTAAAGAGAAAAGGAGACTGTTTTAGAAAACGATGTTTGAAGAGAAGAATTGACTTTCGTTAGTAAGGAAATCGAATAGTCAGCGTTTTGGAGATGTCAAGCCCTCTTCCACGTTTAATGAGACCCTCCGCTAAGCTGAATACGAACAATGATTAGCGTCCGGAAACACGATATTCACAATCCTCACTCGTATAAAGCTGTCAACCAGCCTTTGAGGATGACTCGGATGACTCTACATTCCTACTTTTTTCTTTAACAGTGTGAATAATTCTGTGGTTATATGCCCTCTTGCATTAAAGACTCGTATCAATTTATAGACTCTAATATATGTATATATATATATATATATATATATATATATATATATATATACGCGTATGTATGAATATTGGGGAGTGGGTAACGCAGTTGATTGGGCTGGAATCTAGCAGGAAGAAATATACAGGTCCAACCACTCAACGCTCTTCTCCAACCCACGTAAAGTCGTCCTAGCTCGGCTGTATCCAAAATTGCATGGAGAATCGTCTCGACCAGCATTCTACGACATTCATAGAGAAGACCAAATGTTGAAGCAGTAGCCAGGGCAAGATGCAAAGTGATCAAAGACCTCTGTGGGGAGTGAATACAAGAGAAACGAATCGAATGCAAGAACTGTTGGGATCCGCGCAGTAGATGTGATGACAGGCCATGTAAAATAAAAAACACAAAAATGCATAAATATTTGTATGCACATGCATATACATAAATGTATAAACACATACATACAGATACATACGTATATACACATATATATATATACATATGTACATCATTGTATCACCAATGTGCAGTCCTCCATTTCGTACGTCTGCGCTTAATAAAACGAAAACATTTATGACAAACCTTAAACACAACACATAATAAATAATTTATTACAATAAATTCTACACAGTGATGGAAAACACAATACAATCCCAATATGTACTACGAAACGCTACAAGAATGTGGTGATGTAAGAAAGGCGCTGGAAACGAAATAAAAGTACATAGGTGAGACATGAAATATCATCACAGAACATCAAACAGCTCGTATTACTACTGACCAGTACGATTCAGCCAAATTGGATCCGGATCCATTATAAGAATCGTCAAAGCCAGATAGAACTGCAAACACACAATCACACGCACATCTCATAAAACTAGAACAACGCTCTCACTAAGTAGCATAAGCAATCATTGCGATTGCTCCAAAAGACGAAGACGGCCCACTACCATCACATATGCTTAAACGAATATTCAGAGGACTAAAAAAAAAGATTCAAATCATGCATAACGTATAGACCAACGAAACCAAATTAATCAAACCACAAACGTCCAGTGATATAAAATTTATGAAAAGTTCGCAAGTGAGGACGAAGAGAAATATGTTTGTGTTAAGAACCAGAACTAGGGCGAGTTCAGAAGACGTTCCACGGCTGCGTTCAAATCGCCAAAAGACGCACGGAGAGCTGCAAAGCGAAATGCTCATTGGTGTGATGCCCTGCAGATTACATGAAGCATAAGAAAACATAGTAATTACCAGCAATATTCTGTGCTCTATTTGAAAAACCCATTCCAGCCAACTGCTCCAACTGTGACGCATATAACACTTCGGGGTCCTGAAACAACGGATACAAAAATGACAAAATTGCTGCCATAAACATTAATCAAGTGAAATCAGTATACATTTACTACTACAAAAAAATTCAATACACTAAGTAAAACAACGGTAAGTCTCACTATCCCAACATGATGAAACAGAAAACACATATTAGAAAACTAGTTCCTGAACCATTTCATAATTTGCAAGTAAAGCTACGATCAAAGGGTTACCGTTCCACCATCAATTTCAATACTTGTAACGCCTAAAAGTCGGAAAGCCTTTGATTTAACATATGAAAGAATGGTGAAAGAGCAACCGAGCCGCAACGGAAAATAAGACACAACGGCTGCCACTTGCCTACCTCACAATCAGCAAAGAAATGACCGCTATTCTCAAACCCGCGGCTGTTAGACCATCTTTCATCTCAAAGAATCCTTCTTTAACAAAGTCGACTTTCACCTAACGATATTCTATTGTTTCATTACGACAACTTGGTTTCCTCACATAGGACCATAAAGAAGTGCCGCTCTGCCAACAATAGGGAACACTGCGCACTGAGCAACAGCCATGAACGCTTAACGAAAAGTGTTAACAAAGCAATAAGGGCGCAACAAAACAAGAAAAATAAGACGTATTTGAAAAATGAATTCTTAGGGAACGATGGGACAACATAAAGTCTGAGAGATAAAACAACTAGAGTTACAAATATGTACCATGTATATATCGAAATTGGCCAGAAAGCAAGCATATTTTGGAATGTAACTTGTTCGCCATGCTTTTTCTCTTCTACTAGTGTGGATTTTGCATTCTTCTACTAATAATATTCATACTGAGTGATGAATAACCATGGCTGACTTCACGAAGCGAACTCATCGGTGAAGTGCACAGTTCAAAAGTTAGGTTTGGTAAAGATCTGAAACTACACTGTAGCACCATCAGTGCGGCTCAACGATCACCGCTCATGGTTTAAGATCAAGCGCTCCGCATCACATTAATATTTGGCGGCAACACTGCGATGGAACTGTGTGGCATGTCATTGTGGCACAAAGACGGCCGCCTGTTCGCCCGCGTAGTCACATTATATAGTGCACGATACAAATTCGTCTTTCTTCGAGCGATGACAAATGCGAACTCCAGTACTCCGTGAGTGCCAAATGCGAAACGATTAAAGCGGATCGCCTGACGATCAATCGTCTTCCCCATCGATTACACTCCAACCACCCACTGACTAGTCAATGCAGTGAATGTTCATTAAGGGAACATATCCGTATCGAAACCACTGAACCATTTCTTGTAACCGAAAAGTTTTGATGACATGTACATTTTTCTCATAATAAGGAATAACGAAGTTTTACGTTGTTTTTTTTTATAACAAAGTAAAATCGGTTATGCGAAGTAGTGAAGAGGCGGCTTGACTTAGAACTCGTTAGCAAGGCAGAAGCGGTTCATAGCTCATGATACAGCAGCTTGAAGGTCAACGTGTACTCTACTTCGATTACACAACTCATCGCTACAATAAAATAGAGGTTAGGGACCTTAACCAGCCTGACGAAACCTGTCCAATCGTCTAACCTGAAAACACTACTTCAATGTTTCCAGTACATTCTAGTAAGGATAACGCCGATTACGTCATAAGAAAGGTGTAAAGGTCCATATAGCTGAATGAAACGTAAAATCAGTCAGAGCATCAGCATAATGAATTCTGAAGGCTGCATGATAATGTCCCATATACCATGTCAGCCACGATTTCGTGATGCAACGACATTACGGCTGTTTGCTCATCTTATGCAATAATAGCTTAATCACTTATGCTGCCATCGCGCTACAATTGACGCCTAGTTTGCCAATCACATCACCAAATCATCATCCAGAAGCAAAAGCGATTACGGAATTATACTATTTTTCTGGTTTTGGAAATTCTATTTCGAATTAGATTTTAGCCAGTTAACAAAACTTTTGACTTCGGCGGTGACTACTGCAGACCACGCATCGCATTTGTGCAATTTGATCCACTAGTACTCGAAAAGAATGAAGAACTTATGACTGAAATCGGAGATGATAATTATATCAGAACCCGAGCAATTCACAGACATCGATTGTAACACTTTCTATTTTGATACGTCAATTTTTGGAAGCTCTGAAATATGGCGAAAAAATGTACTAATCTCTAAGTGTGGGAAATACCTTTACTAGCATTGAAGGTCTAAAGTTGGCATCAACACTCGTTTTTCGAATACCAAAGCACTTCTGTAGCTTTGCCCACTCGAGAAAAAACTTCTGTGACTCCGTAACTTGTGTGATCAGTGGGCTACTGGGATTAAGCGACGACTAAACAACGTTAGATCCAAATTATATGCATAGTCGATTTTTTGTTTATCCGACATATAAAGTTATTAGAGTCGTACACATGTAACTGGATTCTTGAAATCCTAAGCAAGTGAAGCAGTGATAACCCGAATTTACCTAAATGCGTTCCCTGAAGGATCCAGAAGTGAAAACGGTTCCATTCCATTGACGAAAAATAGGACACGCAAGTTAATGTAAAAATCTGATAAAGTAGAAAGCGAAATAAGCTGCTAAGGGGAAGAATGGAGAACCATGGTGAGTATTTGCACTATTAAATCGTATTCTAAGACATCTTGAGCACTTATTGAGAACCAGGTGAAGGAAGTAAGCAGTCAGAGCCTTGTGAACATGAACACTATCTATACAAACCACTGACAACTCAATAAAGAACCTCTTTGATCGAGGATAATGGACGATTTCTGATGCTGGACATCTGTCAGCTGCGCTTCAATATACAGCTGCAAGTGTAAGCCGAAGCCGAAGGTGAGAAGGAAGTTCTAATTTAAATTGACGAAGTGATAAATCCTATAGTATGACAGGTTCGAAACGACCAAAATTCGACTCCATTCACGAAGTTAAATGTAATGCTCAAAGTGATAGACTTCCCAGGGTTAAAATATCCTCATATTTGTCAATTTTTACTTTTCAAAACAGCTCGCGATTTCAGAATATTTCACTTACACAGCAATGTATGTATCAATATATGCATAATATGATAACTATGCTAGTAAACCAGCTTTTAATCGAAAGTGTCGCTGAAAGAACATCGATGTTACTCTAACACATCTGCAACTACATATGTTACATACTTCACAAAAGGCCGAAAACTATTTAAACTTCCATTTCTCAGGTCAGAATGAACTTGATCCATTGGAAAAGGAACCATTAGAGCGTGTACATCCTTGCCAACATAATAAAAAAGCTCTTCCATTGCAGTGACGAAATCTAGGGTTCTTGGACGTTCGTGGAAGCTAGTTTTCCTTCATTCACTTTTTCTCAATGACGCTTTCATTCTAATTTTTGTTTTATTTTCAACATCGAACTGAATGTGCACGTTAGATCTCGTCCACTAACTAATAGAAGACAGTAACCAAAAGCAACTTCGGTGTTCACAGCTGCTAGCCTTGGGTACGTTGCAATTGTGTGTAATTTTTTTTTCAAATTTGATCTGTTCCTCTGCTGAACCACTTCGTCTTACAACGAATAAACGCATCATAATTGTCACTAATCACAAGTTCACTCTTGTTCCCTACAAATGTAGAGATACATACATCACCACCAATTAGATAGGATTGCCAACGATCAAGTTATATCAGAAGTGCAAATAAGCCACTTTGACGGCAAAAACACTTCGCCACCTTATAGCCATGAAGATGTATAAAAATTTTTACGTGCGGAAAAGTTTCCCAACGATTTACCGTCTCATCGTGGTTCGGAGGTGTTCCTAGGTGTCAGCCTGGGATGTACAGCGGGAGAATTCATCCCCAAAGCAGAGTTTTCTAAGCCGAGAAGGAGACAGATGTTTCAACCTAGAAACCCACCTAAGAGTAGAGCAATACCAGGATCCACCACTGTGCTGATATCAAACTAGTTGCATGGTGGCAAATCTCCTTCTGATTCACAAAGGCGGCAACTGCTTGTGGTGGTGACGACCTGGAGCAGATTCTGCCTAGGCTGACCTCAGGACTACAGCGAACCACAACGGCTAAACAACAAAACTCCAAAAAGACGGAAAATATGTTGGAGCCTGCACAACAAGTGAGGACGAGCCATCCTAGTATCCATGTGTGGAAGAGAGCTATGGACGTCTTGGTTAAAGTAGTGAGCCTCACAAAAGCATTCACGACACCCAACTTAAAATATGCATGTACGACAAAAAGAAGCCAGAACTTCTACTGATCTTAATCAAAGTGGTCTGACTCTTGTGCAGAAATGGTGCTGGAGGTGTTTTGTGCAAGACCAGTAATATAACCAGGCAAACCTACTACTTCCACAATCATCATATCTAGAAAACCAGCTCTTTTCCCACTAATCAAGTTATTTTAAATGACTCCATTAAAGTCACCACCCGTCTTGCAACATGCCAGGATTGTTAAGTAGTTTTATCCGAATAACGGTCAAGAAGAACAATATTCTCCATCCAGCTTATTTATAAATAAGTCACACCCATAAAATGTTGACCCCCTCGTGAACCTGCTATACCACAGAAACCGTCAATGATTCTCACCCGGCGGCCGCTATTACAAACATCACATCTGGCTTGGTCCTATTTGATCCGCTCGATTCTTGACAAACGCTGAAGAGTTTTTGACCTTTGCTCGCGGACGTATGTTAAAGCCAGAGAATCCAGTTCTTATGTGTCCTTACATTATTCGCTCCAAAGCACGTCCAATAAAGCTGACTGCTTCACTATACTTAAGTAACGTTTAGGTTATCGAAGCATACGGGAAGGAGACTAAACGTGGTGGTATGCGCTGAATAACGGTATTCTTCACTTTCTTTCATCAACCCCCGGTGCTCTTGTAGGCTCTATAAGCCACTTAGCCAAAAGGATGCAGATGATTGAAGAGTAACAAGGAATTCGTTTCGCAAAGCATAAACTAGGCATCAGGAACAAATTTCCTCGTATACAGTTTCTCTGACGTGCAATAGAAGACGGGTGTCATAACAATCAGCGTTACAATCGGTCAGTGTTTGTCCCAACCTATAAGTGCCTGCTCTTTTGTGAGCACTATTATCAGTGAGTTGAGCACTGCCGGACATGGACTCACCTCCATGTCATCACATCCTAGTTTTTGCATTATGTTCTGACTAGTGTTGAGTAATTCTCGAAATATATCACTTCGAAATTCTTAGAACTTCTACAAATTTGAAAAGAGACAAGTTTTCTGCAGAAATGAATCCTTAGATAACTTAGCACTCTGCTTGACAAGAAGACTAGGCGATGTTTCTAGGTACAGCGAAGACAAGCGCTTTGATGTTTGACAAATCATTTTTAAAAGAAGATAAATGGAAACACAACGTACAGTAGTAGCATTCATTCCCGCGAACATGTTATTAAGCATACCGATCGAATCTTGACTATTAACCGATGAATTCGCCTGTGTGGTGCTAGAGGCAGCACCGAAACCAGTTCCAAAGATTCTGAAAACTTTCTAACAATGAAAGAAAACCCAATTTATACATTATGAGGCAACGGTTCATCACAATGCTGAAGGACATCGTTTGTATCGAAAACGAAAGAAAAGCCACCTTAAAAGCACTACAACCACTTACACATTAGGAAGAAAAGATTGGAGAACCCATCAATATGTAAAGGTATGTAGAATTTGGAAACAAATTAAATTTTTCGCGTACATGCTTTATTTAGATCTTTTCTAACGCAAACATGTGCTAACATACCCTGCCAAAGCCGGTGCCTCGCGGCGAAGAGTATCCATTCCTTGTTGCATCATGCGCAACGCTTCCAAAACCCGTGGATTCGACACAGCAGCCATAATCTCAGGATTTCCCATCTGCAAATGCGTTTAAGTACAGAAAATGCATCATATACTGTATCAAATAAAAAAGAAACAGGAAATTGCAAAATACTGCTTCATAACAAAAAATACTACAGTACAGAAAGTTGTACTTAAATATTAAAAGACCTGACAGAAAAAGCGAGACTAGAAAATACATACCAAATTCACCATATTTGGTAGTTGGGCTCGAAGCTGCTCCGCTAACTGGGGGTTGTTGGCAATCAAAGGGTTTTGCTCCATAATCTGAAACGTCTATAATTAAAACAGAAAACTTCAATAAATAATGTAGTATAAACTGCTTTGAAACACAAAAGATTTAGGCGATATACTATAGATACAAACTTTCTTGGAAAGCAAATAGTATTAACTCCAACTAAATAACAATTTTGCGTACTACTCCAAAAATGGCCAAATAACTTTGCAAGAACATTAGGGCACAGTGGAAGGACGCAAAACAATATTTGTCAATAGTACAGACAACTTAGATTGTAGTATGGATTTAAGAAAAAATTTTACATTTCATGTCAGAAAAAGGGTGCATGTATCACAGTGGTTAGATGCGACCTGCAATACACATGTAATCGGCCCTGCGCCCCTGGCTCACCAAGCTTTCCATCTCTTTGGACTTGGCAGGCAGGATACAAGTACTAACCCGACATATCGGCAGGCCACCGTGAGTTATTGCATATGCCAGATATCCATTTAATAATCTCTAACGATGCTTAATGAAGGCGAGTGCATAAGACATGCTTCAGTGATTTATCAATACCGAGAGCTTTATCTTTATTTATGTCAGAAAAACGACAACCCTTGAGGAAAAGGTTTAAAGGTAACGCCCTGCTCATTCAAAACCAATTTTTAAAGACAACACTAGAACCGCAAGAGAAGTTCTCAGGAAAATAACAGGAAGATGAAATAATACAATTTATCATGGTCACATAGCCCATGCATAAAAAATGGAAAATTCAACTAGCAGTAGTACATCGGTGAATACTAGTGCACTTACTTGCTGCACTATTTGAGGATTTTGAGAAATGCTCTGCCTGAACAACCCAAGAATTTCTGGCCTCATCAAGGACTGCATCAAAGCTGGATCTGACATCATCTGCTCCATTAAAGAATTCATTCCTGACGATCCAAGCAACGCTAGGAAGAGAGATATTGTAACAAACAAAATAAAAGAACATATGACAAAAATTAAAGTGACAAGAAGGTAGCCAAAGAGGCTCATAACAGTACAACGTTTAGCTCTTGAAGACCAGTGCTACAGATGCATGACACCAAAACGACACTAAACACTATTGTTCACAAACTTAAGTTTATTTATGTTTTCCAATAACTGTAGTTCTTAACAATAAGAAAACGTGATGCCCACATGCAATTCCATCCTCGGAAGAGTTTGCTGTAACTCCATTAGACGCCTGCGTGTTTTGTGGTGAACTCTGTCCACCACCCCATGGATTCGGCAGAGCTTCACTGTTCTCCTGTCCAGCCCTCTGACTTCGAGACTCTACAATATGGAAAAAATGATCGGATCAGTAAACTTGCATGGAGTTCAATTAAGTGTTAAACCTGTTGTGTCCTCTCCACGACGCAATGAAGCAAATGGATTGCCAGCCAGAGAACTAGTTGCACTGTTCAGAAGCGGCTCTTGTACATCTTGGTACAAACGCTGTAGTGCTGCTTCACCACCAGGAATTCCCTAAGCTCTCAGATTATAATTCCAGAAAAAGTGGACGAATGTGGAGTTAGTGAAAACATCACACCTGGAGATTTCGTATGGCAAGATCGTGATTACGCATCATTTCTTGGAACATGTTAGGATTTCTAATCATTTCCATCGTTTGCCTCATCATATCTGGGTCGTTCAAAACATGTCCTAACTCAGGATTGCGCTGAAATGTCTCCTCATGTGAATAAACAAAAAGGCACAAATCTTAGATTAGTCACTCTATTTAAACATTGCACTCTTCCTCTATTAAGAAAAAGGGATCTGTACACACTTCAATGAGCTGCTGAATTTGTGGATTACTGGCAATGAGTGAACGAAAGATTTCAGGATTGCCCATGATGTTCTGCATAAGGGGATTATCCATCATCTGACGCATCATTTCTGGGTTATTCATCATTTGTTGAGCCATTGCCTGCAAACAACTATGTTTATTATGGAAATGAATTTCTCATGTACTCTCACATTCTCATCATGTACGGATAGCGCAACGGACTTAACAAATAACACTCAAAATGAATTTTGAAAACGAAAGTTTGGAAAACAGTGGTCGACTTCGAATTTCAAAAAACCCGCTTATGTTAAGCTTTATTAGTTAGAATTACCTCCCAACGGTTTACTGCCTCATCGTGACTGGGAAGTGTTCCTGGGTGTCGGACTACGATGTACAGCGGGGGATCCGTTCACCCGGCAGGGCTTCCCAAGCTGAGGAGTCCGTTTGGCCAGGCTGACCTCGGGATTCCAGGAAACCACAATGGCTTAACCAGCAAATTTCCGATAAAAGGTGATTATGCTGGGGCCCGCACAACCAGTGAGGACGGGCCGTTCAAGTGCTAAGTGTCAAGTTAGAATTAAAAGACGTTTGGAATTTGAAGAATTTTGCGTATAAGACATAGGTTATTTTATACTACCAAGATTTAATTCGAATTTTCGGCAGTCCTGTTTCACAGTTTTTCACTTTTTATTTTTCGAGAAGGCTCACATTTAGAACATGAAAACCAACGAAGTATCTTGTTGAACGAGATGCGACGGTGTTTTCGAACGCACTGCTTATGTCTCCAGTTCTCACCGTTTTGTTTAAAAATAAAAATTTTATTACAACGATGCTAAGGTATTCGCAGAACTCTGCACCGCAGTTGCTTGAGGTGGGTAAAGAATGCGCTATCACGCTTTCCGGGGGGTAGCGCGTTCACTACCACACCATGCTTGTCCTTCGTTTCGCCTGTCTCTCAGCTACTTTTCTACCTACCTAAAATTTATCTTCATCTTGTTTGATAAATTAAACCTTATCTTTCAAAATAAAAGCGTTCTATAGAAATGCTACGTATATGAATAACAGCAAATTCTCGTCCACGAGCCCATAGCTGACGAGATGGAAACGATAGCGTCCATTTTCAACTTAGTGCGTTTCAGAATTCTTTTATCGCACTACGTATATTTATTAAAGAGCTAATAGAAACCAGAACAAAGGGAGAGGCGCGAGACCAGAAAAGTCATTCTCTGCACCCAATGATCTGCAAGAAACCACTTTTCGAAAAAGTCCAGTGAGCGGTTATTTGACTACAAAGTAACTATTATTCCATTTCAATCACTACGGTCACTGTTAGCATCTGCCTATATAAAAAACCGAAATAGATTTAGCATAAGGTGCAAAATACTTCAAAGTGCTGGTAGCAATATATTTTTGTAACAGACTATAGTAACACGCAGTAAATTGCAGCAGACATGGTATTCATGCCAAAAGAGCAACAGAAGAAAGTCTCTTCTACAATTCTGTCATGTGCAGAAACCCTAAAGTACTCTGGCTATTGAAAAAATGTTTTTTGTTATCAAAAAACAAGGACTGCAGCTGACGAAACATTCCCGTATTCCATTCGGAGGACCATGCCAAACGACGCGCGTCTGTTTCGGGTTAGAGTATGTAGTTCTTAACTCCTCAAGATTCTTGTAAATGACAAGGTATACTCAGTTGTCGTAAAGTGGCCTTCGGATGTTACGTGTTAAAATCTTATCTGTACGCTACATCAAAATGCAACACCACTACAGGACTCCACAATGACAGTTTTTAACACCGAAACCAACAAGAAAATTTTCGACATGTACGAATAGCGTAGTGAACTCAAAAGCCGACGCACTGATTACGCTCAAAACCAACAGCAAATAGAAGACTGGGCAGCGATAACTAATCACAGTTCAATACAATGCTAAGTCACCTGTGGACCACCAGCCGGAAGATTAGCACCAAAGAGAGAGCCTGTGCCATGGGGCCCACTAGAAGCCTGAAAGACAACTGTAACAGAACAAAGAACAAAACGTAATGTAGTTTAAACCGGTAACGACGTGTACTTAGTACTACTACAAAGACTAAAAACCTAATCAGAAATCGAACACTATTGCCTTGTTATGCAATTGCTAATAAACCGCCTTTAAATAACTCGAAAAAATCTTTTGAATAATAGCTTAGTTGATTATAAAGAGTGAAATCTGAACGTATTAAAGCAATGAAGTTGCCATAGATGAAGGTACGATATTAAAAATTTTGGCATGAGATAACGGAGCTGTTACCTGCGTAGGATTTGTTGAAGAATTTGTAGTGCTTTGGGTTGAAGCTACAGAACTCGCCTGGGCATTCTGCAATAGACCCATAAGGAAATTGCTATCCAGAAGCATTTGGCTGCACTATTTCTCAGAACTACAGCCCTTTTGTTCAAACCAAATTCAGCACTGTGTCCATGGCAAGCACTAACGTGAACTCAGTTCGATATAAAACCAGCTTCGCAAGCATGACTTAAGCCGTTCTGCAGTAATATTACTATGGAACAGCTCTTACTAACAAAGAAAGAACAACTTTATAACAAGGGACTGCACTCACCCGATTTTGCCCCTGTCGAACTACAAGGTGTAAGGCCATGCCATCTCCAATATCTGCAATGTGAACCTCAAAACCTGCTGACATATTCCGAGCTATTCGTGGACTTTCCATCAGTAAGTTCGAATACACAACTCAGAATGCTCTAAATAGTTTAAAAACTTTGAAACGCAGAAATATATACTATGTGTCTCCAATTTCTCATGGTCCTTCAAAATCTTCCCAGAAAATATTAGGCATAGCAGGGACTTTTCCACATTGCTTAGCTTGCTGACGAGCACATCTTTAACCTGAAATGATGAATGTATAAAATGAAACGTAAAGACATGAAAGGAAAAACTCAGCAACATACGTCAGAGATTGTTGCGTTTGCTTTCACCTCCACATCGTAGACGGCCGTTGTCGTCTTTACTTTCAGTGAAATGGTTGGCACCGCTTCATCCTCCACATCACTCATCTTTTTAGATGCAACTGCTAAAGTAAGCTAGAGTAAATACAGACGAAAAGCACATACACCGTGAAAGCAAGACTGCAGCTCAATCCAGAAAGTGTCGGTCCGTCAAAAATTATGTGAGAAACAATTCTTCCTTTACGCAGTATGAGCATAAGAATGAATCACGAACCATTTGTGATGCTACATGGACCAAAAAACACCTAGAGATCAGAAACAAACAACCACCAGCAAGCTGACAAACACACAAGACCGACTTTTTCATGCACCGTAATCGAATTCTCGAAGTGAGCATGCATTCGTGACGGGACCAAACAAGGATTCGTGGCGCAACGCAAAGGCGTGGTTGGCGGCGGACTAGCCAATTGCGGATGGACACACGTGCATGGCCTCGTTCATTTGTGGTGGTATATCTGGTCGTGTTGTCCATTCGTAGGGTTATTTCATGCTTGTGTGTTGGTGTCGTTGTGACGTGGCCATTAGGGTGTGTGCCCAGTGCTAGTTAGCATGGTTTCCGCGCGCGGTTCCCGACAAAGTGGTCCTTTTGCGTCAGGATTTTCGCCTCCATCCTCCCATATTCGTTAGACATTTGCGGACTCCCCCTGCACCCTCAGAGGCGTCGTGAGCGCTTTCCCGTACGTGGCGACCGTTGTCGCCGTTCCCAGAGCGGTGCGCCATTCTAGCTATCGATCAGACCTCCTCTGCGTCCAGCGCGCGTTCCGTCCGACTTCGCGAACCGCGCTGCATTCGTCGTCGCATCGCCTGGCTTCGTTTGCAGTATTCATTTCACGGGTATCTGGCAAGTTAAGGTTTTTCATTCAACCAGAAGGATTTTCAGGGTAGAACCCACAAATGGCCGTCATTTGTGTTCTGGTCGCACTGGTGCTGTGCGTTTCTGCCGGAGGCGATGTGCTGGAGTACACTGACGCTAACTTCGACGACCTGATCAAGTCACATGAGGTCGCCCTCGTCAAATTCTACGCTCCCTGGTGAGTGAGGCTTTTTTAGTGTTGAAAATTGGGACAGCGCGATGGGATTTCATGTTTCACTATCGTTTCATTGATGTACGAACAGGCGTGCGTGACACAAACGTAGCTCTGTAGATGGGGGCTAGGGTTAACCTCAGCTTCTCTTAGATGAGCTTGTGTTATTGGAGCTTTAAGCGCTAGAAAATTCTTAACAAAACAGTGACTTTGTAATATCTTTAGTTCCATTTTGCGAGACAATTCAGCCATAAACGTAGCCGAGGCCTTCGCTTTGTTGGTAGTTTTGTGAAAATTTTGGTAGACTTGAGTATTTGTTTACACTGTGACTCCAGCGTTAGGCTATTCAAAAGACAAACAATGCTTTTAGAGGACAGGCAAGTATTGTTGTCGTGTACGTTGCAGTTCCAACGAATATTCGGGTTTCAGATATGTGTTCTTGTGGCTTGTTGTGTTAATAGAAATGTATGGCGTATTTCGAAACGTGGGTCCAGGGCGTACGTCTGAAATCCAGGACTTTGCTACAACAGGATGGAGCGTTCAGCGTTGTTCAAACCCTCTTTACCACGTGTAGCCATTCAACCCCCCAAGTTTTCCGCTAATCGAAATGTTTGTTTCGAAAATCTAGAAGCTCCATAAATACACAGAATGAGGCGTCTTCTATGGTCAAGCATAGTGTCTGTTTAATTCCTTGATGTATTAGCCGAATGGAACTGCGATTATATATTGGTAATCAATCATACTCACGTAGGCGGTGACAGCACGGATGGAGTGATGACTTTCATCACGATGATGGTGCTGGTTCGTCCTGACACCAGTTCACGAAGCCCCTCATCCTTCCGAGGTAGGTAAATTGGTGCCGGAATTGTTTAGGATCATCTGTGTGTATCCAATTTAAGTGGAAAGGCTCTACTCGAAGAGGAGTATATTCAACCAGGATTGAGCGACATACGTGAATATGGTGAAAGTCGTCAAGCAGTAGAATTGAAGGTTTTTTTGCATGAGAAGTATGACTTTTTGACTTCTATTTCAACAAGGAGACATTTATGCATTAAGGGTAGGAATTCAACGTGTTCCGTTTCACGTGATGGAATAAAAGATTCCTTGGAACTGATCGTAGATGAAGGATGTTTTTTAGGTTAGATGAAGTGCTACATATTGTAGACCAGATTATTAATGTGGTTTATTATGAGGCTATAATGCTCAACTGTCTTCCCGTAGTTTTTTCTCTGTAAATTAAAAGTTTTCGCATTTATAACAATCAGTGATACAGTTGTTTCAACTCCACCAAGAGCTGCCAGCAATGTAGAAGGTTTTGGATGCATGTTGATGGGTTGTCTAGTACTTGAGGTTCGACAAAAAGTACACACTGTGAAGGTAAACCGGTGTGGGAACCACGTCTGGCACATAGTAGTCAAAAATTGTAGTTATGTGTTGAGCTTTCTTCTAAACTTGTGTATGACGTCAGTCAACTTGTCAACTTCAAGGAACTAGTGGTCCTTATGTGTTGAGTTTTCTTCCAAAGTTGTGTGTGACATTAGTCAACTTGTCAACTTGAAGAAAGTAGAACTCTTGGTTAACTAGTACTAGGTGGAATAAGCTCACAGTAGAAAGTTTTTAAGGTCTCGCCTCAATGAACTGGCATAAAGTTGTTAAAACATTTTGATTTTCGGTGACGATGACTTCTGAGGTGATGTATTTTTATAATTTCTAGCGAACCCTTCGCCATCTTAGTGTGAAGTTGACGCTAAAACACTAAGAGGTTAAAAAGCACACCGTTTTTCTGTCGTTTACGTGTATTAACGACAGACCACCGTGTGCTGTTTTGAAAGAGTGATCAATTGAACTCACTAAGACTTAATGTGAGACACGGTGCCATGTCATGGGTTGTATTCAGGTGTTCATTTTTCCGAAACGGCTCAAGAGTTTTGCGCTTTGGGCTTTTTTGTTAATATGCTTAAGATTGGGATTCTGTTTTTGCTATCATCACCGTCTATTAAATACTAATATAATAATAATACTAATCTAAAATCTAATATTAGTCTATTAAATACTTCATCAGACTTTATGTTTCCCATCCAGCTACTCTTTATGCGCAGCAAATTGGTTGTTTCGCTACCAGGACATCTTATGATGTCGTGAGTTCCCTGGACAGTGCGGAATTTCACAGTCGCATGCAGAAATGGCAGCGCTTGGTTTACTTTGCCGATTTCTCGAGAACTCTTCCCCACCGTATTGGTTTTGTAGTGTATACGTTATAGTGATTGTTCCAATTACCGACTGCGCAACTGTGCTCACAACCGTTTTTTGATGCGAATTTGACCTCGATAGTTATTTCGGCGCTTCATTTTTGTCCAGCTGTTGCTTAACAGTTTACTCTTCGGTCATCGTACGAGATCCAAATGTGGTAACCGTCCACTCTAATTTACTTAAGCTAATTTACTTAAGCACGTTATAGAAAATGCATTATCACCCTGAATATGTCACTGGAAGCTTAGCTACTTTCTCATACGGCATTGGCTCCTATTCATTTGTGTAAATGTCGAGCACTGCTTTTTGGTCTACAGTACTCTTAATTGATCCTCTGTAAAGTTTTTGCAGGTATATCAGCGATATTAAATACATCACATATCGTTGTTTAGTAAGCTTATGAAAAATTCGTTTCATGCATATTTGCGGAGTGCTGTAAACTGTCTAGGTGTGGCCACTGCAAAAGGATGGCACCGGAGTTCGACAAAGCTGCAACCAAACTGAAGGAGAACGATCCTCCGGTCACTCTTATTAAGGTAATAATAGTATTGAATCGAAAAATAAAATGTTGCGTTTTAATAGGATGTCAACTCGAATTTTATTTCAGTCTACGATGTAATTGCGTAGTTAGTATGTTTACATCCAAAGTTTGACTTTTCATTTCCGAGTTGTAGTATTTACGAGTTGAAAAAGTTCCATCCAGATAGTTGAAGTTGGCAAAGTGCTCGCTCGCGGAAGATTTGATAGCGCTAGGTATGGGCTATAACTTAGAATATGGAACTGCCGCATAGGTGCGTGCCTACGGCTTGTGGCGAAAGCGCGGAACAACGTGTATAATGCGATATCGCCCATTGAACAGAACGGTTTGTGTTTACCACAACAAGCAGAAACGTTCGAAACTGATTGTATGTTTGGCTCCTCAGATCATTCTATAGCGGTTGGTCGAGCTTCTACATCTATTTACATATTTGCATCCGATTCAGTACCATGTCAGGACCAATTGCCAGAACTGGGTTGTACAAGACTTCATTAGAACCGAATTAAACAAGCACGCCTACGCCTCTTCGAAGTCTGTTTCTTACTGTGCACTGATAGTGCCAGAGGAGTTTCCTCATCGATATTAACTTTTTTCTTAAGGACGCAGACAGTGTTAAATTGAACCTGTTCGCCATACAAGAAGCAGAAAACAATTGTACCGGGATATATAATTAATTAGACCTTTGTCATTTACGGAAATAATGTCGTATCTCGAAATCTCACCGACGCAGTTTTTGTCCTTCACCCTCCATTAATTATCTCGTTGATTGGCAGGTCATCCTAGTCGCCTGGCCATCTTCAGCTTTCAGCCAACGCGTGATAAGAGGATTGACACTTGACACTTGAACGACCCGTCTTCACTGGTTGTGCGGGCCCCAGCATAATCACCATTTACTGGAGATTTGCTGGTTAAGCAATTGTGGTTCCCTGGAATCCCGTGGTCAGCCTTGCCAAAGTCTGCTCCAGGTCTTCACTACCGCGGGCAGTCGCAGTCCTTGTGGATCAGATGGAGATTTGCCATCATGCGACTTGGTACCAGGACGGTGGCGTATCCTGGTATTGGTTGTTGGTTTACTCGTAGGTGGCTTCCTGATGGAAACACCGGGTTCCTCAGCTTGGGAGACTCTGCGTGGAGGACGAATCCTCCCGCTGTAGATCGCAGTCCGACACCCAGGAACACCTCCCAGCCACGACGAGGCGGTAAACCGCTGCAGGAATAAGAAGAAGATTAGTACCGTCAATTATTAACAATTGGTGCGCTAATGTGCACGAGTTGGATGTGACGCATCATCTGATAGTTATCCGCAAAGAAGAGTCCTGTAAATTTGTCGGATAAATTACCAAGTCCGATTTTCTATTGACCTCGCCCTTGATAAGTAATTCACTGTTTCTTCAATAGCGCAAAAGAGTTTGCGTTATGGTATTTATTAGCGGCAGCTAACATTTCAGCTGGTTTTGCCTTCTTTTGAGCTTGGAGAGGTCAAGTTGACGGCAATCTAATCTGCCAAATACCTCCATAACTTCAACAGAAAGAAGACGAGGCCTAAGTTTCAATCACATTTGGACCAAAACAGCTTTACGCACTCACCATTTTCTATGAGTTTTTTTTTTCACCCAACTTTTACATGAAGACCAACCGCACGGAGTTCACTTGGGTGGGTAATATACCTCTCTCACATTTAAATATCAGTTTGAGATATTGTATGAAATCATGGGGATAACGAGGCATTCCCTCAGTGAAGTTCCTCTCTGGAAACCGGAAATTAGACCAAAATTCCTCGAGGGTTTTACGCGCTGAAGTTCCAGAAATAGACGGCAGAAAGAAATACCTCGTTGTAATGCGTGGTCTCACATAGTATCTCAGATGGCTATTTTAAAGTGATAGAGGGATATTATTCATGAATGTGTGCTCTGTGTTGTTGTTTTCCACGTGAAAGCAGCAGTGAAAAAGAAAACTCATAGAAAACGGTGAGCGTGTGAAGTTCTTTTGATTCTAGTACTATTGAGTTCTAGGTTTCGTGGTTATTCCGTTGAGAATATGGAAGTATTTCGCCTACAGTTCAACTTAACATTTACAGGCTGTGAAGAAAGTGAAATCCACCGAAATGTCAGCTTTTGTGAATAAGCAGTGGAATAACAACCTCGCATTTGCTTTTCAAGAAAGCAGCGATTCGTTCTCAGATACTTCAGTTCTAGGTTCGGGTAGGCGAGTGAAGTGAAAACGAGGTTAAGATTAGTTGGAATAGCCGAATAGAAAATCATTTTTCTACAGGAATGAAAATCGCCTAAAAACGGTGTCTGCCAAATAACATCAGATCAGTCCGGCTACAGGCTAGGAGTAGCGATTGTTATCGTCCAAAAGGTGGAAGACGTACTACGTGACGATAACATTCTGAACGAAATCCTTTACGTTATTGGTGTATCGAGCAACATCTGACGGAAGGCTACAAGCTGTTCGTTGATGGACTTGAGAGTTGTGACGACCAAGCCTCTTTTTCTCAAAAAAGAAATTTGGATGACATTTCTACAATCATTAGAAATTTATGTGAGAACAAAAAGAAGCAAGTTTGGTCTTTGTGCAACACGCATAGTTCGACTAATAGTTCACGGCAACTACAGGAAATAATTGCAAATGTATCTGCATCGGTAAGAGGAACTATTAGAAGCCTTCCAGGAAAAAACGCCAATTTAAAGAAATCCGCAAAGACAGGAATTACGAATACCACAGTGGTATTACTACCACCCTCCTGCAACTCTATGGAATTGATAATGGATTGATAATGGACATGATCCTTTTCATCTACTGTGATCGTCGTGGGTAGAGCTACGATATGGCTTCTAACGAAGTGATCGATTTGTTCGAGTTGGTTACTTTTGCAGCACGGATTTTCCATAAACGATTTGTGGATTAATCTGCGATCCAATCCTTCGTAGAACTGTTTGAGCGTCATGTCGGTTTCCATGGTTGTCTTCAAGAAGATATTCGAATAGCGATCGAAAACGTGAAAGTGGGCACATCTGCAATAGCAGATAACATTAAAATCGACTTACTTCAGGCAGTATTGCATTATTTAACTACTAACCACTTGTAGCAATCTACACGACAGTTTAATTTCGAATGCGAACGATCCCAGACGAAATCTTATGGTTCGTAAATAAAGCGCTTGATAGATGTTTTTTGAAACGTAATCGGCATACACAACACTACTTGACGCCGCAGTTTGGACGTTCTAAATTTATCTCATCTTTGAAATCGGGAAGAATACACTTCGCAGGTTGGGCACTTTATATAATGAGAAGAACCCATGACATATGGAAGGACAAAGTAGCGGAATAAATGTCAAAGAGGTGTAAGCGTCTTCAAGAGCGAAGCTCCTAGGCTCGACGGGCGTTTTTTGCTAAAATGAATCAGCAGTACTTCGGACCGCAGGTGTCTGCGGTGGGCAACGAACGCACTATTGTTCTTTCCGGGAAGTAGCGCGTTCACCACCACACCAGGCAGGTCCTTCGTTTCGCCTGTCTCTTAGCTAGTTCTATCGAGCTTTTGCCATCAGCAATCATGGGTCAACGGGATTGTTCTGGGGAGCCCAAATCGGCAACGAACCCAGTTAAGCTGAGGCTGCAGTTATAATCACAATTTTAACTTGTTATTTACTGCCGACTCTTTTTAACGGCAGGGTATATATTGACAGGTGATTGCTGATGGCAAAAGGTCGATAGAACTAGCTGAGAGACGTGCGAAACAAAGGACCCGCATGGTGTGGTGGTGAACGCGTTACTCCCCGGAAAGGACAATAGCGCGTTCGTTCCCCACCATAGACACCTGCGGTCCAGAGTTTTGCAAATATCTCAGCAACGTTGTGGTTGTATTTCGCTTAGTAACCTGCCATGAAAATTATAGAAGGCAGAAAACAAAACGTTAAACATTGTGAATCAGCAGTGTTCACTGTTGCCTACGTTTGATAGATCATATGTTGATACTCGCATACGTTAACGTAGGGGACCAAAGTATGCTGCGATATTCAGGAAGAAACCAACGGGCCGTCGAAATATGGAAGTAAACTAAGTACACAATTCTCACGTAGGTTGATTTGTTGGCTGATGCTAATTCTGTTATCGTCATCAGGTCCTTCAAGTACTCATTTTGCGGAAGCTTCAGGAGCTGCCGAAAACCAGTATCTCGATATCATTATTCGGTATTATAAACTGGCCCAATGTCATTTTAGTTGTGGTTCGACTGAAGCTGTACGAGTTTAGGTAGATTTAGGTATTAATCAAACAGGTGCCCGGCATGTTCGCGTTAAGTGGCAGAGGGAACTAAGGCTAGCGCTGCTTGGTAAGATCGTGCAGGGTACTTTTGCGATAGCCATGATATGTTTCCAGATATCGAACAGCGTACTATTGTGGATGACCCAGTGTTTTTTGTCTTTCTTATAGTGCTGCTTTTCTTTTCAAGCACCCACCCCTTTATACTCACTGTTGTACTCTTTAGTGGAAAACTCGCTGGAATATTCCACGCGTAGTACACCTGAGTATTGTGCGCTTAAGAGCCGTTTTGTATAGTGCAGAATCTTCCTTAAAGCAGCGCATTAAATTTTTGCCATTCCGGTATGTCATAAAGCTATTAAGTGTGCATCACTTATTCATTTTTTTGCGCCATCACTTTGTACTGATATCCGTTGTGTTCACAGTAGATCCTTACTGTAGCAGTTTTAATTTGCAAACGTTATTAGAAGAAGCATCTGGTTTAACCAGATTAGTTTTTCAATTTATAATCTATAAGTGGATATCTTGCCCGTAGTTCTATAATTATAACATCCTGATTCAGTGGAAAGGAAAATAAGATCTCGATTTATTTTCTCATTTTAAGTCATCATACACAGTAGGGTTGCGCTCTTAGCAGGGGTTTAAGCAAGACTACTACTCTTAAACGTGAAGTTCATAAAATACTGCGCTCTGTTTCAGGTCGACTGCACCGTAGAGAAGACCACGTGTGACAGATTTGGTGTGAAGGGATTTCCGACCTTAAAGATCTTTCGCAACGGAGTAGAATCCCAAGCGTATGATGGGCCCCGTGAAGCTGATGGCATCATCAAGTATATGCGTGGACAAGCTGGTCCTTCTTCCAAAGAACTTAAATCGCTTTCCGAATTCAAGAAGTTCATAGGAGGAGACGAAAGTGCCGTTGTTGGTGAGTAATCGCACTGCTGATTTGTTCGAGCGTTCTATTTCCATTTTCGTATCCATAGATATCTAGGCTTCTTTGAGAATGAGAGCAAGCTGAAAGATTCATTCCTGAAAGTCGCTGACACCGAAAGGGATCGCTTTCAGTTCGCGTACACTTCCGATAGCTCTATACTCAAGGAAACAGGATATACAGAGTTAGTTTAAAATTTCAATGTGTAATACTGGAGGCAACTTGTTTGTACACAGTTAATTGTACTTTAAATTTCATTGAATCAAGTTATTCAGTTACAGGTAAGTGAAAATATTTATTTAATAAAACGAGCCATTTTTTATCCTTGTAGTGTAAAGGATTCTTGGATGTGTGATCTCTTAGTGCCGATGAAATAGGTACGTACCGAAATTAGGTACCCAGAGGATTGTTGGCTTTTTTGTTTTGTATGACCCGTCTTCACGTCTACTGTGCGAATCCGACACTTCTCACAATTCGTTTCTCGCATCCATTGTTCACGAAGGTCTTCCAAGTTTTTACGTGTGGCTTCGGTTGTTGCTTGAGGGTTTTCATTTCATCTTGAATGTAGTAGATTGATGGTCGTGTATAAACTTCAGATGTGAATCTTTCCTACATTTCGAAAAGCAAACGATAGCTCTACTTCTTCCAATCTTAAGAACTACAATCGTTCTACTAATGTTATACTTAATAACGATATATCGGAGTCTTGAGATAGCCAGGACTAGCGGAGTCCTGACTGGAACGTTCCTAATTGGACTTCACAGTGATTGTTTTCCTCAGAGCAGTCCTATACCAATTCCCCGACCCTGGAGAGATGAGAGGCTTGGTTGTTCCGGACCGGAATCGAGCTAGTACCATGGTCAAGATTATGGACAGCGCTAACACTGTGCTATTCTCCCATGCTTTTAGCTTGAGGCGAAATAATAGGCTGAAACAGTGGACTTCACATTCGTACTTCAGAAGATCGTTTTATTGGAGTTGTAATAATTTTTGTTATTGCTTGTTCGGAGTGCTCATTTTTCGTTAATGGAATCATTATGTAGAGTTTAATTGATTGTCTTTGTGAATCCACAACAGAAAATTGATGGACTTCGACGGATATTTTTCCTCTTCGCAGTTTTTAATTTTTCTTTTGTTTCCGCAAAATGTGACAACTGCATCAGGACAGTATATTTTTGATGTCTCTGTGTTTGAATATGGGATTTCATACCTCTCTTATTGTGGCGTCCATCAGGTGTTAATCCTTTTTACATTTCGAAAAGCAAACGATAGCTCTAATTCTTCAGATCTTGAGAACTACATTCGATCTACTTATGTTGTGCTTTATAACAATATAAATAGTAGTAAAATAACGCAAAAGACGGACTTTCTGTAGGCCTCGGCATAATTATTCAATGTGTTTATTTATATGTCCTTATGAACCGATTTTGTTGAGGTGATCCGAGGTTGGTATAGTTGTTGTTGTTGCTATTGTTGTTGGTCGATGGCTGACCTTTCGGCGATTTCACCTTTCGCAGAGCCTGGATGTATTTTGTACAAAATTAGCTTAATAATTCGGTGGAAAGGAATTATAGGATTAATGAAGAAGTAACATAAACCTCATATTTATCAAAGAAAAAAACTACTAGCCGTGTTGTTACGAGCGAGAAACACCCAGGCCCAAAAATCATTTTGAAATAAGACTCTAGGTCTAGGTATGATAGCGATACATTCGTCTTTCCTGTTCATCTTCGGGTTTTTGAAGTTATCCAAAAGGCCTCAGAAGTCTGCGCACTGATATTTTTGATTTCCGCGCTAGGATCCGGTTAGTAACTTTAGAATCATCGCCATTATGCCTCCGTGCCCTATGTGTACCTAGAGGAGTGCTTTGACGAATTTTCCCATCTAGGTGTTTTTTTATGCTTCCGGACACAAAACGGCCTACCCGTTTCTCCAATGTTCTTTTGACCGCTTGGCTAACATGAGATCAAAGATTTATCTGATTTCATGCAATCTCGGTCTCTCCTGTTTGGAAAAATCACGAAATTTTCTGAACTGCATTCGGAATTGCCTCTATGGTCGTTCGTGTACCTCCGAAAATTGTGTGATCTATCCTAAAGGGAGAAGGGGGGCGTGGATTGAATGAATTCAGGTACAATATGCTTGTTCTCGTGTAAGGCATGCGGTGAGGAATACATTGCGCAAACGAGTAGACCTTTTTATGTCCGCATAAAAGAACACCTAGATGGGAAAGTTGAAATTCGTGAAAACACTCTTCCAGCTACACATAGGGCACGAAAGCATAGTGGCGATGGTTTTGGAGTGGCCAGATCGCAGCACGCGCAAGACTCTTGAGGTGTCTTGGATAAGTTTCGAAAGTCCAGGGTGGCATCTTATTTAAAAGTGGTTTTCTGACCTGGGTGGGTCTTGCTCCTCGTCAACGCACATGCAGTCCCACTCGTAACAGCACGGTGAATAGTTTTTGACCAATATGACTTTCATTTATTTATATGTTAAATCTTCGTTAGTACTGTAGTTTTTCCGCTGAATTATTAAGCTGTTTTTGTATAAAATTCGCCCAGGCTCTGAGGAAGGCGAAATCGTCCAAACGTCAGCCCTCGACTAACAACAAGAACAACAACGACAACTGTACCAAACTCGCATCAGGTCAACAAAGTTGGTTCATAGGTAGTGAAATAAAGTGACCCTGCCTCGGCATCACCAAGCATCTCTCCCCTTGGGGCTCCATAGATTGGTACCACACTTTTCGGTAAACAACTCATTCTCTGCAGTCACCGTGGGGACGCTCTATCCTGCTTGGCCCTGAACTCCAGGGAGAATCGTTTAGATGAATTGAATGCCGAAAGTTTTCCGATCTGTAGAGTAGATGTGAGGAAGGGCTGTTTAAAAAAAGCAGTTGTAGTGCATGCTTAGTTATAGGTTCCACACATGTACAATCTTCAACACCCTATTCACCTCACGTGCTGTTTTTGTTAAGAAATTTGGAAGTCGATTCCAGCTATGAATACAGTCAGCCTACGTATGTAAACAACATGTTAGCCCTTCGTTTTGGACGTCGTTAAGGTTATTTCATTTCTTTCGGAACATTTCTAATATTATTCTGATCCACCTGTCTTCTTTTCTTAATATGTGTTTCCGATCCATCGTTGTTTGTTCCTAAAGACGCAGTCTGCTGAATCTCTGAAATGGGTGTTAATGAAAGACCGAAAATTAATTACGAGGACCTACTTAGTATTGAACATACCGGTTCATTTTTCGAAGACGTGGTTAGAGTGACATGTGAAGTGCGCAACCTTTCCGATGTAATGGAACCATCAGTTCAAGATTCTTCTCCATAGCACGATAGCTAAGGGCCGTACTCTTAACGCTTGGTTGACTCATCTGGTGATCCATCCAGAATGAAAAGTTCCTCAACAGGCTGTGGTATTCACTAACCGAGCTCTCTTATGTTTATCACTTGGTCCTATATTGCTCCAGAAGAACCCGTTTTGTAAATGTAGGTACGCTGTGGTAGCATGGTATACACGAAGAAAGATGGCTGAGCACCAATGAACATGGTCAAACAAAAGGCGTCATTGGTCAGAACGGCGACAGTGCACTTCACGATATGTTACGGAGAGCGCTTCCAAGTCTATACATGGAAAACTGAATGTCTACATAAACCAAGACCATGATATAAAATTCGATGTGGTTTTTGAAAAACGGCAGGATTGATCATTCAAGGATGAAATCGGGAAGGATCCTGAGCTCAGTGTTAGTAGCGTTCTCTTCCTCGTGTTCCTATGTAGTGCCAACCATCAGAGCTATCAACGGTGCAATAAATTGCAACTTGCGAATTTCGAAAATTGATAGCTAAGCATTGTTCATTAACTTTGCTATGGTAAACTTCAGTGCAAGGGCATGGATGGCACAGGAATATGATTGCAAAATCCTGAAGTTCGAAATCAAGCAGCGCAGTAGGAGAACAGTTGTGAATTGCTCGAAATATTTTTCATTTATTTACTTCTGTCAATGTGTAGCTGAACTTTTTTGAGCAAAATTCGTGTAACATCTTCATGGAGAATCACGAACATAGGAAAATTTATTTTTTCAGTGGGTTCTTATGCGCTTTCATTTCTTATATTGCACTCGTTTACGGAACTCATCGATGGTCGTCGGTAATGCGCATCATGTGATTCTACCGACTTGTTATGTACGTTCCTCATGTCGCTTATTTCTATTACAACTGCGGAATATCTGAAGGTAGTGGTTTCTTGGTACGGGCATTGGACTCATATTTGTTCTTCATGAACACCGTTATCTCTAAGTTTAATTAAAATGACATATGTCCATCTATGTCAACGTCGGAAACTTGCGCAGTAAGTTGACTGCTGCGTAATATTACAGTAACGATGTCAGTGTGTGCTGTTCCCAACCGTTGGCTTTTATTCTCATGCTATCCCTTTTGAACTTATGCGTGATGTTCTTGATAGGAGCTGAACAATTCTGGCTACATAGTGCACCATGTCTTCATTTCGATGATGAATTTACACGTGAACAACGGTGTAGTTTCTTCAAAAAGCTTTCGTGAGCGCTTTTGTCTCATCTGAGTCGGACGTTTTTTGTAAATCGCTAATAGTAAGATAGAGCGGAATAATGTGATGCAGCAATACTTTGTTGGATGTATTTTGTCCCGTAGTCCTTGCAATTATCTTTTTGGGTGATCGAACGTGGTAAAACTACTACCAACTAAACTAGGACCTTACTCATTTGTACATTGTACAAGTCATACTAAGAGTAAAGAAACGCAGAAGAGTGAATGGGCAGATGAAGTGACAATTGAGAAATAGTGTCTTACAAGTTCTCTTTCATTTACAACTATATGGTAGTATCGCTTTTCCATTGTCTGGGTACGTTGAGTATCCTTCGTTGGGCATTTCTACATGTAGTGTGAAGCATGCATTTAGGCCAACACCTACGGTTCAAGATGATGTAAAAGTTGCCTGGAGAGCAACGAATTGAAGTGCAGAATTTCCACATGCATTCTTTCTGGACCCATAATATCCTGGAACGTTTTGGTTTTTGATAGGTGGACTAATAATGGATTAAACAGCTTGATGAGTATTGGATTTAGAAAGATTGTTACTTTATGTCTTATTTTCCTTATGTAGCTGATAATGGTTATGGGCTTAAGTGATAATCAACATAGTGAGCAAAACCATTTGTCGATTGTAGCTTATGTCTTCCAAGCCGTTTTTTAAAGTTGTAGACTTCGGTTGAGTAAACTGAACCTTAACGGATACTGGACGCATTTTTGTCTCACTCCTATATTTTGATATATTCATATAAGACTCTTGTAAAATAATCCACAATAAACACAGTGAAGTAATTTTATTTAAGTGATATCGTGGTATTCACGCCGAAACAACTTCAAAACAAGTTTGATCCCAAAGAATTCAAATATGATGGGAATTATGATACGGACAAAATCAAGAAGTTTCTCGTTCATGAAACTGTTGGAATGGCTGGAATTCGCACCCAAAGCAATCTGTTCCAGTTTGAGCAAAGACCTCTTGTAATTGTTTATTACAATGTAGACTACCTGAAAGATCCGAAAGGTATGTGAAGCATTCTGGATTTAGATTCCACTGAAGTTCTCTGTTGCTAAATTTTGATTGTTCTTTCGAGTTTTCAGGTTCTAATTATTGGCGCAATCGTGTTTTGAAGGTAGCTCAGGATTACAAGCGTAAGGTTCATTTTGCTGTATCAAACAAGGAGGAATTCTCATCTGAAGTTGATCAGAATGGACTTGCTATGCGTAAAGATTCTGACAAACCTATCGTTGCCGCTTTAACAGATGAGGGCAAATTCCCAATGGATGACGAGTTCAGGTTGGCAGTGTAAAGTTTATGAAACGAAGTCTCTGAATTGAGATCTATTTTTTTCAGCGTAGAAAATCTTAAAGCATTTGTTGAAAACTTACTTGCTCGCAAGCTGGAGCCGTACATGAAGTCGGAGCCAATTCCCGACAACACTGGAGTCCTTAAGGTCGTTTTGCCTACGTCAGATATAGATGTGAAGTTAAATTTATCAAAGACATGTTACTCGTTGCAGGTTGCAGTGGCGAAAAATTTCAAGGAATTAGTGATGAACTCCAAGCAGGATGCGCTCATAGAATTCTATGCTCCATGGTGTGGGCACTGCAAGGCGTTGGCCCCGAAGTACGAGGAACTTGCAGAGAAGGTACGATTTTGTAATCCATTTTATTAACGAATTGCTTATGCATTTTGAAAACATCATCCTCAGCTGGCAGACGAAGATGTCCTCATCGTAAAGATGGATGCTACGGCCAACGATGTACCACCTCTATTCGAAGTCAGAGGGTAGGTGTAGAATTAGTTAGTGGTTTTTATTTGACAGAGCTGTGTTTGTAGCAAGTGTCTTTGTTGCAGATTTCCTACAATATATTGGTTACCGAAAGGGAATAAGGAGTCTCCACTCCCCTACAATGGTGGTCGCGAAGTGGATGATTTCATTTCCTTCATCGCTAAGCATTCAACCGATGGCCTCAAGGGATATTCACGTGATGGAAAGAAGAAAAAGACAGAGTTGTAGGCTTGTAAGCTCTCAGTACTGATTAAGCTTTCCCAACATCTTGGCGTGGATTCTGGAACATACTCATGTGATTAAGTAGCAGTTTTGTGATTTCTATTTTTGTTATTTATTTATTTAAAGGTTGGTTCTACGGTTGTTTGTTGTTGTATAGGCTGAGGATGTGCCTTGCTTATGGTTCCACACTGTTTTTATGCAGTAATTCTTTGTCAGATTTAATAAATGGTTGTTTATACTTGTCCAGAAGCAGTTTTACACGTTCCTTTACAGACAAGAGGGGTGTCTATTCATTTTCCTTCCAGTTAATGGTGGGAAATTTGCTATTTGAAATGGCGGGTGTTGGTCTCATTTGGACGCCAGTATTCTGCGTGCGGTTGCGTCGCGGCATTTTATGTTTAGTTAGGTCGTAGAGATTTTACTTGTATGGGTCATCGTCAGTTACGTCTAGAGGCTATCTTCTACATGAGGGGCAAGCAAGGTGTCCCCTTTCTTCACTGAGCTGACCACTTCTCTCTGATCAATGCACAGCTTCCTGGTTAACATCTCATATACCTGATAAGCTGACGATCTTTAGCACCAGATTGTGTGCGCCGGATTGTACACAGGGCGCTATGGCGCCGGTGTAGCTGTTGTTGTTATAAACTTTCCTACTATAGGGAGCTATGACGGGATGGATTTTAAGGATTTTACTTGGAAATACATATTAGTTGTATACGTGTGATGTTACGTTGGTACGTCACTGTCCAAACGTACCGCTATGTCTCATTGCTGTTATCAGGCCACGTATGCCGGAGTATGGGTGTGAGGTTGCGTGTCCCTTCGAACATTAAAACAAATTGTGGTCATCTTTATCCTAGTTTTCGACGTGGTCCGTGTTGATAATGTTATGAAATACGTGTATTTTTAAGTACACCTTTGTGAAGTTTGACAAACTGTGAAACGGCATAGATCATACTGATATGTGGCAAGACGAATCAGAAGATTCGTCTTCACGTGGAAGTGAAGAGGAAGTCAAACAGACTAGTAACGATGGGACAGTAGCCGATTCTAAACTAGAGGTGAAGGACGGCTCCAGCACCGCCGAGCACGATTCGGACTACGAAAACCCTGAAGAACAAGGTATTCACGCTACGCTTTTAACCTCGGTACTGCTATCTGACAAGCATTCCGTAGGTATCTAGTTCCGTATGAATACTAACAATGAGTTTTTAGTTACTGTGAAGTCATTTTTAACGTTGTAAACGGTCGAAGCAGAGCGTACATATGTTTTCCATATCGCATTTGGCTTTTATTCCTGCTTAATAACAAATAGAACCCTCAAAGAAGATCTTATAAACTGAATTGTAGAGATGAAATCTATTGAATCTGTGGTGGCACCCTCCGAAGCAGTATTTTTAAGGTAGAGCTGCGAGCACGCACGATTGGGGACATGCCGGCCTACGCCCGTCCGTTTGCCAAACCCGCCGTTCTTCCCTTCTCCCTATCGATCTATTTATAGCAGACTCTTGTATGGTAAATGGGAAACTGATTTGTTCACCGTGTGGCCCCTGAACGTGATTTTACACGTCATATCTGGGTTCACTGTTCGAAAGGATTCATTCGGGGATCGCTTAAGTGGCGCTTCATCTCGAAGTTATTATCACTGTTTATCGCAAATCCTGTGCTGAATTACTTGATGGAAACTCTTTAGAGCACTTCTTTGAAGCTTATTGCTATCGATATCCTTCAGAAAAGTTCCTGGAAATTACTGAGAACGATATCGAACTGAGGCCTTATCAGTTTTTGAAACCCATTTATAACAATTTTCAGCCACCGTGCTAAAGTGCTTCTAGTTTGCTAAAACTCACCATAAGTGGTAATCGACGTAGCTCTTGCTTTTGCAGTGTTATTGGCCTAAGCTTGTGGTTCTTTCTTGTGTTTGCGCCGTTTCTTAGCTCATAATAAATAGTGCTTAGTGGTCTTTTTGTGAAGCGTAGAAATAACTAAAGGATAAAGGTTTTGGCGTTGAGCAATCCCTGAAAAATGCACCATGCATTCGGCTTCATTAAGCATCGCTGGAGCTGATTGAATGCATATGTGGTCTTATCGAGCCAGTGTTGCCATTCTCCCAGTCAAGTTTGGTACTAATTTGCCGGCCCTGGAGGGATGGAAGGCTTGTGAGCCATGGGCACGAGGATCAATCCAACGTGTGTGCTGCAGGGCACCTGTGACTACTGCGCTACATTCAAAAAGAAACCAGTTATGGAAAGTGGTTGTAGGTGAGACCGTGTATGGTGTAAATATTGAGGTGCAAATAAGATTTCTTCGTAAACATTATGTAGTAGGTCAAAATTTTGCTTTTCAAGCTTTGTAGAGGTGTACAGCTCTGTGTGGTTGATTTCCATCTTGATTGCATGTTTTGCTTTACCTGTTTTGATCTTAGATAAAGTGGAGGATGCAGAGGATAGCGACGACCATGTGGGAGAAACCAGTTTTTCTTCAACGTCTTCAATTTCTGATGCTCCCAGGCGTCGGCCGAAAGGTCGACTTGATGATAAGACGCGAAAAGTAGGCTTTAAACGATATCTAGTGGTATTTTTTAGTTAATAGGGACATATTTTTCAGTTACTGGAAGATAGCAATTACTTGCGACGATCATGTCGTGGAAAACAGGCGGGGTGTAACGTGAAGAACGATAGTACATCCGAGGTTCGTTCGATTGTTTTCGTCACAATTTTCTTTTCCAGAAGGATTGTTTTTTTTTGTTTTTTTGCTTGCTATTATTTAATTCTGTGTGAATTTGTGAATGCTTTCATATCATATGGTGGTTGTAGGGGAGTATAGCACGCGTACAGCTCAGTCGTTTTGAAATAGCGCTACTGCGGTAGTTTTAAAACCTTGGTGTCAGGGATGGTTAAGGACATTTAATTAGATATTTTCGCTTCGGTCAAATTTACCTTCTGAGTTCGCAAAGATTACAAGTTAAATAATATTCACTTATATACGCCCACATACCTAGTCACATGTGACCCAGGAACAGGAGCTGGGACACGTATTGTTTAGTGTGGTATAGGTTGATCACAAGAACTCACTATTTGTCTGTCTCTGGAACTGGCGGGAGACGATCCAGGCACTAAGCTGGAGTCATTTGATGTTTGCTTTAACCACTTCGAATTATCCTCCCGACGGTTTACCGCCTCAGCGTGGCTGGGAGGTTCTTGGGTGTCGGGCTGCGGTGTACGGCGGGGTATTCATCCCACTGGCAGGGTCTCCCAAGCTGAGGAGTCTAGCGTTTCCATCAGGAAGCCTAGTTAACAGTAAATCAATACCAGGATCCACCATCGTCCTGGTATTAAAGTCGCATGATGGCAAATCCTCCTCTGATCCACAAGAGCTGCGACTGCCTGTAGTGGTGAAGACCTGGGCCGGACTTTGGCCAGGTTGAGAGACCACAATGGGTTAGTCAGCAAATCTCCGAGAAATGGAGGTTATGCTGCTGCCCGCACAAAGAGCGAGGACGGACCATTCAGTTATCAAGTATCAGGTAAGTATTGTGAATTATGTAATATAAAACGCTAAGTTGGAATGATTTGGACGTTTTTAGACTTACTGACACTAAATGATTTTAAGGAAAGCGGAAGCCTCAGCGATACATCCTCGGATAGTGAAAGCTGCAAACGAAATGGGCGGAGAGCAGTAACCTTGCAGAAAAGGTCGAAAAAGGAATTAATTACTCGTGGGCGCGTGCTCAAATCGTCTCGATCCGCAGTGGACTATACGGAGAAACCATCGGATGAGGACGTATGTTCTACACATACTTGAGCTAAGTTTTATTCTAAACCGCCTCCTTGCCTACTTATTCGTTCAGATCGACGAGAATGATGTTCTCGAGTGGGAGGAGGACCGGAAGTCTCCATCTCTTGCGGTTAATACGGAGACTATTGAACGTGTGCGTATCTTTTTTTTATTTAATATGATCTGTTTTCCTGCTTAGTGTTCTAGTCATAACTCTCGTAGCTAAAGCTGTGTATCATAGGAAAATATGTACCCGCTTACCTTACTTACTTCGAAGTATGATTAGGTGAAATATTGTAGTTGTAGTTGGTGAATTAAGGCTAGCATTGCTATTTTTGCGATGGATATTAGCTTATTCATTGATAAGGATTGCAATTTTAATCCATATCTCCTTAAATATGACTGAGTATTTGTTTTGAAATGCTGTCAAATTTCTATATTAGAAGTACTATTATTGAGACATGCTAATATATTTAGAAATTGTCTTTGGCATTTCCGAATATCGCATTTGCGGGCGAAAAAAATGAAATAGTTAAGTCAAAAATCCGGGACGTTCCCATCCTACTACTTTCTAAAAGTCTTGGGAACACCGTAAGGATAAGGATTTGGTTGGAGGCGATTTTACGAGGTTTCGTTTTGAGGCACGAGCAGTTTGTGCTGCGTCCATTCTACCATCATTTATTAAGGGTGTTCCTAAATTTTTTACCTAATTAATTGTATTTATGGGATAGAGGGCTTGATTTCGAAGCTTATATGTACTGTATTGAAAGAAAAGACTATAGTTCAGGGATCGCCATACTAGCAATAAAAAGTTGAGTACAAAATTACTTCAGGTAATCAAGTCAAGAATGGGTGCACAGGGAGCTACTGGCTCTGCCACAACGTGTTATAATGTGGCAGAGAAAGGCGACCCTAACGATCCATCTGCTGTCGTACTGGAGCAGCAGTTTCTTATTAAGTATGTTTCAATTAAAGGTTTCTTTTAAACTGAAGCAACTATCTACGTTTGAAGATTCAGTGTACTTTTAGAGGGATAACTTCACAAAGGAGCCGTTTTTTAAAAAATGTTTTATGTCTGCAGTGAAGAGGATTAAGCAGTTGTTTTTTCTTTTTTTTTTTTTACTTTGGTTTAGTTTTTGATAAGATCTGATCCGTTATATGAGTTTAGAGAAAATTCTTTAGTAGGTTTGTGTATGTTCAGTAAGCAGACACGAAATTATCAGTACACTATTTATTCCACAATAGCCAACCTTTCAGCAGATTTTACCTTCTTTAGAGGAATGGATCATGTTTTAATAAGCTATCTATTTATCCAAGTACTTTCATGCCCTTAACGAGAAAAAGAACCGAAAATTAGGTTTTAATGGAGGAGAAACGGTTATCACAAAATAATCACAGATTTTTGTCTATCTTCCACTTAGTAAAAGGAGACTAACCCCACAAAGTGCGCATGGGACTAGGAATGTGTTTGTCTCAGATCTCAGATCAAAAAATCAGCTGGGTAAGGTTGCGTGGAAAACATTCTTCTCTGTATTTCACATCTGCATTTTTGGAAATGTTTACTCTGCGATTCTAAATATTGAGTTTTTTCGATAAAGTTACGAAAGTACTTGGCAGTGTATCTGAGTGGATTGAGTGTTAATATGATCCTTTCTGGGCTTTGAAGAAGAAATCCGGTGAAACTGGTTACCTCTTATTTGTTTATCAAGTACCAATCTTATTAGTAAATTCGTAGGTTAATGTCGTTACTTTAAGAATGTTTAGTTAATTTTCTTAGTTCCTTTAGGTGGGTCGGTTGGAGCCACCTGCACAATACTTGGGAATCGGAAGCTTCGCTCATAGCAATGAATGCCAACGGAGTTAAGAAGATACAAAACTTTTTAAAGAAGCAAAAGGAAATGGAAGAATGGTGAATATACGTTTTGGCCAGTGTTTTACACACTTTTCTCTTAGGTACAAATTTCAGGAAGCAAACTGTAGACAAGGAGTATATTGAGTTTTATGAATGCGAGCAAGTGATGAATGAAGAGCTTTATGAAGAATACAAAAAGGTTGAGCGAATAGTTGCTCATCAAGTTAGTGAAACATGTTCGGTTTTACAAACAATTTTGTAACATTTGGTTCATTGGTTCACTTGATTGCCTAGGTGTCTCGTGATCGACATGCTGACGGAACAGAGCCAACTGAATATTACGTGAAGTGGTGTGGGCTATCATACTCTGATTGCACTTGGGAAGACTCTCGTCTTCTACCAGCCGAGATGGTCCAAGCATATCACCGTCGTATTGAAAACTATCGTGCTCCGAGTAGGAATGCTTCGGTAGGAAGTTCTTTAGGGCATATAGGAAAAAAACTTGCTGCTGTAAGAAAATGAAAACAATTTCTTGCTGTTGTTGAGCTAACAAGTAATCTTTGAAGGTTCTACGTAAGAGACCGAAATTCGTGAAAATTGAGGACATGCCATCATTCTTACAATTTGATGCTAAAAATCAGACCTTGCGCGACTATCAACTCGAGGGCTTAAATTGGATGCTCCATGCGTGGTGCAAGCATAACTCCTGGTATGTACTTCTTTTTTTCCAATCTGATCAGTTTGATAGTCCGCTAAGATGGTGTTATTCATATATTCGCGACTGTATACGTTGATTTCGATATACGATGCATACTGATTTTTGAGTCTGATTGAAGTAAGCATTAATCTCATTTGGGTCCTTCCCCTACTGTTTGTTTTGCAACATTTTTTATACTATACTTCTTGTACCTCATCAATAACCTTCCCAAAAAAAAACGTTATGCTAGGCATCGTATGAGAACAGCTTCGTTCTACACATCATAATTCATAAAAAGGTAATCACTGACTTTCGGACGAGTTTGTTGGAATCATTGAGTTACACAGTGAGTTATGTTGGTGTGAGGGTGGGGACTAATATGTCCATGCTGTGCTTATTCGTGGGAATTGACTACCTAAGAACACATCACCGTGGTTTCATGTCGTTGAGAAAACGGGTATATTGTCTTTTTGTTTTATTATATAAAAGTTCTAATCGTTCATGAATCTTCATCCTTGAACACATTATAAGTGTTCGTTTCTTGTTCCAATAAATTCAGTCTTTTTATCTCTTCAGTGGTATTTTAAAGGTTCTACCAAAAAAAGTCTTTCATACCTGGAGTTTTTCCAGTGTGCACTGTTTGCGCTCATTTTGCAATATTTGCGGTCTAAAAGCTCTAATGTATACAGTTTTTAAATACAACTTGTTTTTTTTTACTGTCCACAGTTTTTAAAATTCAAACATTTTTTGGTTCTTCGTGGGAATAATCTAAGCGTGAAATGTCTGTTGCATTAGGAAACGTATAGAGCTGGTTTAGTTGACATGATTAGCATGACATTTCCAGTGTTAATTCTTTATTTCACTTGCGGCTTTTCTCATATATTCACTTTCCACTTTAACACTGAGATATCTGCAAAAGTTGGGCCCTAGAAAAGATTCGAACCCGCGAGTACCATTTCGGGGAACTCACATGTTACCCACTCCACCGCTGATGCCCCTGTTTTGCTTTTCCCTCACCCAGTTTTCTACCTAACGGTGCCACCAGCATTCACCCATAAAGGGTAATAGCAGATTCGAATCTGGTCTGGGGTCCAGGTTTTGAAAATGTTTCGAAATCATAATGATTGTATTTCACATCATAGCCTCCCGTGGAAAACACTGCACAGTAAATAAAGAGTACACATTATGATTTCGACTAAAACCTCAGCTTAACGAGGTTTAATACCGACCTGTGCTCTCAGATCATTTCCTTTGACGGTTAATTACTGATGACACCGTTAGGTGGAAAACTGGCTGCGAGGAAGGCAAGGCAGAGACCTCAGTGGTGCAGTGGGTAACATGTGAGCCCACGGAAACGGTGGTCGCGTGTCCGAATCTGGCCTGTGGTGCAGGTTTTGCAGATATCTCAGCATCGTAGTGATTATATTTCACATCATACCGTGCAGCAATAATAATAATAACAATAATAATAGGCAGTAAATAGAAAGTAAGCAGATTTTTCCAGTTTCTGTCTTTTCATTTTCTGGTAGATAACCTTTTTGGGAACCCTTTCTATTTTTCGGCCAATTGGGTCTTCATCGTGAATAAGCAATTAGACAACGAGAAACTTGTGTAAATATCAACTCCCAGTGTACAAATGACTTGGTTTATCCAGTAATTTTTCCTTATGGTTTAGTACCAGCGATTCGGCCACAGTTCTAGTTCTGGAGTGGGCCACACCTGAATACATCATAGTTCTACATGTTTACGCAACTTTTGGGCTCAATTTAAGTAACCTGATGACATCCTTGTGCTTCTTGTGTAGAATATATTGGTGGGATGCCGCTTTATTCTAACGGTACGATTAAAGAGTACACAAATTTTTGGCTGACCTATTTCTGTAACTTCCCTCTTAAAAGGACGTCTTCTAAAAACTTAACAGGAGCACCAATAATAACTTAATTTCACCGTAGAAGTTTAGCAACTCCCATCTGAAAGCATCGATCAGTGAGTCTTTCTATGTTTTCAACAGTTGTGACTCTCCACTACTTGCCTCTTTCTTTTCCGTATCTCTTCATTTCTTCCAAAACCGAATGTCTTCCATAAATAATTGGTGTAGATATATCGATTTCGCTTATTTTAGTAAAAACAGTTGGTGCACTTAAAAATAACTGCCATCAAAAATACATTGCTCATAGGCATGAATCGTTTGTTCGAGTATTGTTTGAGCATTCACTCGCTAGCATAAATCATTATCACGTTCATCTTCATCCTTCGATCCATCTCCTTCGGGCTTGATGGGAAGCGTAGAAGATTCTCATCGTCCTCAGTATCTTCAGCTTCTTCCTTATTATTTTCGCTGTATTAGCGAACAAAACTAGGTTGTCTTCTAGTAAATAGATCGTTTTTCTATAGGCTATGGAATGGATGGATGTTAGAAGCATTGAAAAAACAGCCAAATATGCTCTAGAAAACCTTACAAAGGATGGCTACACAGTGTCCGAATAGTGGAGTATTTCTTTACAGCAAAGAGCTAGTGGTGTTTCAGAAAGTATGGAAGCATCTATGTCTCTTCCGAGCATGGAGTACATGTTAATTATAAAAAAAATGTGAGACATTAACACTCTCCCGACGAGTGACACCTGTAAATGTTGTAGTGGTTTAGCGGAAGTGGTCGGTAAGACACCTGAAGGTCTCATTTTCTTTTTGATGCTTTATTTTAGCACATAGAACTGTTTCCTTGCACTTTTCGTTATCATTTCATAGCTTGTAGAACCAGATATTCTGTTGAGCGTTGGTGGGGAAATGTTCTATTCTGTACTTGGAAATATACAAAATCCGTTTTCAAAACGAGTTCAGTAACCAGGAATTTGGGTGCTAATTGGCTACTATTTCTATAATAATTGCTGTACTGAATGAAGGTTATCGTATAGAATGTGCGGATACGAAATATGCATAAATAGGGATCCATGAGTTGCAAATCACTTCCAAATGATGACAGTAATGTGTTTGTGTGATGGACCATAGTAAATTTTAGGAAAAAACGTATCATTCATACCCACGGAACGATAGAGCAAAGTCTTTTCTACAATCTATTCGTGTTCGTTGAAAATTAGGCGTCGTCCAGTCCGGAACAAACGTCAAAATAGGCGTTGTCGCGTGAATGTTAAAGGGGTGCGCTTATTTTTGAAGGATAACAAATGTGCAATGAGTTCAACTCATATAACCCGTGAAGAAAAAATAAGCATAACGTTTGCTGCAAACAGTAATTGGTTTCACGTTGTCGCTAGTGTGTTAATATTATCTACATGGTACGTTTAGTTTATTACTATAACGTCTTTACAGCATTCTCGCGGATGAAATGGGATTGGGTAAAACGATCCAGGCAATCGCGTTCTTGGCCACTCTGTACCACAAATATGAACTCTACGGACCGTTCTTAGTTGTTGTTCCATTGTCTACAATGGCAGCATGGCAGAAGGAATTTTTACAGTGGGCACCAGACATGAATCTGATCACCTATATGGGTGATGTGAACTCACGTGAGCAGGTGTGATAATCTTTTTTTAAATAAGGCTGCTAAGAAGTTGGTTAAGTTGAAAAAATTTGTCTAACCAATAATACTGAATATTGACATCTTAAGATCCGTCAGTTCGAATGGTATATAGCGGGAACAAGGAAAATCAAAGTGAACACTGTCCTTACCACATATGAGATTCTTCTTAAAGATAAAGTGAGTCTTTGTAGTTTAAATACAGTTATGAGCATATGGCATTCATAGTATTATGCAATGTCACTGCTTAACTTGCACATTTTACAGCCTTTCTTGGGAGGTTTTCAATGGGCTGCTTTGATTGTGGATGAGGCACATCGGTTGAAAAATGACGAGTCTCTATTGTACAGCTGCCTTTCTTCATTTAATTGTGATCACCGGCTTCTTATCACTGGAACACCGTTGCAGAATTCACTGAAGGAGCTATGGGCTTTGCTGCACTTCATAATGCCTGAAAAGTACTTGATTAGTATTTTTGGTGTCTTTTCGTTACCTATCGACATTGTCTCGAACTAAATGAGATGTTTTCCTGAGAGCTTCTCTCAAGTATAGTTTATTGTTCGCTTAGCTTGTATTTTGTTGTTTAGATTTTCAAGTTGGTTAGAGTTCGAAAGTGGTCACAATGATAAGGACCACAAAGGAATCTCTGCTCTTCATCGTAAGTTGGAACCGTTCCTTTTAAGGCGAGTGAAAAAGGACGTGGAGAAGAGTTTACCACCTAAAGTAAGTATGCATAACGTTCTGGTTCACCACAGGTTTTAAGTGCATGTCATCATTTTAATATTACGCTTTGGAATACTACTCGGAACTCACGAATTCCCAATTGTTCTCCGTTTTTTTTCTTGCTTATTTAAAAATTCGTAAGATTTTTTTAGTTGGAGCAGATATTGAGAGTGGACATGACTGCTCAGCAAAAACAGTATTACAAATGGATATTGACGAAGAACTATCACGAGTTGTCGAAGGGAGTAAAAGGTATGTATAAGACCGTTTTCAATTTTCTAACAGTGAAATTTTAAACGAGATGGAAAGGTGGAATTCCAGGTTCCATAAACGGTTTTGTAAATCTCGCTATGGAATTGAAGAAGTGTTGCAATCATACGTCACTTGTGCGACAATACGACCACTTAGAAATGGATCCCCAGGCACGACTACAGGTGTGTTTGAATGATTTTCAGCAGTTGCAGACTTCACATAGACCTATTTATTAAGGGTGGTTGGTGGGCGGGCACGACTCCAGATGTTCGCATTTTTGGGCAATTATTTGTAAAAGTGGAAATTTCAGCAACTTCTAAAATCATCTGGGAAGCTCATATTGCTGGACAAGTTGCTCTGCCGACTAAAAGACACTGGACATCGTGTTCTTATTTTTTCACAGATGGTGATGATGTTGGATATACTTCAAGAGTATTTGCAATTACGTCGATTTCCTGCTCAGGTATGCTCTAAGTTTTGGAACTTTCAATTCTGTTTGTGTATTTTTTAACCAATTTTTTGTATAACGTGAAAGGACTTATCATAGAACACTGGAGCTTATCTCAAAAGCAATGCGGTGATCGCACTGCTCTTGAAAGTTGTTGCTTACAGACGACTATTTCATGTATTATAAAACATGTTTATCACATTCGTGACGACATTTCCGCGTAGTTCCTCTACGTTTATACCCTTTAGTTTTCAATGACGTGGTGCGAGAAAAATTAGTTCCGGTGTTCTAAACTTTACAAACGAGTGACACGTCGTTTCCTACTAAAATGACTGTTACTAGTGAGCAAAGTACTAAAACACTACTACATTGGGTCACGGAGTGTCCGCCTATCGTTGTGCTCTTTCAAGATCTATATTTGGGAACGTTACAGTTTTTCAACTCCATCATTCTGTTGGAAATTTGCACATAAAAAGGATAAAAGGATAAAGTTCTCGGTGTTGGTTAATAACTGAGGAATACCCTGTGCATTCGACTCCGTCAAGCATCGTTAGAGGTGACTGAATGCACACCTGGGCTGAACTTTTTGTGGCCTACCTATGTACTGAGTCAGTACTGCTATCCTCCCAGAGAGGTCTGGTACCAGTTCGCCGATCCCAGAGGGATACAACGCTTGGTGAAATTAGGGCGCAAGATCGAACTCATGTGTATTGCAAAGCACCTCTAACCACTGAGCTACATGCGCCCAATAAATTATGTATATATGTGCATATATACATATGTATATGTGTACTCATACATATATATAATGTATGTATATATGTATATATATGCTTATATATATATATATGTTATAGTGGAAAATAGAACAAAAGGTGGGTGTTCATCCTTTTTTGTGGGTGAAGGACGCTGTTGATTTCGTAACGCTTCCAATATTTTATTGCTTGATACTTATTTAGATGATTCTTATACACATGATCTGCGGTTCACAAAGTTTCGTTCGTTGGTTTCATCTCGCCACCTTGATCGATAGTAGTCATACTGATATATGAGTTCGTTTGCATTTTTAGGACTTCGGGGATAGTTCCCGTTATGAAAATGCCTGGTTCACAGGTTTAACGAAACAAGTGGACTCAGGTTTCCATCGAGGTCTTATTCGTTTGGCTTCTACTCTAGTGATTCGTATTATCCAAGTTTGTATATCAAAAAACTTGATATGTTGAGTTCGAGCAACCGGTCGATTTAGTCGCAGAGTTCGCTGACGTCACAGGAATCCTCTCCGTCCTAAGGAAAAACTAATCGCAACACAGAACCACACCCTCACTTATGCTTACCTTGTGAATCTATGGGAAGTCTTGCTCGACTTGCATTCAGGATGTCAAAAAGGATGTATTACTAAATTTGAGAAGTAATAATTAGTCCAAAACACACCATGTAGACCGCTTGCGAATGTGTACATACTACGCCAGGTGAGCGTTGGACCGCATCTGTATATCATTGCCATTCAAAAAGCATAGAACAGGGAGCGTGCTAGTGGGCAAATCAGCAGTGGAGCAGTCGTTATCTTAAATAGGGGGAATTCAATCACTTTGTGTGTACCAATCCGTTACTCAACTTGCTGGTGTTCATTCTGTCATCCCTCTTTGGCTTCATTCGCCTTTTTTCTTAATAAAAGAAAATCGTACATTATCTGCTATTAACTAACATTGGCAACTGATGGTTCGGAACTTGACATGTTTTATGAAGATTCTCTTCCGTAAAAATAGGTGTTTCTACGAATTTACTACGGGAGATTTCAATGCAAGATTAAAAACCAAGTAAAAAAGAGAAACGAATTCAGATTTTTTACGTAATTTCATAAAAGCGGAAATTCGGAACGTTTTGCGAGGCTACCCTGTACCCCACAAAGCATCCTTCATTTCGTCTGTTCTATGGAAATTCTATCTTAAAAAAGACTGTCACCACTGGGTATGGGAGTCTCTAAACCTAGTGGCTAACGCGTGTGCCGGTTATATCTTTGCGAATAGGAGATGGATACTAATCCACGTCGGTGTACGCATTGTTCATGTTAACATTACTCTTTATAACAACGTTGAAAAAAAACCAGTGATTGGACGATTCCAAATCCGATTAATTCGGTAACCGGCATGACACTAAGATTCCGATAGAAGAATGCGAAGTACTAGTGAATTCTTTGAAACTGTGACGAGTAAGCTGTTTTCAATCTAAAAGCAAGCTCTGAGCGTTTACTAGACAAAGGTAAAGGCTTCTGGAAAAGGGGAAATACTTACGATAAGTTCCTGTTGTCACATATGTCGAAGGGATAATTATCAATGCTATCGCTAAGAGGTGCGCGTGTAGCGCATTACTTGGAGGGACACTGCAGTACGCGTGGGATTGACCTCACTCCCCATACTCACTAACCTTTTCATTCATCCGGGGTCGGTAAATTGGTGCCAAACGCGTCTGGGAGAATAGCAGCAATGGCTGGCTACATCGGTAGGCCACAGTGAGTCACTGTAAAGACCATATATGCATTCAGTTGCTTCTAACAATGCTTAATGAAGTGGAATGCATGGCGCATCCCTCAGGGATTGAGCAACGCCGAGACCTTTTTTTTATTTTATCGGCAAGAACGTAGTACAGTAGGGTCTTCGTCAGTGCCGACAGACGAGAATTCTAGAAGAGACAGGAAAGGAAGAAACATCAATAAACGTTGCTGAGATGTTCATATGTGCAACATTCCGCTCTCCATTCGGCTCGATGAGAATCAGCGGGCTCCAATATCTGACTATAAGATGGGATATGTCACTGCAAAATGTGGTTGTACGCAAATTTCTTTGCATCCACAGCTCTTGCGTCGAACCTTATCATGCTCACTAGAGGAATCTCACCAGCATTCCTTTTCGCAGAAGTTTGAGCTGTTATTAGATGATTGAAACTTTATACAGTTCTTGGACCCACTGATATTTCGGGTGATCGATCGTCTATAAGCTGGTTTCCACCACCAACACACTTTGCAAAACGCATAAGCTTTATCTACAGTTAAAAAAGGTATTCAACAGGTGGATTTCACACCCCACCACACTTTGACGCAAAAACAGTGATAGTGTTGACCTATTTAACTATCATCGTATCGTTTTATTGAATGTTCTACACAAGCTTCTTCTACTTGCATTTCATTTCTGGCGTAAGAAAGTCGTCTAACTTCTTAATTAGAAGATTATGCAAAGGGATGAACCCTTCCTTTACGTCGGAATTTGCTGCCCAATAACACCCACGACAACGATGCTGCGGTAAACCAATGGAGGGATTGTCGTTACAATACAATTATAATTGCTGAATTTGAATGAATAGAAGTTTCCAGCGTCTGGACGGTTCAATGCGGGCTGATTTGCGTAAACAAGCACTGGATCATTACAATGCTGAAGGATCTACTGATTTCGCTTTCCTTTTGTCTACGAGGGCGGGTGGTTTGGGTATCAACCTTGCAACTGCTGATACGGTTCGACACTCTTGTATCCTTCTAATTTTGAATAAACATTCAACACCATATCCATTGAAGAACTTCTATTTATTTCCTTTGTTCAGGTCATTATCTTTGACTCTGACTGGAATCCCCAAAATGATTTACAAGCAATGAGCAGAGCCCATCGTATTGGACAAACTCGACAGGTAACAGTTTTATTACGATAATAACGACTTTTAGAATGGTGTTTTGGAATCCAACTATGATATCGCGTTATGCACGAACCTTGTTTAACTTCTGGGCATGATTTATAAATTTGGTGAGCATTTTAAAACAATGTGCTTTTAGTAATTTTTAGGTGAATATTTACCGTCTGGTGACTAGGAACTCAATGGAGGAAGAGATTGTTGAGCGAGCCAAGCGTAAGCTTGTACTTGATCATCTCGTCATTCAGCGGATGGACACAACCGGACGAACTGTTCGTTAAGATCCATGTAAATAATATATGTAATCAAATTGTCCCGTAACTTCAGGTACTTTCGAAGTCCTCTGTAGCAGGAGCAAGAGCTGTTCCTTTTGATAAAAAGGAGTTGAATGATATCTTGAAATTCGGCGCTGCGGATTTGTTCAGAGAGGGTGATGGAGAAGAGCAGGAACCAGAAGTCGATATAGATCGCATTTTGAGTGGAGCGGAAACGAGGGACGCCGACGATTCCCAGGTGAGAATCCGCGAAATGAGCGCCCTTTATTCAAACTATGAAGTTCACGACATCAGTATGTGCTTCACATAATAAATGACCCGAATGTTTGAAGATTCGTACTATTCTGAATGTGAAGATCTAAAACAATGATATATTTTAGGTCGCCTAGTATATTGATATTGAAAGCAGTGAATGGGCTTTTTTCCTACACGCTTTTTTCAGGAAGGTGGCAATGAATTACTGAATTCCTTCAAATATGCGAATTTCTCAATTAATGAAGAGCAAGACGTTGCTGCGGCCGCACAGCATTCAATGACAGCATCAAGGAACGCAGAGAACGAAGCGGGTTGGGACGAAATCATTCCTGAGGTAGAGCGTCAAAAAATAAAGGAAGAAGAGCGCCGCAAGGTAGGTCTCTCTTTTAAAAGAACTTAGGATCCTCATTTTTTGCGTATATTTATCCCGGAAAATGTTTTGAGCTTGCTGCTGATCTCGAATTGGCTCCGCGACAACGTGTTAGGTTGGAAATAGAAGAGGCAATTGCCGAAGACGATTCTGCCTCTGATGGCGATGCAGAAAGCACTGGACGCAAGAAAAGAAAAAAAGCTTTTGGCGAGTTCTCAGCTGCAGAAGTCAAACGATTCGTGCGTTCTTTCAAGAAGTTTGCTAGGCCGTTGCAAAGGTTAGTTTTTGTGTTGAATATTATCTATTAGCGTGTTTGTTCAGTCTCTAAGACTACGTTCAGTCTCTAAGACTCAGCTCCAAATACACTTAGATTCTCAACATTTACGATTCATGTGCTATAGCCGATCATGTGTTGATATGTAGAATTTGTTTCCTTCTATTGATAAAATTCTTAATGCAGTTCCCAGTATCGACTTTCTGTTAACATCGGAATTGGATTATAAGTGCGTTGTTTTCTTTCTCAGCATTCGCGAGGTTGTTATTCAGCATATGTTTACTTCCGTACAATAACACACATAAAAGACAATCGTGGCTGACGTTTCGGCAGAATCACCTTCAGAGCCGGTTTTACGTGCCTTCCACTAAAGAAGGCGATACTGCCGAAACGTGAGCTACGTTTGTTTTATGTGTGTTATTGTATGGAAGCTAGCTTATGCTATATAACAACCTCGCGATTTCTAAGAAAGGAAACAACGCATTTCTTAATACATCTGCTCCATTTCTTCATAGTAGTTCATTGTTGTAATTCTTTTCAAATGGGCGATTTACAAAAAAGTCGGCATTATCGTTCTTTGAGGCAAACCTGGGTTCAGAACATGTTTTCTTCACTTTTTTTCCTTGAAAACGTGCGGGACCTAATCAGCGATTTTTTTTTCGATGTTACGACTTGGTTGTGTCTGTAAACTAGTTTTTACTTATTACTTTCGCTGTAGAGCTCAAACGTTATAGCACGTCATCGGACGCTGGACTTGCATCTGCTTCAATTCTCTGCAATTCATATGGTCATTTTCGCTGTACTAATGAGTCGTGCTTGATAATCCTCATGTCCTAGACTATCATCTTCCACGTGAAGCATGTAATCTGTATCATGAAGTCCTTAAAGTCCACTTCACATTTTATATTGCAAATCATTTTTGGACTTGCTGCCTAGGCCATCATCGGTGAAAAATATCGTTATTTTTGTTTTTATTTTATTGGTCGTAGTTAATTCCGAATTAAAACAAAAACAATGCCAGTGCGAATTCTACGCTTGAGAATTTCTTGCAATGTAGGCATGTAAGGTGGAAAACTTTATTGAAAGAAAAAGTCAAAGTTTGGGAAAACAGCACTGAAATGGCTGTTTGCTGGTATCGTAGACTATAAGGGCCATTGAATTAGAAACTGTCTACATGTACATTCAGGCTAGAAGCACTTGCACAGGATGCCGAACTTGAAGAGCACAGTGCAGAGGAGCTTCGAAAACTTGCAGAAGCTTTGCTAGAAGGTTGCGAAAAGGCTGAAAAAGAACATTGCCTGAGAAAACACGAAGTGGCGGTTTGTGTCTGTCAATCAGTTTTATTTTATGAACTAAAAATTTTATTCTATAGGTAGTGATTTAGGTCGAAGGCGATAAGATCGTAAAAGATCGCGGGCCATCTTTTAAGTTCTCTGGCGTAATCGATGTAAATGTTCGTTCGATCCGAAAACTGCACAGTGAGCTTGAACCACTGCATCGTGCCCTTTCAGATGGGGGCACTATCGATTTCAAGCCTCCTGCGAAAGCGCGACCCCAGAAGGTACAGTTTTATTTCTGGCAAACAATACATAGAGTTGATGGATTTGTTGTGACACAGCGTTGTTCCTTTTAACATTTAGTGATCACTCAAAATTCTTCGGTAAAGCAATTTCTAATGTGAAGGACTTTTGTTCTCGTAGGGTGTCGTTAAATTTCCACAGTTCATTTACAGGGTTGGGATATTGAATGGACATTAGTGGACGATTCTGCTCTGTTACGTGGAGTTTTCAAATACGGTATTGGAAGCTGGGAAGCGATCAAGATGGACCCTGTGCTGGGACTTGCAGATAAAATCTTCATCAAGGATAAGGTACATACATGCCCTTTTCTTAGGTGTTTTTATATGGGTTCGGTTATTTATACATTATTTCTTCCTTATTGCTCATTTGTAATATTTATATGTGGCCCGAATATGTTTATTAGCCGATTAGCATTGTAAGAGGCTTTAACCTCCAGTATTTTTTTTAGGTTCGGAAGCCCCAACCACGACATCTACAACAACGAGTGGACTATCTGCTGAAGCTCATGGATAAAGCTGTGAATGAAGTGAGAACAGTGCGAACCGCTCAAATCCGGAAACGCAGAGCGCTCGACAGTGATAAATTTACTCCAGTTGATGAAAAGGTGTATACTGAAATCATCCGTTTGGCGATGTTGAATTTCTAGTAAATTTAACATCAGCGCAAATCTCCACGTTTTCTTTTTTAAGAAGCGTCGTGAAAAAGAGCATCATCACCATCATCATCACCATCATCGTCATCAAATGCCGACAGCTTCCATGCGCAACACGGGAGAAAAAACTGTTGCCGATCAATTGGCTTTGGTTTCGATCGACAAGTCGATCTATGGGCAAGCGTTGGAAAACACTAATGACCGACCATTCTGTGGTTCGTTGTGAGCAGTATAACTTTGATCTGTGAAGAAGAAATCAGTTTTTCTTGTATATCATTATCATTTTAGATATTATGGTAGAATATCGTTGAGAAATATTTTTGGGGTTTGAGACATGAATTTAGAATGCGTAAAGATGATGCGACCGGTTCAAAAATACATTAAGAAGCTAGCCGAGGCTACTAGTGAGAAGGAAGCAACCAAATATCTACTCAGGCTTGGCGACAACTGTCGCTGGCAAATCGACGAGTTGTTAAAAAGGTTTGCACTTATATTTCGTTTTAACTGTCTATAATTTATTGAATTTCTACTCTCGAAGAATGTATAGTTAACTTAATTACTTGCATACGTTCTTTTGAAATCATTGTCTCTTAGCAGATTTCGGACCTAGGGTCTGTAATATCCATCCCAAAGTACTTCTTTGTTCGCTATAATAGCAGTTTTTCTTTCGCAGCTTGGTTTCTGCTAGCACTGTTCTTTTACAATGTAATCACTTTTTATTTACCACCTATTCTTTTTTCATGGCAAGGTATGATGTCATATACAACCACTGTGATGCTGAGGTATCTGCAAAACTTCGAACTGCGGCTGTTTGCGCTGGAGATCGAGCACGCCATCATCTTTCCGGGGGTTAAGGAAAAAGGAATGTACAGTAAATAAAAAGTGATTACAATGTGACTTATACTACAGCTTCAGCTTAGCTGGGTTTAGTACCGATTTGTGCTGCCCAGATCAATCCCGTTGACAGGTGATTGCTGATAGCACCTATAAAACACGACTGAGAGAAAGGCGAAACGAAAGATCGTTTGGTGTGGTGGTGAATGCGTTAGCCCCCGTGAAAGGTAATAGCAAGTTCGATCTCCACCGCAGACACTTGCGATCCGGAGTGTTGTAAATACCTCAGCATCGTTGTGGTTATATTTTACTAATATTTTTCTTGAGCATTTCTTATTAAGAATTGGAAATGAAACGAATCAATTTTACTGTTATTTTTAAATTGCCACCTAGTTATTAAATTCAGAAAGCCAAAGACGAATGTACGGAAATGGTACAACTACATGTGGATTTTTCTTTCGAAATTTGTACCTCAAGAACCGATGGAGATGCTAGAGAAGTATCGCGAACTTTGTGCCTTTGTAAGGGATCTATGTTTTCCTTGGCGTCTTTGAGTGTGCTTGAAATTGAATTCTGAAACGTTGAGTGCCATTTATGGTTTCGATTTCAGAATAATCGTCATAAGCATCGTGAGCACAATCATATCCAAAAAGACCACTCACCTCCTAAGCATGATGGAGAGAGGAAAAGGGACGATGACAGACATAAAAAAGATAGTAGAGATTGCTATAAAAAGAGACATCACTGCAAGGATTACAAATCGGAGAAGGACCACAGACCACGTAAATATCATGGAGCATATAAGGTATGGTGGTTTCTAAAAAGGGATAGAAATGTCTTCCTTACATCAGAAAATTGTGATTTCGTAGAGTTTAACAGGGAACGTTTTTTCCATTTGTTAGAAAGTATTATGAATGAAATCCGTTTACAGTAATTATATTGTTGTTACAACATTAATCGTGGTTTTTTTTCGGATAGGGGTGTTCTTTACTATACCTTAGGTCCATCGTGTCCATTATGCCGTCGTATTTCCTGTTACAACGGACCTGCACAATAGTTCTGGAAACAAAACTATAATATTGTGAAGTCATTAACCGCTATGCTGAAGCAGTAGCTGTTTCAAGTGGAAATTTACCATTACCATTAGCTCTCGGAAATTAATGTGTAGTGGTAAGAAAGGGAAAATGAGTGAGTAGTGTCAGTTGCAAATCGGTATCCTCTTAATAGACTGTGGTTGTATGCGCAGTAGAATTGTCCACTTAACGTTTAGTTTATTGCAATAGCCGTATTTCAGGAACGCCATCTTGGTCGAGATGACCCTTCGACTGAATATCGAAGTCCTTTGCAAGACGAATATCGCAGCTCACCATTAGTTCAACCCAGTTTCCTCTCAACCACTCTTCGGTAGCTAACGTGTTTTCTTTCTTTGAGCATTTCCATGAATGAGACCATACCAATATTGTTCACTGCGATCAGCGATTTCGGTGAAGGGGACTGCTTACGGGTATTATTTCATTCTTTGGATTTACGTTTCATCTTCGTTTCTTGTGATATCTCACGCAATTCGGACTAGTTTCATTACTTGTTTTGTAACTTTATTGTAATATGGTGCGGGTAGACGTCAATATAAAATTTTTTTCCGAAATGAACTTGTCGACAGCTGGTGAATACTCACGGTATGTTATGAAATGAAATTGTAAAGTTCGTATATATATTCATTCAGACGTCACCCTAGTCAAGTTGGATTTTATTAATATTTATTATCGCTCTGCAATAATTTATATAGTTCTATTTCTCCATCAATTGAACAGAAAATTCCCCACATTTTGCAATTCCTCTTGTGTTCCAATGTAAATATTACAGAAGTAGGTGAAGTACTCGTGAAGTGTTGTCAACTAACAGTTTAGTGCACTAGCGTTAGTTTAACTAGTTCATATATGACCTTTCATCGAATTGTAATCACATCAATTGAGTTAAATTGGATTTTGTAGGTATTTATTACGGTTTTGAGAGTTTAGATAATTCTATTTCTCAAACATTTGAATGGTAAATGGCATTATAATGAATTTTATGTTATTGTCTCATAGTACACAGTTATATAAAAATAAGTAGAATCTCATTAACAATAGCTAACAATGCTTAGCTTACTTGGATACTTGGATGGCCCACCTTCATTGGTTGTGCGAGTGCTAGCATAATTTCCATTCTTCAGAGACTTGCTGGTTTACCCACTGTGGTTACCTGGAGTCTCCAGGACAGCCTGGTCAAACTCTGCCCCAGGTCATCACCATCACAGACAGTCGCCGCCCTTGTGGATCAAGAAGAAATATGCCATCATGCGACTAGTTTGATACCAGGACGGTGGTGAATCCTGGTACTGGTTTATTCTTAGCTTGGCTTCCTGATAGAAACGCCGGAATCCTTCTGAGCTCGGGAGACCCTGCTGGGGGTTGAATCCCCCCTCTACACATCGCAGCATGACACCCAGGAACACCAAGCCACGATGATGCGGTAAACCGTTAGGAAGCAGTGCTTTGCACCTTTCAAAATCGCTGAAACCACTTACATAGTTATAGCAAGTAGCTGCAGGCGCACTTAGGTTGCTCGACGTAGTTGGTACAGTAGATCGAAGTGACTTTCGTATCAAAGGTCAACTAGTCACATTGAGATATTGGAAGAAGCTCGATTCCATGATTCTATTGCAATATACTTGGGAATGAAGATTTTGGTACTTAGTGTTACCAAGTGGCGCGCAGCTGGCACCGATAGGGTTATCCTTTCTGGCTATCTCATCGAGCCATTCGGTGAGTCCTATGCTGTAGTTTAGGGAATGACGTTCTACGTTTCGACAATTCTACAGAGTGCCGTACGGATGGGTACGAGTCACATGTCGCGCAACCGACAGTGCATAGATTGAACCAGCTGGTCTACGAAACCCTGCGTTATTCATCAAGCTTTCTAGACCTTTCGCACACCCGATAGCACGTCTTCAAGTATTTCAGCAGGTTATACGTTAGCAACATCAGGAAACTAAGTGGACACCGAAATTACGATCAACGACTTCATCTCCTCCAGAGCTCCAGAATTTTTGAAACACTAATACATAAGCTTGCTTCTCGTTTGCAGAAATGTGTACGTTCTAATAGTTCTTCTTCAGATTTAATTGGATTATTTGCCCTGAGAAATGCCAGCCTCAAAAAGAAATTAGTATTCTCGATTAATTCCCGAACAACCTAATACATACACGCAGCTAACTCAATCAAGAATGCCACATAACAACCATCGTCGTTCAAGTGATGTGTATTGAGCATTCTCATCCCTGAACAGGAAAGGAAGAGTGCCAGCATGTTATGAAATGCATACGTAAGCTCTCGACGTGAATTAGTGGGGTTAATCGGAAGTTATTTTGTAAGACAGTAGATGACAATAGTGTGATGTCCACAGTTGTAGGAATACCACGCAGTTGTGAATATTAGTGTAACTGACTGCTCGCCTTCTGAATTCGCCAGGCGGGACTTCAGTGTAGTAGATACTGAATGGAGGCCTTGAGACACTGGGTAATAGCAGTTTATGAGACGATGCAAGACGAAGACTGCGAGTTGAAAAAACACTAGTTGAAGGAACTAAAGATCTAACTGAACGGCTTATAGTTTACTAGGACAGACGTTGAAGATACAGTATGCAGGTATAGTTTGAATCGATGATTTTAAGAGATGGCTAGATGGACAGCTGGCAGCACTTTTTTTAAAAGCAGTGCATTCTCATGTTGCTGATTCAATGGATAGTACGGTAGCCGCGAATGCCTTCATCAGAAAAAGCGGCATATGAGCAGCTCTAGGAAAGTTTTTACAGAAAACTTTGCTATTTGGAGATGACTAAGCACTGCGAGTCAAATGCATCTTCGATGAAGAATAGTCAACAGAGAAATGATGTGAAGATAGAGAATATTCGACAACTACTGCGAAGGTTCTCGATGAAATATTCATACAAGGCAGTGGTATACAAAAGATATAAGAAACATATGGTAGTACTATTTTTATATCTATTTTTATAAGACCAGTCTTCACGTCCCTCCCAACGGTTTACCGCCTCATCGTGGCTGGGAGGTGTTCCTGTCCGACTGCGATGTACAGCGGGGATTCATCACCTGGCAGAGTCTCCCAAGCTGATGAGTCCGGTGCTTCCATCAGCAAGCCTAGCTAAAAGTAAACCAATACCAGCATCAACCGCCGTTCTGGTATTAAAGTCGTATGGTGGGAAATCCCTCTCTGATCCACATGGGCGGAGACTGCCCGTGGTGGTGACGACCTGGGGCTAACTTTGTCCTGGCTGACCTTGGGACTTTAGGGAACCACGATAGCTTAACCAGCAAATCTCCGAAAAATGGAGATTATGCTGGAGCCCGCACAACCAGTGAAGACGGGCCATTCAAATTTTCAAGTAAATAAGTCTTCATGTCTACTGTACGGATCTCAGCACTTCTCACATCCGATTTGTCTTTTCGCATCTATCATTCACGAAGATCTTCCAACTTTTTACACGTGGCTTCTGCTAGCCTCAGGATTTTGCCTTTATTTTGAATGTCGCACATTGTTTGTTGAGCCGATTCTTCCTGGAGTCCTAAGACAGCCAGGCTGGAGCGCTCACAATTAGATTGCATAGAGTGATTTTTTCACAGACAAATCCGGCACCAATTTCCCGACCCCGGAGGGATTAGAGGCTTGGCCCGGTGCGGAATCGAATTAGCACCATGCTCGTGATGACCGACATCACCACCACTGTGCTATTCGCCCCATACAGTAGTACTAAAGCATACTAAATAATCTCTAAAAGGTAGAGTATAGTCTCTAGAGTATTGTACTGTACACGTGAAAAGGAAATTATCAAGAATGACATACTACTAGTGCAACAAAAACCAAAGTGTAATTATCAACACACAAATCAGTATCGCATTAGCAATGTTTTTGCCAAATCATTCGACTTACTGGTAGTACTTCTCTCCGCCTACCAATGGCGATCACGAGTACGTAAATCGCGATGAAGTATTTATTCATAAAGTGTTCACCACGAAGATAATCTTCTATTTACTATCTACTGTAATTTTTCACGGCAGCATATTATGTGAAATGCAACCAAAATGATGTTGAGATAAATAAACTCGTCGTTTTCTTTCTCAGCACTCGCGAGGTTGTTAAGCAGCGTACGTTTACTTCCATACAATAACAGACATACAACACAATCGTAGCTGACGTTTCGGCAGAATCACCTTCTTCAGCGCCTGGAAGGGCATAGTGATATGCAATTTACTAGGCCAAACGCTTCAATAACATATACAGAAAGATGAGAATCTAAATGGTAGTCACATGGTCAGTGCCGAAGTTAATAGAAAGTCGATCTTGGAAGCTGACGCTGAGATATTTGCAAAATCTGATCCGCAGGTGTCTCACCACCACACCATGTGGACCCGTAGTTTTTTCTTTCTCTCAGCCGTGTTTTATAGGTGGTATCGGCAATATAGCAATTAGGGGCACGTGTGGTGCAGTGGTCGGAGGCGCACCGCAACACACATGTAGAATCGATCCCTACGCCCACGACCCACCAAGCTTTCCATCCCTCTGGGTCGGCAGATTGCTACCAGACTTGTCTGGGACGACAGCAGCATTAACTCGATACATCGGTAGGAAACCGCGAGTCATTGTAAAGGCCAGATATGCATTCAATCACCTCCAGACGATGCTTTATGAAGTTAGATGCATGGCGTATCTCTCAGAAATTGATCAACGCCGACGGCTTTATCGTTTTTATCCTTTTGTCAGCAAACACCCATTAACGGGATTGATCTGGGAGCACAAATCGTCATTGAGCTCAGTTAAGCTGTGACACGAGACAGGGCTGAAAGAAAGGCGAACGAAAGACTCGCCACATGTGATGGTGTACGCATTATGCACCGAAAAGGGTTATAGCGTATTTCGTCCCCACCGAAGAGACCAGAGGTCCGGAGTTTTGCAAATATCTAAACGTCATTACAGTTATACTTCACACAATACCCTGTCATCAGGGCGCCTGTGGCGCAGCGCTCGGAGGCGCTCTAAAACACACACGTTTAATCGGCCCCCCGCGCACATGGCTCACCAAGCCTTCCATCCCTCCGGGAGCGGCAAATTCATACCAGACTTGTCTGGGACGATAGCAGTATTGGCTCATTACGTCGGTAGGCCACCGTTATTTTAGAGACCAGATATCCATTCAGTCACCTACAAACGATGCTTAACGAAGCCGAATGCATGGAGCACCCCCAAAGGGATTGATCAACGCCGAGAGCTTTATCCTATTTTTTACCCTTTTAGCCTGCCATTAAAAAGTAGTCAGTAAATAAGAAAGTGACGACATTGTGATTTATACCGTAGTTGCAGCCTAACTGGGTTCCATGCCGATTTGTGATCTCCAGATCATTTCCCTTAACGCTGATTGCTGATACCTCCAAAAGAGTAAAAATATTGCTGATAGAAAGGCAAAGCAAGAGCCTCGGCCAGTGTCGTCGGTAGGACACTAGCCTCCCGCGGGGTAATCGAGGTCTCGAAAGCCACTGAGACTCCGAGTTTTGCTTATAGCATCACTACGGTCGTTTTTCACATCGTACTGTGTCATGAAAAAAGAATAAGCAGAAAACGAAGGTCAGAACTTCGCATTCTTAATATACTCAGTTCCCGATGTTTAACACAATTTCTAACTTTCTAACATCGTTCAAAAGCGGTAGATCCTAATGAAATCCATGTGTAGTGTACTGTTTTTTTTAGAACGTGGACTTTCTTAGAATCCCACACCTGCAATCCTGTGGCTAGACTGTTTCTTCATGCTACGTTGGCCGATCTAAATATGAGTGGAAGTTGAGAACTGATCGGGATTTACAGCTTTTTCATAGCTATAAACAGGGTGAAGTAGTGTTGGATAAATGAATTGTACAAACACAGCATCAAGCTAACATACTGTTTTTAATTCTGTAATTACATCACATAGGCAGCAGCACAAACACAGTACCCAGTGTAACATAAAATATAGGGAAAAATATATAAAGGGAAATTCTGACAAATAAGGAAAATATATTAGAATCCCTGGCTTGTAAGGAATTCATCGACATCGGTAACATTTGATTGCAGCAAGAACTTGTTCAGCCGAACCGACTCCGTAGCCTTGAACTATGAAAAATATACGTACGTTTCATTAACTAAAAAAGAAGAAAAGCGAAATTGTATAATTACAACTTCACAATAATCGTTTTTTGGTCTAAAAACATAACCTGCTTGATGGGACGATTCAGTATTTGAAGTTCTTGTGAGTTAAGGTTTTGACAGAAAAAGTTCTGAAATAAAAGTGTAAAAAGAACTAAAAATTAAGCAATGAGAGTTGTGTGAGGTGAAAATTGACACGATTACCTCAACTTCCTGAGCGAACTCATCTCTGCATTGGCGCTCAATCGATAACTTTAAGCAGTGCTAAAAATGGAAGTAAAATGTCGACCCTCCAAATTCTTTCTTACATTTCTCATTAGGTTGAAAGAATGAAATTTACGACCCCAATCGATTTTGCACAAAACTACTCATACATTAGTGCTTCATTTATAAATTCACTTAGGCAGCAAAAAGGACACGAGATGGAGTGGATTCGTGGGCAAGACAGCATGCATACCCGAATTCTACTCATCACACATAAGAAGAGTCTTAGAAGACAAGCACATTTGATGAGCTTGGAAAATCTAACCGTTTGCGATTAAGCAACATTGTCATGACATAAATCACTTACTGATAGCAGTAAAAACTGTGAAAAAAAACTTTACCTGGAAAAGACAAGATCCAACGCCACCGAACTTTGTAGCTAAGATAGACATGTTTTCTTTAAAGTAGTTCCAAAGGAATTCCTGCCCTACTCTGCTAACACTTGCTCCATAAAAAAGCAGCAAATGATCTTGAGATCGAACCTTACCCTAAAAATTATGTTTAGTTAACGACGTATTCTTGTTAAATAAACCCAGTGATTGTTTAAAAATATTTCTAGAGACGAAATTGATCTCAAAAGAAAACAATACGAGTAACAGGGAAGAGGAGTAAAGACGTAAATCGTGAATCGCATATTTGAAAAGTCGATGCAGTAGCTTCGGGTCCCTAGATTGAGCGAGTGCCGTGATGCAGTTCCTTTCAACCTCCGGAAACCCTACCACCTCGAATATATGTATCAATTGATCGTACGCTTCTTCACCACCGTTGCGCACTGCGTTGGTAAAAATCTATAAGAGACTATATACATATCTATTGAAGGAAATAAGCAGTTCATGGAAAAAACAGCATTTTTGAATAAATCAAACCAAATGTAAATCTACAAACACAAAGTCGAAGGTCTGGGTGCAACGGCCGTTTTGATTTCACGTGATCTGCAAATAGTGTGGCCGCTCTGGCGATGGTTTCACCGTGACCAGCCCTCATGAGACGCCCATGTACCACAGCTCTGAGAATTCCGCGTTGAGAGTCTGGAAGATTTAGGAATACTTGGTGAGGATTCTATGATTTATAATCTATGATTTGCATATTTTTATAACATCAAAGAAAAGCCATCATTTCTGCACAGAACTCGAATGCGGTTTATTATTGCTATCAGGTCAAATAAAAAAAAATCCACCTTCGCCATCATGACAATCCCAACCAAGGCGAGCACCTAACTTCTCCATTGTTGATATAATGAAAGAATCAAAACTGAAACAGAACATTTCGAGCACAAAAAAATTTTACAATGAATTCTATGGATGTAAGGTGAATTAGGGTACTCAACTTCCTACCGTTTCGACAAAGGACTACTATCCACATAATCCAATACATTTGAAATATTATCAATTCCTTCAGCCAAGGATTGCCAAACAATATACTCTTCCTCATTATGAAGAGCAGCCAAGACAGAAAGAAAATCAGACATACGAGTACGTCCTGCTTGGACCTAAACACTCGCTGCTTCCATGCGCAGAAACAGCATACAGTACAACGTAGGCAACACTCACAAGAGCAAACAGATCGTTTACTATCGAAAAACGATCAAGGAGAAGCATCTTCCCACTTGACATATCCGAAATCATTGCTTTTATCATGTCGGAGCTGTACTCCACCCGATAGAAACCAGCGGCTCCAGCATTCAACTGCATATTAATACTATATGAAGAACAGTTATCATTCCAAATAGCACTAATTATTAACTAGTTTTCCAAACACCATACCTTTATCCATTCTCTTTCTGTAACATTTGGCACTTCGATTTCTTGCTCACGGTCAACCATGAGAAACTTTCCAGCTATTTCGGCAGGATTTGAAGCAACGCACACATTAATTGGTACCTTACAAAACCATTTGATTCATACATTAGCCGATTGTAAAAGTAGACACATACTAAATTTCAGCGCGAAATTACAATTATGCGCATTGGGCACAATACATACACGTACATGCAGACTCGCACAAGAATCCAACTACTTGATACCCGCTCAAGCGTTAAAACTCAAATCTGATTCCACCAGCAAAGACCGCCCAAAACTATACAAATGAAAGGAACTTCATCAAATATAGACAATGTAATACACTGTCGACGAAATCTTCTTTCACTATCCCTAGCAGTGCATTATTTTATGGTTATTTAACCAACCTGCCACAGTGAATCTTCTAAATCTTCCCCACCATCGGCGATGAATCGTCTTTGAGAAAGGGTAAGAATCCTATTGGTTCCTTGTTGACGTTCTTTTACAGTGATTACAGGATAACCCATCTGTTTCGTCCAACCGGACATCATTTTTGCGACATCCTGAAAAATATCAGAAGAGCAAATTTTGCATACAAACATGAAATAAACGACTCACACCCAACTATATAGCTCCGGTGAAAGAATTTGTTTAGCAACAGAATTATTACAAACTCTACCTGACCAGAAGCTTCATGTAAGGCATCCCACAAGTCCAAAGTAACAGCATTGTCATATTGGAACTTCTTCAAGTACAGTCGCAAACCAGCTTGAAAGGTTTGTTCACCAAGGTAGTGAAACAACATTCGGTTGATGGCATTCGACTTAGCGTATGTAATTTTATCATAAATTTCTTCCAATTCACAAGGATTTTCTATTCCAACCTAAAGTGGAGCAAGATTAGAACATAATTTAGAATCTAATACAATAGACGATTGTCAACTTCCCTCGATAGGATGGCTGTTCCGTAAAGCATCTAGATTGAAACCCTGAGCCAATTCATCATTAACAAAGTGCTCCCAGATCTTGAATTCTGGGCACATATAGCCTACGAAGAGATATTCCATGAATGACGCAAACCCTTCTTTCAACCACAGATCAGTCCACCATTTCTGAAGGAGTAATATACACAGATGTTCAATAATGAACTATAAACAAATTATGAAGGGAAGAAATAGAGAACTATGGCATCACCATGGTCACTAGATTGCCGAACCAGAAATGAGCAAGTTCATGAGCAACAACGAGAGCTACACGGGATTTCTGTCGTGTGGAAGACTTCGACGGATCGATGAGAAGTGCTACTTCGCGATACGTCACCAGTCCCCAGTTCTCCATTGCCCCTAGATAACGACAATAAGATTCATCGCAATCTACGGCGATGACGGTGAGAAGATTTACGTCTCCAAAAAAAAAAGACTTATAGTCATCTTAATGAAGTTGTAAGCATGCCCTCATAGTGAGAGAAAAATTGTCAAAGCTTATTATAAGGTCCAGAACTGTGAAAAAATTTCTAACCCATGCTGAAGTCAGGAATAGCGACGAGATCACATTTTGGCAGCGGATATTCTATACCGAACCAGTCACTGTACCAGTCTATGGCTCTAAATCAAAAGAAGCAATGTGTAAATTATGGAATGAAAGATCAAACAACATTACAGTAACCAACTTTGCAGCCAAATCTAGAGAAAAAGTGCCTTGACACCTTTTTCCAGGAACGGTATACACTCGTATGATTGTCCCATATTTAGAAGAAGTCTACAAACCACAGTTCAGATTTTAGACTGCAAAATTAATGGAATAGATCACAATCACTTGAATATAGTCAAGTTCGCCAACAACGAATGCCAGCAAGTATGTTGACATTTGCGGAGTTCGCTCAAATTTCACCCAAATTTTCTTCAAGCCGTGATATTCGCAAGGTGCAGTCGCCGCAACAGGCTAAAAAGATGGTTACACTAAAACAAAAAATAAAATAAAATAACGTGGATGATTATGCATACACGACAAGAAACATAAGCAGAATTGATAATCAGCCCTATAATGCAGTGTACTGGTATTTTCAAAGTATACTACATTATAAGGCTGATTCATTCACACTTATCTTACCATGTTGGATATCGCAGTCATTCCAGGATCGACGACTAACGAAACATCAAACGTCGCTTTGTAGATGGGCTCGTCGAAGCATGGAAACGCATACCGTGCGTAGGTGGACTAGAAGTGGTTTCAAATGTGCCAAACATTGGGATGTCGAACATATCAAATGTGTGTCTTAAAGTGAAAACGATGGAAACATTGGAGATTTTGGATTAACCTCGAATTGCGTGGAAGCAAGGAACTTTTCTCGATTTAAATCGTCTTTGTACGAACTTCTATAAAATCCACGCATTTTGTCGTTGATCTCGCCAGTATATTCCAGCGATAAGACGATCTAAAAGGGATGGAACGATATTCTACGGAACAATAGAGTTTCTGCCAAAAAACTCTAGCTCACAGTTTGTATATAGATCAAAAACAAGCGAAAGTTATTGAAAAATACCGTCTGTGGAGTGACAGCAGCACCCAGGTCTATAGTAGCGATATTGAATTTCTGGTCATAAACATGATTTAAGTCATCCAGCGCTGAAGGGAAAGGAAACAAGATCATATAGACAAAATGATACCAGTTATATGCTTTCAAAAGACACCTGTGCCATCTGAAAGTGTCACTTTTGCCGCGTCGATCTTTATCGACATCATGTGAAGCTTCAAGACATTCGTCGGTGACAAGATGCGAACTGTGAGATTTAGGCTTCCAGTAAATGAAAACCTAAACACTCACGATTGATTCGTGGACAGCTAAACGTGACGGCTAAACAATGTATAGACCACCTTGTTTACCCTGAGCCTAATTCGAGCAGTTTCAAACAACCAAACTAGCAACTGCTTAGCGCATGCCCTGCACTAGGCAGCGAACTATTTCACCTCAACATTCGTTACTCAAAAGGTGAAACAATAGCTGTTCTGAAGAAATCTCGAAAGAAAAGAAAGCTATATATAAAGAAAAACTACTAAGACTCAAAGTGGCAAAAATCGAGATAAATTTTGGATGAAAGACAAAATAAGAAAGGATAAAGCTCTCGGCGTTGATCAATCCATGAGAGACGCGCCGAACATTCGACTTCTTTAAGATTCGTTGGAGGTGAATGAATGCACATCCGGCATTTATAATGACTCTCAGTAGCCTACCGATATACTGAGCCAGCGCTGCTATCCTTCCAGACAAGTTTGGCACCAATTTTCCGACCCCGGAGAGATGGAAGGCCTGGCGAGCCCGGGGCGCGGAGATCGATTCCACGTCTATTGCAGAGCGCCTCCGACCACTACGCTACAAGCGGCTGTGCATGAAAGAAACCCACAGTTCAGAAACATCTTGAGAAGGATAATAAGAATCATCTAAAGTACACTCATCTTAAATTTGTTATATACAGAGTAGGATTTCAGCCACCGAACTTTGTGAAAATTCGAGATAAGATGAATGCTTCATCTCTGTTCCATATTGTAAGATATGAAAGGTTTGAAAAACATAAATTAAAAGGCAATGCTTCTTATCCTCTTTCTTAGATGAGAAGCATCGGAAGATTTGAATGAATCGAAAAGCAATCCTACTTCGCGGCTTGGCTCTGCTGGTCTACTCTGCGGCTTATCCGCAATCAAAGGGTAAAGCCTATGACATCTATAAAATTAAACGAACAATTCAGAGAACAATAACGTAGGTGAGAAGAAACACGCTCGAAGAAGAGCAGCGATAATACCCTCGACAAAGCACTCACGGCGTTGGAAGCTCAGATATACACTTCACTTTATGAAGTACGGTTATGGACTCCTACTTTCTCTACATGACCCGTATATTCTCGCGGAGTACTTTCCTCCTCGAAAATCTAATGACAACCAATGCACGAGATCCATAAGCGACTAGATTCCTCGGAATGTCAAATGCAGATGATGGATACCACTGCCAACGGTTAGAGTTCTTCACGAAAATGCTGGAAAAAAAAGATATGGTGTTCAACGAGTCCCTAAAGCGAGTAGAACCTACTGTGCTACACTTTGCTTGCGGCAGGGAGAAATGGAAAAACTACAAGCACTTGCTGCAGTTGACGATCAGCGGAACGACAGGTACAGGTAGGATTTCCGTCCTATGTACGTCAAAACTGCCTAATCTATGCAACGTGATAATGGTGCCAATTGTCCAAAATAACTCTATTCACCATGACCCACGGAAATACAACAGTCTTAATCAGACGTTGGATCTATCCAAGTCTATCTCATTATTTTCTCACCATATAAACGTCTAATTCCAAGTTTGAGGCTTATGGTATAAAGATATCATGAATCCCGCGTAGCATTATAAAAAAGGACTAATAAATCTCAATGTTCAGTCATTATACGAGCTAACATATGTTCTATGGTGGATCAAAACAACAATTTCTGACTATGAACCTTATCACTCGTCACTTTCAAAATTTCTGCTGACCAATAACCACCCACCATTATACGATTTCGACATATCTTACAAAAAGCTGTCCACTCCATTAAAAAATCACCTTATCCATTCATTATAACTACTGCATTTCGGAACTTTCTGAGAGGAATGCATTATGAGATCACCTGTTCCTCCTAATACTTGACTGCCAACAATGGTGGATAGTATTCCGCGCTGTTAAACTATGATTTACAGCAGAAGGTGCAATATCTAACACGTTCACTTAAGCTCAGATAACCTTCCATGTTTCGATTTTGAGGCTTAATGAGAAACAGGAATCGTTGTCGTGCTATAATAAACCTATACGCAAAACTACCTTCGATTCACAAGAGCATATGACTGCCTGAGGTGGCTAACCAGGAGCGCTCTGTCAGACAACCGCGAAACTCTGCCAAGAAAAGCTTTCCAAATCAACAAACTTACAAGCAAGCGAAAGTTGTGCTGGAGCTTCAGACTTTCGTGAGGGGGATGTCTACTACCTTGAAGAACCATAAACATTGTTCTTCAGAAAAATCTCAAAAAAAATTGAAGAGAGCAAAAAAACCGAATAGTAAATTCCATGTCATCTTTCAGGTCATTCTGCTTCCGAGGAACATGCAAACACACAAACTCATGAAATTTAACGAGTCTACAGTGCACGAAATCCCTGACCACTGTATACTTTCTGAAGGGAAAACTGTAGAAAACGTACGCTGTCATATCGGGGACGATCTTCAGTTCGTAGTGCTCCGGCGCGGCGAAATCTGGCAAACGTTCATACCTCTCCTTTAGGGCAGGTGCAGGGCAGAAGGCCATCTTTGAACCGGCAATTCGCGCTTGGCTCAGCGACCTGGCAAATTCTGAAACTTGAATCGCCAGTTTGAGAGACCAACAATGACAGAATGATCCACCAGCGGAAGTTATACGTCGGTAACTAATATATGATAAGTGTAGGTAAACAGAAAGCAAAGCACCGCACCAGTGATGGAGCGATCAGCTAGTCCTATTCGTGGATAGCATACTGTTGGTTCTTGAACAAATAGCGCTAAATGAAAAGGAATCAGTAGTTCTAGTAGTTAATAAGGTTGAGGGTTTGAGAGTCTAAAGTTTAGAAACCACTAAATAGATTGTTTCGACCTAACCAATGGGTCCACCCAACGGTCTACCGGCTCATAGTGGCTGGGAGATGTTCCTGGGTGTCGCGCTACGATGTACAGCGGAGGGACTCATCACTCCGGCAGGGTTTCCCAAGTTGAGAAGTCTGACGTTTCCATCAGCAAGCCCAGCTAACAGTAAACCAATACCAGCATCTACCACCGTCCTGATATCAAACTAGTAGCATGGTGGCAAACCTTCCCCTGATCCACAAAGTCGGCAACTGCCTGGGGTGGTGATGACCTGGGTCAGACTCTTGTTAGGCTGAGCTCGGGACTCCACGGAACCACAATAGCTAAACCAGCAAAACCTTAAAAAATGGAGATTATGTTAGGCACTGCACAGCCACTGAAGACAGACCGTTCAGGTATCCAAGTAGGTATACTTATGGTTGGAAAGCAACGCAATACTAGAAAGACCATAAACTTGGACATGACAGTGATCCACCTCTCAGAGGCAGTGGTCAGTTCAGTTGGTCAGGAAGAATAAAAATGACTGAAACGCTACCAAAATATTCAAACCTCTAAGTGTGGACGGTCTGAACAAAGTGTTTCTTGTTAAACGCAAGGAGGACAGCATTCCTCTCCGTTGCAAAATTCAGGGCCAGCCGAGTTTGCTAGGGAACAAATTTACTGACATTTGTCATTCAAATAATCCGTTCTAGATACAGACCCCTACTGAAAAACACATCAAGAGCACGTTCCTGAAATACGGAAACAACCAAGCAAGGAGAAGTGTCCTGTAGAGGTCTAGCACTATGCTTAATTGTCGAAGCGCGAAGGTGGTCCTGGAACGATTGCATTGATGCGGTGGAAATGAACTATGATTCCTGGCATTGGGAGCTTACTGATATTCGGTGGACGCCATTGTTTAGATGGGTTATGAGTTGTGTCTCTGAATTGGTTATCCGTAAATCGGTCATTACTAGTCACTGGTTCACGCGCTTTTGAGAAATTCCGTCGCTCAAAAATCCTGTTAGTCTCAAGCTGTCCTCTGTGATTGATTTTTTTGGGAGCTCGAAAGACTGTCCTTCACAGTTATAACAGAAGTTTCTCATCGTTTTATTGTTTCTTTGAAATCAGACGATTTGGGGATCTTTGATAAGGTGTGGAATATTCATGGAAAAGCGAAATGGAGGGCTTTTTCACCTCTGTTCTGCGGGGGACATGAGGTTGTAGGTGGACTTCCAGGTCACTCAGAGCGCTAGCGAGCCATGCGGGAGCAGGTAGTGCAGGCGTCAAGTGATTTTCTTCGTATTCGACTACTGGAGCTTCTACGCCACTATTCGACTTCTTCGCGCTCCCACCCTTCCTCAGTCTCTCTTCCTCCTCCTTTTCATACTCCTCTTCTTTATCTAATCTGATATTTTAGTAAGCTTTGTTGTTCCTGGGTATCGAACTACGATGTACAAAGAGGGCTTATTTCCACAGTTTTGATTACCGCACAAAGAAGAAGTTCTACATTTGAAGTCTACCAGAGTATGAACAAAGGCCACAATCGCCTCCCTTGTGGAAGGACAGTCAAGAATTGGCAACTCTCCACGCGTTTCATAAAGAGGAGGCTGCTTGTGATAACGACCAGGGAATGCTCCGGTGCCGCTATCGCAAGACTATTCGGAAATTCCCTGCATTGCAGAGATACCTGTAGAATGAAAGCTGGTGTAAAGCCATATATCTTAGTAAATACCGGGCATTTGGACATCTAAAGTCATCGGCAAGGTTTTTTACTCCTAGGTACGATCTTGTACTAAAATCCACCTGATAGATAGTGTTAAACATACTATAACTTCATCTTAACTGATAATGGCGGATTCTAATCATTCGACCTCGTCACTTGTTTTTTACTGCGAATTCTTGTTCAGCAACTTCGAGCGTTCTGACTAAAAAAAATGTTCTCAACGTTTAAAAGTGTCTCTCCAAACATCGTACAGTGTCCTGATTGTTGAAGGGTTTCCACTCAGGAAGCGCCATGTTCAAAGAAAGCACGACCAGGAAGTGATCCTGCCATCTAGACACGTCGCAGTCTCCTCAAGTCGTGTTCAGAATCCAGTTTCAGTATTAGTGCAACTTCACGCGGGTTGCTAACGAGTACTTGTTACAACCACGGATACTAGTTTGAAGCTGAAGCAAAGATGGCTAATGCGATTAGGGCATCGACAGTACTTCTGTTCTCCTCCGTTCCCAAATGAAACAGTTTTTGAAGAACATCGTGACTGGGGAGTAAATTCAGGCCCATGTGAATCGCACACAGTAGCAGCAGTTTCCGATTTTGGCATGATTACTGGATCCGGTGGGAAGCTTGGTGTATGTGGCGAAATTCTATGCTACCCTAGTGGTGCAACTTTGAAAAAATGATTTAGTACAAATTTTTTCCGACTAACGCTCTAATGTCTGTAATGCTGTAATCGATTTAAGAAATTGGCCGATGCCTTGCAAAGGAAACGTACGATGCGCAAACGGGGTCACCTTTTACATGACTACGTTCGTCCTCACGTTATGGAAGTGATTCACAGTACATTGTTCACCCTTAAGAGGAAAGTGCTTTACCAGGCCTGCACTTCGGACATCCTCCTTAAGACTACTACTTTGATAGCAATATGAGTTATCACTTCAAGTGCCCAGATATGGTACGACGTAGTGCAGACAAATTAAATCGGCGTAACTCCGAAATTCATCTCTTGGCGCATAACAGGAGTGTTTAATAACAGGAAGAACGAAACTAGCAACAATACAGGTTTTTCTATTGAAAGTTCAACTCTGAGGAAAATTTCCGCCCTAGAAAAGGATTGCTAGGGAATTAAACAACCTGATTCTATTATACTCAGAAGTCTATTGTTTCAATAGGCCATTGATGGGAAGACAATTAGCGCACTGATTGTTAGGAGTAGTCATTTGCATGATGAATTGAGAAAAAAAAACACTGAATGTCTGTATTTGGACTATCAGATTACTACATGAGAGACATTGATATAGATGATTGCAAGTTTGCGAAGGAATCGGAATTACTGGTTTCAGCCTAGTCAAGGTCAGTAAGATAAGAGCTCGCTAATACTATTTGCCCATGTTACGGTCTTATCGATATCGATTAAGGTCACCCTTTACACAACAATCTTTTCTCAGTGATATTGAGATAGGAGCAAAATTCGGGACCTCAGTTGGGCTTCGAGCTCACGACTACACTTTTACGGGGGCTTACGTGCTATCCACCACACCAACTGAAGCGCTAGACTTGCTCATTAGAGTGCAAAACTAGCTGAGAGAAAGGTTTAGCACGGGCGCCGGATGGTGGGGTGGACAGCATGCGAGCACCTGGAAAGGGATTCGAAGTCCGACTGAGATTTCGAGTTTTGCTGAGATCTCGGCATCCTTGTGATTGTTTTTTAGCTCATTAAGTTCATTATGATTCGGGGGAAGTATGTAGATAATAGGTAGTAGATAGTAGAGATATAGTACAAGTTTCCTCTATATTCATGTTGAGCAAATACGATGTGGTACTTTATTTTTTATTACGGTAAAGCAGACGATTCGACGGATTTCGCCTTCTTCAGAGCCCAGAACGGTCAAGTTGACTGCAATAGTTTTAAAAGCAAAATTATTTAGTAGCACACAGCCACCAGAATTGTGGAAGGGATATTGAGTCTAGATACTCATCTTCCTTACAGTAGTTTGGATATCAAAAACTTCGGTCTGTCTTAGAAAAAATAAGGATAAAGCTCTCGGCGTTGATCAACCCTTGATGAAGGCGCCATGCATTCGACTTCACTAAGCATCGTTTGGAGATGATTGAATGCATATGTGGCTTTTGTGACTCGTAGTGGCCTAATAATGTAACGAGCCAATGCTTGTATCCTCACAGACAAGTATGGTATCAATTTGCTGACCCCGGAGGGATGGAAGGTTTGGTGAGCCGCGGGGATCGATTCCACATGTGTATTGTAGGGCGCCTCCAACCACTGCTCCACACGCGCCCTCGGTCTGTTTTATCGACCAAACTGTCGGATAACAGATCTCCGTTAAAGGATAGTCCACCAGGTATGTTGCTCGTCTCATAACCCTTAGTGAAGAAATGCACTGGTGCATAAATGAGATGCCTTTGTCCTTTTTCGGCCTCCACTGCGAACATGGTAAGGATTCGTAGATTTCGGTACATTTTGCGTCCACTGCATTCGTCGGATTAGCCTTCGAGTTCGTGGCGTCGACAAAACGAACGATAATGTAAGATATCGCGTATGTGTAGGATGAAATAGCGCAGGACCAAATTAACGGGGGACTACAATCTCCTTCTCGAAATTAAAGTTTAGGTATGTGCAGAGGAATAAGGACAACAAATTGCAGTCCAGTTGACCTTTCCATGCCCTAAAGAAGGCGAAATCTGCCGAAACCTCAGCTTTACCGTAATAAAGAATAAAGTCCTCCTGTTTGCTCAACAAGAATATAGAGAATTATTTGATCACTGCCGAGGTTAATAGAAAGTCGATCGTTGGAATTGCTACAAGATTTGCTAGCAACTATAAGTTCTATTGTTGGCAGCGTATGAATCGAAATCAACCCGCATCGGCATGTATTGGAATGTGTGCTCCTTGGCATATCGCATAATAGTGTTCTCTCATCATTGGTATTTTCACAGTGGCTTATAAAACTAAAACGAAAATGAAAAGAAGATAGTGCTTGAGACAAGTTTATCTCTTTATATAATGCAAATCCATGTCGCACCACACCATGAGATATAGATGGAGCGTAAATTGGCCGCGATTGTTGCGAACCTTCGTTTTACAAACAGTGAGCAGCGAGCAATGAGTAATACTATAGAGAAGAAGTTAAGTGAACAACTGATAGTCCTGCGATCAGTGCTGAACGACACTGTACATAGAGGAAAGCAAACTTGATGCATAGTATAATAAGCAATGATCTCTTCGAAGGCGACGACTCGATATCTAGCACTAGCAGAAAACCCACTCCATGAACATCTCATGCAGCATCTTCTAACTGTTCATTGTCAATAGTAAAACATTTCAACTCAAACGCAAGTCGAGCATGCAATGGCGAGCTGTGGATTCTAGTTCGAGTCGTTGATGTGTCGACATTCGGCGGTGATTTTACCGTCGAAGATCGGCAGCACAGCTTCGTCTTCGGTGACGAGACTCCATTGGAACGGTGCTGAGTCGTCCTCGCATGTGCTCTTGAACAGGAACCTGAACATAGTAGTCTCAGCACTTATGCAGCACTGCATTGTACAGGGACATTGAAAAATGCCCAGTACACTTACACAGTGGTGGTGATTAAAGCAAAGCAACACTAAACTAAAGAAAAGCTCCTTGACTATAATTTGTAGGACCTTCCATATGACAAGACAGACATTTCGGCAAAGTGGTACCCCTGAAGCTTGCAGACAGTCGTACGTAATTCAGTGATTACCTACAGACCCTATTCACGAACAGCCTAATTGGTACCATAACGATTGGTTGCCATCATCTCGCTGTCGAAAAATTTTCTTCTAGATCACAAACTATGGCGAATCTATTAATTTTTCCCAATATATGGAAGTAAAAGGATAAAGCTCTCGGCGTCGATCATTCCTTGAAGGAAGCACCAAGCATTCGACTTTATTAAGCACCGTTTGGAGGTGATTGATATCATATGCGTATTTGGCCTTTACAATAACCCGCAGTGGAATACCGATGTGTCGAGCCAGTGCTTCTATCATCCGTGACAAGTCTGGCACCAATTCGCCGCCCCCGAAAGGATGGAAGGCTTGGCGGGCTATGGGTTCGGGGATCAACTCCACATATGTGTTGCAGGGCGCCTCCGCCCAATGCGCCACATGTGCAACATACGGAAGGATTTTGGATATTCACAAGAAGTTCAGAGAAGAGAATTCCTAAGCACTGCAACAAAATCAGAACATATGGCTGAGAGTTAAATAACAGTGAGAGTACCATTGTTAAATATCCTTAGAAGGATTACGATGAAGTCTTTCTGCTATTAATAACCTTTTATTTTCATTATTCGAAACGCCGAACGTTCGACGGAATTTGGCAAGAGTGACGATTTCTGATGGGATTTTCGCCACCATCGGTGGCTGTCCGTTTTCCTTGAGCACCAGTGTTAAGCGCAATGATGGTGTTCCGGTTCTGAAAAAGCACGAGCTTATGGGAACTCCTACAATGTTGTTTTCTCCGACGAAAGTGGTTTTTTAACGGAACGGACGGTGATTTGCAAACTGCACTCTGAGGTAGAATTGCCGGATATTGTCGTCTGGGAAAGCTTCTCGATCCGAGTTGATGGTTATGAAAGTCTAGGCCTGAAACATCTCACTGAACATTTCTTTAATTTGTGAATAATAAATAAATATACAAATAAGCGATGATCCTCCCAAAGGTTTATCCCCTCGTCGTGGTTGGAAGGTGTTCCTGGGTGCCCGGCTACGATGTACAGCTGGTATTCACATCCCTGACAGGGTTTCCCAAGCTGAGGAATTCGGCGTTTCCATCAAGAAGCCCAACTAAGAGTAAAATGACTCGTGGTGGTCTACCAATGCATTGAGCCAGTGCTGCTATTCTCCCATACAGGTCTGGTACCAATTTTCCTATCCCAGAGAGATGGATGGCTTGGTGAGCCTGGGGTGCGTAGTGAATTCCAGGTGTATTGCAGGGCGCCTCTAACCACTGTGCTACACGCGCTCTTCAGTGCAAACTGCAGTATGCCCTACGTACAAATATATCTGTACCTACGTATAATCTTAGTATGTGGATTGCATGAATCTTGTTCACTGGTTTTTGTGGTTTTTATAAAAAAAATTAAACAGTTAAATTAGTTACTCACTACTTTTCTTACTTCCAAAATTCTTATCAGACAAGTACGCACTCTCTGAGCTGCAGAATCCGCTCGAATCAGAAAGCCTGTACTCCACCGACCTAAACTGCAACAGTTTACATCTGGTGGTTTCCTATGTACATGTCCATTTTATTTAAGATAAAGCTAAATAATATGAAAATACACAGATGTAGCGTTGCATTGTTCTCTTATTTGCTACTTACTTATTCGATAACTGAAAAGTGGATGATGTTGGCAGACCGAAAACACTTAGTTGAATCTCCTGTGGAGGTGGGGCAAATCCATTCTCGTAAGGATTCGTCTTCGCCGGGTGGAAATTTGACAGGACGGGAGAAATTGATTCTAAAAAAGGACAATAGTTGTTCTCCTAGAAACAACGCAGACTAGATTGTTATACCAGATCTGCGACGTGTGCCATCGATTTTGCACACGTATTTCTCCACTTCTTCGTCGCTGGTAGTGTCCTCGAGTATTCGATTGTCGTGAAGTGAGGGGAGCAAGGAACAGGCGGCCAGATCTCGAGGCAGATCACTGAAATCTACATTTCTAACAAACACGGACACATTTGCAGCGATAGAATATTTGAAGCAATTACTGTTGTTTATTTATTTTATTTTAATTTATTTTACATGGCCCGTCTTCACGTGTGCGGATCTCAGCACTTCTCACATTCAATTCGTTTCCTCGCATCCATTGTCCAAGAAGATCTTCCAACTTTTACGTGTGGCTTTGGTTGCTGCTTGAGGATTTTCACTTCATCTTGAATATCGTAAAATGCTGGTCGAACAATTCTCTCTGGAGTCCTGAGATAGCCGGGCTGGAGCGTTCCCAATTGGATTGCAATGAGTGATTCTTTTCACAGACAAGTCTGATACCACTTTCTCGACCCCAGAGTGATGATAGGCTTAGTAAGCCCGGAGCGAAATAGAACTAGCACCATGCCCGTGATTGAGGACATCACTACCACTGTAGTATCCCCCTCCTTTAACTGCTGACACCGCTATTAAGCGTTATTATTGAGATTAAATGGGACAATAAGCATCCACATTGCGTTTTTCAGTTCGTGCGTGATTGCTAAAGAATTTTAAACAAGTCAGCCACAAGTTGTTCCTTTTTACAATAATCATAGCTCACCGCGCGAATGTATTTTCGTCGCTTCTTTCTAACTCCTTCATAATCACCTCAAGTCGCTCGGTGAGCACTGAGGCAAAAGCTTCACGAGCTTCTGGAAGATCATGTCGGGTAGAGCCATCTGGGTGCTGAAAAATACCATCTTGATTGAATCCATTGTAAGAGATGATAAACAAGGTTTTAAAAAGACATAAGTGCTTGGGTGGTCTTGTGCACTTAATAAAATATATGTGAACGCAAATATAACTAAATAAATGAATATGCCTATGTATAGTGGCATGTACTTCGAGGTCAGAAGCAACATGGTGGTCATTGAATTGATAGGAATCTTAGAGCGCACAAACGAGATGTATTATCATCTAGTCAACTGATGATCGAGCGACTAGAGTGCATGCTAGCAAAGTCTCCATTAGGCATTCTTGTACACTGGAGTTGAACAGCGCCATATGCTCACTCGAATGAGGCGGCGAGCATCATATTGGATTTGCAGCCTTTGTGAAGAAGTCTAACCATATGGTCCACTCGTTGGGCAACTGATATCCCCGTTGCAGCAGTCACATACGGATCTTGTCAAGTGATTCTAGTTAACGAATTTTACCTGTCCGGAACATCTGCTTCCCGCTTCGACATGCTGATGCTGGCATCGGGCCAGCATATGCATTCATGTCTGATTTTACTGAGAGGGTATGCTGAGAACGATTCCTCATCAGCGAGACACCAGGCCGGATTTAGGAAAGGAATACGGCTGGAACAAAGCGTTCTTCCTGCTTAACATAATATGAAGACAAGTCCGTACGACTGTCGAAAATACAGCAACAGAAGTTGTAATCACTTTTTTCATAATTCTTCTGAAGCATTGATCCATTTGGAAATCGCTGAGCAATCATTTTCCTAAATTGGTTACAGGTAAATCGGTCACTGTCTGGAGTTGTTTTCCACACTTTCTTGGAGCAGATGTGGGGCTTGTTTGTTGCATGCAACCACAAATACTCTCCCATGTACTTCTCAGTTACTCAATCTCAGTGTTCTGTTCGATTCGATGTTCAGGGCACAATCTCCTTACTCACAATCATATCCACATGAACATGTTTGAATATGCCAGACACACAGAAGATAGGAATTAATCCGGTACAGCAAAATCAGGGAGTTTGTCTGCAATTCATCTTCACCTGGCACAAAGTCGATTTTGGCTTACCTTTAACCCCATCCATCACCTTAACTGATGTCATATGGTTTCGCAGTCTAGCAGGTAGGAGGTCCGTCAGTATAGATTACAAAGCATAATAGATTGGTATAAACATGGATGAAGGATAAAAGGATAAAGTTCTCGGCGTTGATCAATGCCTGCGGGATGTGCCACGCATTCCACTTCATTATGCATCGTTTAGAGGTGATTGAATGCATATCTGGCCTTTATAATAACTCGCAGTGGCCTACCGATGTATCGAGCCTGTGCTGATATCCTCCGGCACAAGTCTGGTACCAATTTGGCTACCTCGGAAGGATGAAAGGCTTGGTGGGCCATGGGCGCGAGGATCGATTCCACACATGTGTTGCAGGGCGCCTCCGACCACTGCGCTACATGCGCCCGACGGTATAAACATGGCATACAGAGAATATAGTCAAGTAAACATAACTCACTTTGTAAAGACGTCGCTCTCGATCAACTTCGATTTCACGGCGTGCTTCATTAGCATATCGACTAGTTGACGGATTGCACGAGTAAGCATGAGTTTTGTAGCTGAAATTGGAATTATGCAGCACACGACAGCGTTCTAGCAGCACAAAAAGAGATCTACGGAGAAATTTTACTCTGGACAGACTTTGTTCTAGAATTCCGTTCTCAAGCAGTGCTTGTACGCAAAGTAATAAATGATTTCAAGGATGCTGATATTTGACTAAAAGTCGGAAACGCAGGTGCGTTCAGAACCCGCGATTACTCTTTCCGGTGACCTATATGCTAACCACAGCACCAGTGGAGGTCACTGCTTTGCCTTTCTCACAGCCAGATTTTTTTTTTACATTCTCTCGGTCTTAACGCTGAACGTGGGAGTTCGCCGATGGAGAGCACCATAACAAAACAAGCAACATCACAATAAATCGAAGGATTTGCCTAACTGATGTTGCTGTTGTCAGAAAACTTCGCGGGATCAAACCACCGCCTCCTTCGTGCAAGATTTCATCTCTTGCACAAGGGAGAAAAACACGCTAAATCCAAAAAACAAGATCAAGAAGCCACCACAAGCTGGAATTTATTCCGCTCACTAGTTGGCTCTTATGTGGACACCGTTTTTGATGGCATCGACGAGGAACACGATCGGCTTAACCCATTCAACACTTTCTCGTTAATGCTATGAAATCTGAGAGTTCAAAAGCCAGCAAGAAATGTCTGCATCCTGAAACAATCGAGCTGATACGCCAGCGTGGAATGGCACGAGCCACCGACATCCGAACCTACAAAACAATGCAGAAAGGCCATGAAAGAAGATTTTAGAGAGAGAAGAGCATCAGTTATGGTCGATGCTGCAGGGGCCGAGAAGAGCACTCGCAAAGCACACCGAGGTTTCACCAATTGCTAAACCAAGATGATTGCAGTCCGGCACCCAGACGGCACAGTTACAGCTTCGAGAAAGACACTGGGAAAAACCATTCACAATTACTACTCGGATCTATGTAGTAACCACGTCATCCTTCCCTCATACGAAACAAAGAAAGATGGATATGCTGCCCCATCAGTAGTCGCTTTCGAAATCCCGCATGCTATTTCGTCGGTGGAAAAATCAAGCAACATCAGGTCCGAACAGGACAAGTAAGGTCTGAACACCTGAAGAACCTTGCGCCAGTTCTCATGAACGCACTGGCTCAGCTTTTCACATGTTATCTGTCTGAATGCAAGGTGTCCACTCAGTGGAAGACCCGAAGGACCGTGCTATTGTTCCAGAAGGGTGACCTCAACGATATCGGCAACTATTCCCAATCTACTTGCTGTCTGCCGTTTGCAAACTCTCCACTGGAGTCATCCAAAACAGGATTAACAGAACACGGGAAGGATATCCATATGAGCAAGCAGGGTTTCGAAAAGGATACAGTATGAAGAGCCACATTGACGCGTTGACAAGACTAACTGAAGTGAGTAGAAAGGACAACCCTGTCTCACTTTTATCGATTTAAGGAAAGGTTTTGACTTAGTTGAGATAGAAGCATTTATGGAAGCCGTGGATAGCCAGGGTGTCCCTATTCAATATCTAAAGAATCTTCGCGATCTTTATGAAAATTTCACTACCGAAACGTCACCACTCCATAATGCTGATGTCAAAAGGTAAGGCAATACTATTTCGGTTAGGTAAGGCAATACTATTTCGCCTTATTACCTGTCACCTATATCACCTGTCGTCCCGTTGATCGCCGAGTGACTCGAGCGGGTGCCGGTAAATCTTCCATTTTTCCCTATCGCGTTCAAGAGTAGCCCAATGGATTCTGCTTGCTGTAGGGACTCGTCGAGCATCATGTATTTCTTCTAGGCTCTTCGTGAAGAACTCTGACCATCGGGTCTGTGGTCTTCCTGCAGTACGTTTGACAACCCGAGGAATCCAGTCACTAACGGCTCTTGTCCATCGGTTGTCATTGATACGCATTACGTGTCCGGCCCACCTTATCTTCGAATGTTTGGCGTACAGAACGGCATCTTTGATTTTTAATCGTTGACGCAGATCAGAGCTTTGGATCCCATCCCTTAGTTGTGTAGAATGGGATAATCCTAGCATCGTCCTTTCGACTGCCGCTCGATAACGCTGGGTGACCTTTCATCCTGCTTACGCAGACTAGGTTTCTGACGCGTAAGTTAAGGCAGGAAGTAACGTTGAGTCGAAAAGGTGGGCACGGAGTCGGGTGTACTTTGTTCTCTTCACTACATCCCCGATGCTCTTGAAAGCTACCCAAGCCGCTCGTTTCCTTCTGCTCAGCTCTGGAGCTAGGTCGTTCATCACATTGATTTCCCTACCTAGATAAATATAACTGGAGCAATCGGAGACATTCGTTCCGTTGAGCGTGAATGGGGTATGCGAAACCAATCCGTTCTTCATGAATATCGTTTCTGTGAGATTTAGTCGAAGACCAATCTTTCCACAGGCTTTATCAAAGCCGTCAAGCATACGTTCAGCTTGGTTAATGTTTGGTGTTGTAAGGACGACGTCATCAGCAAAGCGAAGATGGTGTAACTGCCAACCTTCGATTTTCACTCCCATATTATCCCATTCCAATGTTCGCATGACGTTCTGGTGGCGGTAGCGGTAAATAATTTTGGCGAGATGGTATCGCCTTGCCTAACTCCTCTTTTGATGTCAATGTTAACATCGTTGTAGAATGGTGATATCTTGGTTGTGAAATTTTTGTACAGTTCATGAAGAATTTATGCACTGAGTAGGGACTCGTTGACTATCAATGACTTCCAAGACTGCTTCTATCTCAACTGAATCAAAGGCCTTCTGCAAATCGATGATAGAGAGACAGAGCGGTCTTTTGCACTCTCGCGATACTTCAATGAGCCGCGTTACCGTGTGGATGTGGTCCATCGTACTAAATCCTCTTAAAAACCCTGCTTGTTCGCATGGCTGTCCTTCGTCTAGTGTTCTGTCAATTCTGTTTAGGATGACTCGTAGACAACAGACAGGCTGGGCGATAGATGCCAATATCGTGCAGGTCACCCTTCTTGAACAATAACACGGTCTTGCTTGTCTTCCACTGACTAGGAGCCTTGCTTGCATTAAGACAGGTAACGTGTGAAGAGCCGAGCCAGTGTATGTACGAGGACTGTCGGAAGGTTCTTCAGGTGTTCTGGTCTTATCCTGCTCGGACCTGGTGCTGTTCGATTTTTCATCGACGAAATGGCATGTCGGATTTCGGAAGGGAGAACCGGTGGTACAACATATCCATACTCCTTTATTTCATATGAGGGCAGGAGGACTTGGATGTTGAAGAGATCCGCGTAGTAATCGTGAATTACTTTCTCCATTGCTTTCCTGGACGCTGTAACTGTTCCGTCTGTACTCCGGAGTGCAATCATTTTGGTCTTGTAATTGGCGAAGCTTCGGTGGGCTTTGCGAATGCTTTTCCCAGCCTCTGCGGCTTCGGCCATTACTGCTGCTCTTCCCTCTTTAAGATCTTTTTCATCGCCTGTCTGCATTGTTTTGCAAGTTCGGACGTTAGTTTGAGTTTGCCTTCAGCTCGCGCGATTCTACGCTGGCGTATCAGCTCGAGTGTTTCTGGAGACAGACGTCTCTTGGTGAGTTTAAAACTTTCAGCTTTCATAGTGCTAACGTGAAGATGTTGAATGAGACGATCGTATTCCTGTCGATGTTATCGACAACGCATCTTCCCAACAGTCGACTAATGAAATGAATAAATCCCAATTTGCGGTGGTTCTGGGACTTCGGTTTTGGAATTTTGCGGCTTTTTCTCCCTTCCGCGAGAAATAGAATCTTGCACGAAGGAGACGATGGTCTGATCCCGTGTAGAATTTTGGGACAACAGCGACATCGTTTAGGCAAAACGTTCAAAACGTTTTACTATGATTATTACCACCCTCCAGAAATTCATGCGATCATTGGAATGGAATAACAAGGGAGTGAAAATTTATGGTCGTCAATTATATCTTCGCTTTGCGGATGACAATGCCCTTATAACAACGAGTACTAGCAAGGATGAACGAATGATAGCCAAGTTCTATAGCGCCTGTGGAATGGTTGATCTTCGACTGAATTTCACGAAAACGGTGTTCATGAAGACCGGATTGGTTTCGCATACTCCATCTAGGCTCAAAAGTTTGAATACCTCCGAATGCCCCAGTTACGACTAACCAGGTTGGGAAGTCAACGTGATGAACGACTTAGTTCTAGAGCTGAGCAGAAAGAAATGCGGACTTGAGGAGCTTTTGAAAGCGAGCACATAGCGAAGCGAACAAAGAACAATCGACTCCGTACCCACCTTTTCGGCTCCGCTTTTGTTCTTGTCTTAACCTACGCATCGCGTAACTGGTGGCTGGTCCCTACAAAGTTATAGAAGGTGCAGTCGAAAGGACGTACTAGGAGTATCCCATGTCATGCAAGTGAGTAAAGGAATCCGAAGCTCAAATCTACTTCAACACTCAAAAATAAAAGCCGCCATTTTATATGCCAAACTGTCGAACATAAGGTAACCCAGGCACGTAATGCGTCTGAACGAAAACCAATGGGCAATAGCCATTAGTGACTGGATTCCTTGGGATATCGGACGTACTGAAAACAACCAGCCCGATGGTCAAAGTTCTTCATGAGAATCCTAGAAGAAAGGTATGATTCTCAACAAGGCTCTACAGCGAGTAGAATCTACTGAGGCATTATTGCACGCGACGAGGAGAAATGTTTACACGCCCGTTCGAGTCACTCGACGACCAAAGGGATAATAGATTATACATATGATACCCAGCCATGAAAAAGAAGAATAAGCATCAAATAAAAGTTAGAACATTGTGATTGCGACTGCAGCTTCAACTTAACTCAGTTTAATGTCAATTTGTGCTCCCAAATCACTCTATTGCTGAAAGCACCGTTAAAGTTGAAACGTGACTGAGAGAAAGACAAAGCAAGGGCCTGAGTTGGTGTGATGGGTAGCACATTAACCTATGAAAAGGGTAATCGCGGGTTCGAAGCTCAGTTAAGGTAGTTAAAGTAGGTAGTAATTCGGTAGTTTTGCTCTTGTCTCAGAATCCTTGTGGTTGTGTTTCATGTAACATGCTGCCAAGAAGAAAAAGGAATAGGCTTTATATCAAAGTTGGAACGATGGAATAAACAATTGTTAAGAAGTTGTCACAGTTAACAAGCATAGAAAACAGTAGAAGTCCTGCGTTAACAGTAGGTGGAAAGTAGAACAGTGGTAGCGATCTGGTTCACCACGAGTACGGTGCTAGTTCCTTCGCATTAGGCTCACCAATCCTCCTGTTCCCTCCTGGATCGGAAAATTAGTACAAGACTTTTCCAGAAATGGCCCACTCCATGAAATCCAAGTCAGGACGCTCTGACCCGGCTATTCCAGGACTTCATGGAGAATCATCTCAACTTGCATAGAAGGATATTCATAAGGAAGATGACAATCCTCAAGCTTTGATAAGTTTTGTGGATGACGAATGCGAGGAAACGAATCGAATGTGAGGAGTGTTGGAATCCGCAGAGTAAATGTGATCACGGGCGTAAAATAAACAAATAAATAAAAATGTGCTACTAGGCGTCACTGTCTAACCTCTACAGTGATAGAAAATCCAGTTCGACGATATTTCGCATTAAACAAACGTATTAATTCATTTTACTCGTTGGTCCATTGTCTTAGAAAGATCAGACAGCAAAATGTTTGCTCGGTTAAGCAAGAAAAACTCCTCTGCTTGCATATCGTTCACCGCTTTCTTCTTTCATTTATTCATTTTTTCTTCCTTTTTCCCTTTCTACTTCAAGGAAACTCAAGGTATTCCATTTTTCTAATGAGTTCGCAAACTTTACTTTTCCTAGGCGGGATCTAGATTTTAGTAGCTTTTCTACCTGGCTACAGTCCGCCTGTGTTGATGACTAAATAAAGGTGCTCTTTAGTAGTTTCGATGAGAAGTTCTTGATTTTTTAGTGTTGGTAGCATAAATATAAGTCACACTATCAATTAACGGTACAAAGTCTATATGAGACAACTAACATTTTATTTTTCTTGTTGGATTCACGAGTTGATGTTTCAGGGAAATATGGACAGGTCGCCAGATGAGTCGCATCCACGGGAGTTGCTGATGAAGATCCTTCACTTCCACGTTGAGCCAGAAACTGCAACACAGTGATACAAGTGGAAGTAACTGCTACTGAAGTTCTTTTATAGGATGATTTTGCATATTCCATAATTTTTACGTCATAACGAGCAAGGGCGCGTGTGGTGGGGAGAAATTAGTAATTATATTCATTCTCCTTTTATTTTGTACGAATGAAAAGGGTTGGAAATTGTGGAGAAAACAAAACCAACAGGTGCTTGATATCATTAAGCCTTTTTCTCTCCATCAAACATGAGTGGATTAAAAGGAAATTTTGAATTATTTGAAAAGTCACCGCTGCAAAATAAGGAGATGCGACGAATTTAGAGTGGAGAACGTTGAGGTGCTTGCGAAGTGCTGGCTGAACTGGCTCGAATAGCTCTGGATAAGGCAACTGCTGACTGTTGAGCGAATGAACTCGTGTGGACATCTCGCTTCTTACCAATGACGGCAGAAAAGAGCAGGTACCAGTGCGTTGACTGAAAAAACCACCGTATTCCATAGCAAACGCTTCCCTATGATGTAGAAGACAATATTGGGAATAAAAGATTACCTTATGAATTTTCGATGCAGTGTACACGCCATACTAGACGTGCTCGGTTCCTTTCGGCTCAAATAAGCTTTGTATCCCTTAATGGCGAAGTAAAGAGCGAGACAGTCTGCCGATTTCGGAGAATCCTGGAACAACCCCAGAGTACCTCAGTAGCTGTCATGACAGGGAGTGGGGCAGATATTACTACAGGTATATTAGGTTGTTCCTGCAAAGGGAAGTTCACTTTCATCCCAAAGGACTAAGCTCTTGGAGCTAATAAGTGGGCGAGTATGCGAACATCAATAGATTCAATTCAATCAATTCACTCACTAAGCTGATCCATTCTCGAAAAGCTTGGAGGGCAGCTGCGTCTTGAAGGACGGCGTCAACACTGACTAAGAAAGGTCCTCCATCCATCGTTATTTCGCTTTCAAAACTCTTACTTTACTATCAAACGCTCATTTAATTTGATCCACTGATTTTACAAGAGATACGAGACCCTCATAATCAAAGCATTGATGAGAGTGATAGAATAAAGCCTGGAAAATTTAGTATGTGCGAGAGGTTTTTCGGTAAAGTCTCGAGGTTTCTGAAGCTTCAATTACCGTATCTGCTGATGAGTTTATCAACCAAATGAACAAATACGCTAAATATTGGTTGAAAAGTGTAATAAAGACAACTGGATATTTTCAAAAGCAAAGCTCCTTTTAGATAAAACTGAACTTAAAACCTGTAACAGTTCTTCAGCTTTAAAAATTACTAGATATTTGGAACCAGGGTCACTCGTCTAATTTTGTGCAGGTACAAATTTCAACCAAAGGTGGAGCAGAGATTGATCCCTTGCAAAATCCACCAACACGCATGTTTGAGGAATGAAAATGCAATATGGTTAGCACCACATAACTACTCGGAGGAAATATTTCCTAGGAGCGGCGACATTTGCGTTGAAATTCCTTATCGAACTACTAAATTGATAAAGTCCATCTGGTGAATAGTCTGTGGCAGTTGTTGAAGAACAGGAGGTCTTTGCAAATGTCTGGAGTGTATCAGACTTATTAATACAAAGCAAATTTAGAATACCGGGATATATATATATATATACTTATTTATGTGATCTTATAAACCGATCTTCCTTAGTTGAGGCGAGGTTGGCACAGGTCTTCGTTGTCGTCGTCGTTGTTTTTGATGTTATTGATCGATGGCTGACGTTTCGGCGACTTCGCCTTCCTCGGAGCCGTGATGCTACGTGCGATATATATATATATATATATATATATATATATATATAAATTCAGATTCGGTTTCTACATCGTCCTTGAGCGGTCGTTTACTTTTACATTCCTACTTTCGTTTCTGATTTCGGTTTTAACATCTCTCCGAATCAACTATTAGATCGAGCGAAGGATTGGATTCGTCGCCGAAAACAGATCTCCCTCTGATCCACACCGTGGTGAAGACCTGGATATGCCCTTGCAAGGTTACGTCAGGAGTCCAGGGAGGACCAAGTTGCATGACCACCAATAGGCCAGCCTCAGTACCCCGCACACTGGGTGCTCTCGTCTATGACGTCAGGCGGTGAAAGGCCAGAAAATCCCGGGTTACGCAGGACGTCATTGGAACCGGATCTGAAGAACACACGCACGACACGCCATGGAGATTGTTTCTTCTTACTATGCACGTATAATGCCAGAACACTCTCCACAGACGCTGATCTTCACGCCTTTCTTGTAGCCGCAGATCGCATTAAATTTCATATGACCATTTTACCTTACAAGAAACAAAGATCAAGAAGACCGACATACGCCAACTAAACAACGGGGCCCTTGTGATCCGTGGACAAAAAGGTCCCGTCACGAAATGTCGGCGGCGTAGGCATTGTCGTCCACCCGTCCATTGTCCATCTCGTCGACTCATACGAGATCCTTTCTCTTCGCATAGCTGTCCTCCGTCTCTAACTACCGCATCATAACAAGATCACTATCATCAGCTGCTACTCACCGAGCGATGAAGCTGATGAGTATGAATTAAATGCATCCTACTATCAGCTGGAGGAAGTCATCCGCAATGATGAACCATATCAGAAATTTGTTGTGGGAGACTTCAACGGGAGAATAGGAAGGGCAACGAGAGCGAGTACAGGATCGGAAATTTTGGATTGCGAGAAGGAAATGAGAACGGAAACTATCTCGCAGGACTCCTGTCCGCAGCACGTCTCTTCCACGGAAACTCGTTTTTCCAGAAGAAAGCCGCCGCTGGACATGGTAGTCTCCTAACGGCATGATTCATGCGGAGACCGACCACATTCTGGCAAACAGAAGATGGTGCCTGCTTGACACATCGGTAGTCCTGTCATTCTGTACTAGTTCCGATCACTGCCTTCGGGCGAAGATTCGATTCAGCCGCAAGCTGGAAAAGAGCTCTCTTCATCGACCACGAGGAAAAAGTTTAGCTGTATACGGCGCGAACATTCTGAACGAAGTCCTGTCCAAACGTGACTGGCAGATTAAAGAAGACCCGACCGAAGATTGGGCTGCTTGTCGAAGGATTGAAAAGCTGTGCCGAATTTGCCTCAGTTCCTCAAGCAAGAAGATCGGATCGCATCTCCATCGCTACTGCGTTGCTCGAAAAAAGAAGGAAACTGAAACTTGATCCTACTGCAACACGTTTAACAAGGCTAGTAATAAATGCCAGTTGCAGAAGAGCTTTGCAGGAAGATCTACAACGGTACAAGCAGAAGAAAATGCTGGAAGCAGCAGAGAAGAGAAGCAGTCTGAAAAAATGCCGTCGGGACTTGTGTGATTATAATGCTCCGCTGTCAGCCCTAATGAACAAAGACGAGGTCGTCAAAAACCTCCCGCTATGATATGGAATTAATAGCGGAAGCGTTCTACACCTAACTTTTTCGTTCCACATTCCCCGTCCCGGGACCTAATATCCCCACTGGAGAAAAGCGACCTGGAATTCTTCCGGCGGAGGTTGCGATAGAAAACATGAGAAGAGGCACAGCTCCAGGACCCGATAATATCACTGCTGATCTCCTTAGAGCTGGAAGCCACAATTTATATGTACTTCTCGCAGATCATATGAGAGGCTACCTTTAAAAGGAAAAAATCCCAGACCAGTGGAGGACGTCGTGCACGGTCATCCTGCCCAAGAAAGGAGGCCGAAGGGATCTTCATAACTATCGTCCCATATGCTTGTTAAGTGTACTCTACAAGCTTTTCACGAAGATTATCCTCTCGCGCATATCAAGGACATTGAATAAGGCGCAACCAGTCGAGCAAGGAGGATTTCGAAAAGGATTTTGTTGCATGGACCACATCCAAACCGTGTCCAGGGTCATCGAAGTTTGTCGGGAATACGACTTTCCTCTAGTACTAACCTTTGTCGACTATGAAAAAGCGTTTGACAGTGTCGAAACGAATGCAATCCTAGCAGCGCTCGTCGACCAAGGAGTGGACCCGTCCTACATAGGAACTCTGTCCAACTGTTATCGGAACTTCACTACGAAAATACAGCTTTTTCATCGATCTTTTACTATACCCATAGGAAAAGGGATTCGACAGGGCTACACAATATCGCCAAAGTTGTTCAGTGCCGCACTGCAGTGGATAATGAAGTCACTCGATCGGGATGAGAAAGGCATGCGTATTGATGGAAAATCCCTATCAAATCTTCGTTTTGCCGACGATATTGTCATCTTCTCAAGAAGCACTAGCGAAGCAGAGGTGATGATCAACGGGCTCAACGAAGCGGGGAAAAAAATCGGACTTAGCATAAACCGAAAGAAGACCCAGTTCATGAAAACCCATGGTGCGAAGGCGAAAAAATTGAATTGGATGGCTCACTCATTGCAGAAGTCACCTCGTACGTTTACCTTTTGCGATCAATGAACATAAAAAACAACATGAAAGAGAAACTAGGCAGAAGAAGCAAAGCAGCTTGGGCCGCATTCGGTCCTCTCAAACAAGCCATCGACCAACTGAGAGACTCGAAAATCTGTTCTCACCTTTTTGATTCAACGGTCCTGCCAGCGCTCTGTTATGCTGCAGAGACGTGGGTTGATACTTCAACCACGTCAAGTGTGCTTCGAACTACTCACAGAGCGCTTGAACGATGTCTTCTGAGATATAACCGGCACTCCCAATATGTAGCCGGAATGCGAAGCTCTGACCTTGGAAATCTGTCACATCTTCGAGATCCAGGAGAATATACATCGACAGCGAAACATATATGGGCCGATCACATAATGAGAAGAACAGGCGACAGATGGACGAAAAGAGCAGTAGAGTGGACTCCACGAGAATGCAAACGTCCTCTTGGACGACCACCTACACGTTGGGCGGACGTGTTCGTAAACAAAGTTAATCAGCTGTACCCGCAGCTGCAGTTTTACAGATCGGTATGAGACTCACAAGCGCTACCATGCTCGAACAAGACGATCACCATGGACTACGATTGCGAGAGAAAGGAGAGAATGGCATATGTGCTGGGGTCCGAACAGCTCGTGAAGACGGGCCGTTCAAGTATCCAAGTAAGTATGTATTACAAATAATGTGTTTGATTTGAGTGAGGCCACTGAGAAGTACGTTCTCTGGTAGTTTAAGTGACTGTCACCAAAGGGATAAAGATTCAGCTGAATTCCAGAAAATTAAGAAGTTCCTCACTGCCTTTGTTTTTAATAAAAAACAAGGACTTTTATACGATAAGATCCACAGAGTCTTAGTTATATAAAACTAGTGGCATTCAGAACAATGAGCGAAGAGAGGGGGCAAGGTTTGCCACCGCGGCGCATGAAGGAAGAATTTCGGAAAAAAGTGAGTTTAATGGATGAATGAGGTTTAGCGATAACCCAACGACTGAAATTAAGCATTACAACATCCATAGGGATACTTGGCATGCAGGAAAAACTTCAGCTTATTGAGTGGTGGCGGTGGTGGTGGAGTGTAAAGTTGTCACTTCGATGAAGTAAATATGCAGATGAGGACAGCAGTTCTCTTTAGCACAAAAGTCCGGTGACAATCCAGCGACTGAGTCAACAGCCACTCACTGGAATGGGAATTGACATACAGATAACTTCCTAATCTTATAAGTTATCACTTCCATAAATGTAAAATTGAGATGTGGCTACACGAGCAAGAAAGCCCCCAGGAGCGCATTATGGACATGCCTGCCTCTGTCTTCATTAGATCGATCTGCCCTTTCCTAATGCACCACTGTTCCGTCGTGAAGAGCGGATATTGTCGAGTGTTGATCTACTGTGCACAGCAGCAGCTCAATTCCCAGTAGCAGTGTCACAAGCTCAGCACGGCTCTATCGGTACTCTAAGGAAAATGAAAACTACCATAGCCAATCAGATGGAGAATGTACTTGGTACAGTTGGATTTGACGGCGACAACGATTCAAAAATCCAGATATTCAAGACCGATCTTATACGACATCATAAGAACGTGGTGATGCAGCTGGTTACTCCAACTGCAAATGCGATTCGAAAAAGCATTCGTAATGCGTGGAGTGAGGTCACCTTGGAAATCCTTGGCACAGCATTTTGAACTTGACCACCTTCTTGACGATGATGACGGCATTTGGATGGAAGATATATGTGAAAACAGGCCAACTAAACATTGATGACATAAAAGTAGTGAGCAATGGGAACGGTAGTGGGTGAGATCTGTTCGGCAAACATTACAGGTGTTTGGGCATATTGCTTATTAGGAAGCCGATGGCGGCCAGAGCGAGAGCCGTACGACAACATGAAGAGGAGCCGCTTGCCTTTCTAGGTAGCCGGCCAAGAAGGCGCCGCTCTGGTCGCCGTGCGATTCAGATCTCTGCTCGACAAAACGCCATTTTATCGTTGAATTAAATGATGTGCTAATGCTGTTCATGATTTACACGCCTTATGATGATCATAGGTCTTTCTTTTCGACGAGGGAACGACCAATTTAATTGTCCAGTCTATCAAGGCAATGGAAAAAGAAGAACTTATTGATTTTTCTTCTTTACTTGTTCACAATGAGTTCTACGATTCACCTGTCTACTCTCAAAAAAAATCAGGAACACAGAGACAGAGAGGAAAATAGTGCCCAAATAGAGTCTGTAGCCGGATTTTGGAAGTGGTTATAGTTTTGAGGAAAGTAAAATAAAAGGATATTTGGATAAACTCTCTGTCTGACACTTTATTTGAACTAAGTTGCATTTTGCTCTCCGAACAGCCGGAAGCTGCTGCAGTTCGGACAGCTATAGTTCTTCCAGAAAAAAAATGTTCGAAACTCTACTTTGGATTGCAGTGGAAATCAACTACACGATCGAATCGCTCATAGACAACTTCAAATTCCAGCGATAACATTCAGGAGATTATAAACATTAATAAAAAGCAAGAAAACTGAAGGAAGAACGAAGAAAGAAGAAAGAATAAAAAAGAAATAAAAAGAAGAAAGAAGAAAAGGGGAAGAAGAAAGAAAGAAGAAAAGAAAGAAGAAAGAAGAAGAAGTGGAAAGTTGTAGAATTTCACGAAATTTTACTTCGAGGAAGATTTGGGTCGACTCAAATTCTCTCATAATAATCGGTTCTCGACAATATTGAATGATGTTTCTACCTATTTCGGATTTCCTTAGTTGATTCCGTTGAAGAGTGGAGATTTTCGAATAGCTGGATGTTTTCATAGAAGCACACTAGAGACGAAATGGTGGTGATTGGACGTGGAGGTTTACGATTTCAAGCGAAAACTGCGTTACGATTGAAAAGCCGGCTGATAGCAATTGCTATCAAAAGAGGTGACGTCGGTGGCGGCCAGATGAAAGCACTTCAAAGGCACAGCCCTGGATGCGCAACATCATCGTGAAGCTCTGCCACCACTAAAACACTAATGAGGTCAGCATTCATTCTTGTTTTACTACTTGCATCCAGTTTAAATTTATCGCTTGCACGTCATGAAGCCATCACATGGCCCACTAAGTCCACTCATTAACAAAACAAATCCGTATTTCGTATTTTTGATAAAATATACTAAATATTTGGATCACACAACTATAAATGATAGGATGCAGTCAGAAGTGAAAGAAAGGAAAATTTATGGGTACAGCTACAGAGGAAAGCAGCTGGTCGACGACGAACAGCAGATGCGTCTATAGAAATGCAACTAGTTCTGCATGCTACACTTGACAACTCAAAACATTAACACTTCGAGGTGCTGTGTCCCATATGAGGTAACGAAGGCCTCACCTGAGAAAAACACATTAGTATGTGCAGTAATTGATAACTGGACTATGTGGTTCCGTAGAACAGAATCCATTCTCTGGTAATCAGTAGGTAAATCGAAAAAGCGCTCGATAAAACAGGAAGAGACAATGTTGAAAACCATAGTTTTTCGCAGGTGATTCCCAAGATGATGAGGGTTTGCACGATTGAATACCTTGATGACCCTTCTTTAAAAAGCGTGCGGATCGCAATATCATTTCCGTTTGACTGCTACTCCATTCGTACTTGCTCGTTGGGCGAAATTTTTTCCCTGCAGTCTCGAGAAAGTAGCGCCTGGCCACTGCCACGTCGTCAACGTGAACAGTGCTATTGAGGAATGCGGTGATTATCGTCATAGTTTTACTAGAAGCTTGAGTTCCTCGTAGATATGATAAAATCCCCTTGAGCTTACATAACTCTGCTAGACGGTGAACTAAAAGATAGAGGATGAAGTTCTCGGCGTTGATCAGTCCCTGAGGGATGCGCCATGCATTCGACTTCATTAAGCATCTTTGGAGGTGACTGAATGCACATCTGGCCTTTACAATGACTCATGGTGGCCTATCGATATATCGAGCCAGTGCTGCCAACCTCGGAGACAAGTCTGGTACCAATTTGCCGACTCCGGAGGGATGGAGGGCTTGGTGGACCTGGAGCGCAGGAGTCGATCCCATATGTATTGCAGGACGCCTCCGTCCACTGGACCACACCCGTCCGTTGACGAAGAACTATTGCTTTGTATTGTTGCTCGTTATAACGGTAGACAATTCAAAGACATTTGGTTCATTCAGTGCGGAAAATCTTGCTTTGGTTCGCGAAAGTGAATCGCGTGTTTATATAAACATCACTTAATAATGGGGCAGATAAAAAATAAAGCTCGGACTGAACTGAATGAGTGAAAAAGGGATAGTTCTGAGTAAGTTTAACTATTTAAAAGTAAGCTTTTATTACAATCTCCTGTTATCTCATGGACACAACAAAATATAAAGGTTGGAGTCCTAATTTCCATTTGTTCTTATTTAACAGCAGGGTATATGAATGGCATTAGTTATAAACATGAGCTTTTCTGAATTCTCTAAGGAGTCCTGAATTAATCTCTAAGGAGGTCTTAAAATTTAGCAATATTTCTGTTTTACAGATACTGCTTATTTGTCAGGACTATTCAGTACTCATTGAGCGATCTGCACTAAGAATTCAGGACTTTGGTCAGCTACTGGCAACAGAATAGTGGAGAAGAATAACTCACACAAAGCATACATGATAACAGTAATGGACTTCACTCAACTTCAAAAATTACTCAGCTATGCCGAAACTATGAAATCCAATACATTGAATGAGAGTGTTTTGTCAGAAAATAATGGCTTAGTGTCCGCAGAGATAACAGAAAGGCAATCTAGTCAGGTTTTCCGTTTCTTTTTTCTTTTTCTCCAGATTCGAAATACTAGTTGTTGATCTGGGCTGATAACGAGGGCAGAGGTGGCGAAAGAGGATGGAGAGCGCTGGCGGCGGACTGGCAGCCGGTTGGTGTGGCGAGAGATTGGCGGAGGTCCATAAAGACAGATTATTAGGCGCTCATCCATCACTGCGGCTGATGGCCATGTGCAAGACGCCCGACAGCCGGAGATCAGACGACCACCACCACGAAAAACACACCAGAAGGAGAGCGAGCGGGTCGCCTGGATCTGCTCACTGTTAACTCTCAGCGCAGGAGTGCTACAGTACCGACCACTGGGAAAAGCATATCGATGGCCCAACCCTATCGGCAGATCAGGAATGGCAAGTATATTTGTAGTAAAGCACTGGAAAGTGTGCTTCACATGCAATGCGGTCATACTTGAGCTTTTCGACGCAGAAATCCCTTCATGGATTCATCTTCCCATCATGGCTCCCGGATCTAAGTGGATGTTAAACTAACTATGCTGAATAGCAAAATGTTAGGCCCCAAAAGATTAACACACCGGGACGGAGATCGGATTTTTTAACCGAGCGTGCATTTAAATGCAAACCATTGTGAAGAATATTTATTTATGTGATCTTATAAACTGATCTTCTTAAGCTGACGCGAGGTTGGTACAGATCTTCGTTGTCGTTGTCGTTGTCGTTGTTTTTGATGTTATGGTTCCTAAACCTTATCCTAACCCAGCTGCTAAAATTCATTCCAACCCATCTACCTAACACCAAAATATTTCTAGATCACCTAAGGCGCGCGAAACCAAACAGCACGCATATAATGGAGTCATTCGATGTTAGTTCACTTTATACCAACGTGTCCAATGACTCCGCAATGCAAGCCATTCTCGAGTTGCTCGTAGAGCATGAAAAGGAAATGAAAATGCACGGTTTGTCGATTGCACAACTAATGACCCTCTTAAAACAGTGTCTTAGCTGTTCAATCTTTAGGTGCTCTGGAAAATATTTTGCACAAATTAGAGGGTTGGCGATGGGACAGCGTTTAACACCAAGCCTTGCCATCGCTTTCATGTCTAAGGTGGAAGCTCCAGTTCTCGATCACCGACCCTTACTCTACTGTCGATAC